TAAGTATGTGACATGCTAATACTTCATTTGGTTGTGACTAAAACAAGAGCCCCACATCTGCTATATAGTTTGACTGTGTAAGAAATTTCTGTGCCTATGCACAGCCTTCTCACAGTAGGGGGCATCCAGATGCTTTTTGTATACACCGTATTTTAAAGAAAATGTACTCTGTAACCAACTTGACTCTGCCTTCATATGCTGGGGAACATACCTTCCCCAAACATGGTGGAAAGAGAAGTCTTTTGTATATATCCCTCCTAAATTTTTGTCTTGAATTGGCAAGATCCCTCTAAGTTAAGATGACTATAGAATGGGAACATACATGCTGCACTACCCAGAAGCAAGAAAAGCCAGAAGAAAAGTTGGTGTGAACAAATTTTAGCTTATGATCTAGGAAGGGGTCAACTTTGGTGAGTGCTCTGCTAATCTGGTTCACTCCCTGCAACCCCCCATTTCCAAATCTCAAGACATAGAGCTCATGGGGGGAAGAGCTTATTCAGGATACAAGAGAAGAGAAGGAAGGGAAGAAGACAGGAGGTGATTTTGCTATGATTAGGGCTTGATAGAAAAGGCTGTTTCACTTTTTGGCCAAAGTAGGATTCTAGTGGCCAAGCACTCATCCTTGTCAAGAACCACAGGGACAGAGAGGACTGTCCTAGTCCAGCTCAAGTATGGAGGGTTGGAGGCATGAGGAACAGATGGGATATATTAGAAGTGGTGGACCACAACTAAGAGTCAGACATGGGAGAGAAAAGAGTATGGGGAGGGCAACATGTTCAGAAGTCCACCAGGAACCTCTCTGCCTAGATCTGGTGTCCAGAATAACCTAGGCACTTTGATCAGCTTCTGTTCGGTTCCATTATTCTCTTAGAATAATGAACTTTAGAATATGATGTCTCCACACCAGGAAAGTAGATACCTAGTCGCTCTAACTAGGAAATTCTTTACATAATAATACTTCTTGAAATTCTACCAATTGACAATAACATCACTTGTAAATGGAAACTGCAGAACACTGAATTGTTTGGAGAGAACAACAACAATGGTGTTAAAATGGTGAATAAACATAATTTGAAAGAATCCATTAAATCTCCTTTTCTCATCTTCTCTTGTGGTTTTTGTAAGTTCTCTATATTCTTTCACATTCTTCAATAATAATAATTATTATTATTACAATTTTTAAAAAGTCATTTAAATGAGGCAGGATTTGTAGGCATTTTTAAGATTAAAGGAAGGAGATAAATAGCAATAATTTCAGTGTCAGTGGAAATGTGTTTAAAAGATGCTTTTCTTCGGTCAACCAAGCTTTGCTAGGGGAATGCAAAAGCAAAAAGAAATAGAGAAGAAGAAGAGGCCACTTAGCAGGAAGAGTGGGTGAGGGAGGTGAAGCTATGGAGAATCAAAGGACCAGCCAGCAAATAGTATGATTTAGCTGGAAAAGACATAGAAGGAAGGCAGAGACCTGGGAAAGATGGTCGGAAAGACTGAGCCTAGCAGGACCAGAGAAATAAAATGAGTGGAAGTTTTGAGGTCAAACCCGCTTGTGTCTCTACTCTGGCAGAGTGCCTGAGGGCAAATGGAGTGTCCTAATTTACACAATGTGAACAAAACTACCCATTTTGCAGCTTGCATTTTGTGAACAAATTAAAGATGATGATGCCTGGAAAGCACCTGTTGTACCACAGAGCTAAGTCGCTGTACTTTACGATTAATTTTAAATTTTGGTTGTCTTCAGCCCTGCTCTCTCTGGGGTCCCAAGAAACCTTACAGAAGAAGTGTTACCTTCCCCTTATAGAACCCCAACTTTGCCAAAGAGGCTCCAGAGAGATAGGAACTATGTGGCTCTACAGGTGCTCATAGCCCACCTAGGAGAGCCAGCAGGGCTAGAGGGCCCTTATACAGTCGTATCAGGAAGAGGATAAAGACATTAGTTTTAAACCTCCTTAGTACTCAGGAGTATTTTTTTGGAATGATAGAATAAGTGAATGCATGTATGAATATATAAATGTTAATTCTTTTGGGTGAACTTTAGAACAATATAACCTGAAATGGCTTTTCTTTTCAGTCCTAAAGGTCACCCTGAGATTTATTTAAACTCATAGCTGTGGAAGATTTTGGAAGTTTTTGATGGCAAAGTTATGACTTCTCTGTGGCAAGGCTAGCCATCCACCAAAGAGCTACATGAGAGTGTTCCACTTCAATGGATTTACCATGATCCAAGTGTGGCTGTTTGAGTGCCTGCAAGAGTCTTGCCAATGCCTCCCAGCTAATTGGACTCAGGGGCACTGATTTGTGCTCTGGTTTCATTTTAAATTAACAATCTCAAAATTTCCAATAAGCTCTCAACACTGGCAAAGAGTTCTACCATATTTCTTCAGTAAGCTTGCCCTCCCACTTTCTGACGTGACTCACGTTACCGTCTCTGTTCAGAACCTCTTACCTTGTACCTGCCTATATACTCAGCTTACTAGCTGAGTCTAACTAACTGAGGCACTAACTGTGCCTCATCCAACCCCTTGAAAAAAAATTGAAACATTCCCTTAACACCATCAAAACCTCTCTCTTTCTTGAACCCACACCCAGCCACCCCTCACTTCTTGCTCCTCTTATTGAACTGAGAAATGGCCTTTCCTCCTAGCAAAGGAAATTGACACATTCTCTTGATCTTTTCCCATTTTACCTCCTCAAGGACTTCGGTCTCCCCCATATCTTCAGCATCTCCCTCTCTACTGGGCCATTCCATCAGATGGTGAACACATCTCCTGACTGGACCTCACCCACTGACATCTTGAGAACTCTCATCCAGGGCATCTCATCTCTTCCAGTCAATCACTGTCTATATGTCCCATCTCTGAATTTGTAACTCCAGCTAAATCTCTCTTCTCAGGAGAGAATATGTGTATTTGACTGCCTCCTGACATTTCAGGGCATCTCAAAGTTAACATGGTCCTCTGAATAGTCAGTCTGCTCACCTTACATAAAAGCCATTTCTCACCCCCAACTTCTCTAACTCTGTAAAGAGTCACTATTAGTGACTTTTCACTTCTTCTTTTCACTTCTCTTTCACTTCTTTTGTGAACCATTACTAGAGAGCTTCCTTACTAGTCTTCTTGTTTCTTATCTTGAAAAAATCATAGTACTTCTCCACTTAAAACTCCTTTTGGTCTTCTCATTGCATTTTAAATAGCATATAAACTTGTTAGCAGCTCCACCTCCAAAGACTGGCCTGTGCCCTGCCTCCCCCACCTCGTCTTGGGCCACTCTCTCACATGGAGTAGAAGAAATGCTTCTTTTCCCTTCTGTGTTACATTCTATTAGCTGAGTGCCAAAGCAACATATCCTTTACTCTCTTTGTCTCTAAGGTACTAGAACAGAATTTTCCAAGTTTGATTTCATGATCTCAGGAAAACACAAAGCCCAGATGTTTTTACAATAATTTTTGTTTTGTTGTTCCAATAGTGTAGAGTAAGGAAAAAGCAAATAATATAAGCATATTCTGGATCTTGGCCACCTTATGATCCAGTATTACCACATAATTTTAATGAACACAACCTATTTGTATTTATCAACAAATGCACTGAAAGTGTAATCATGTTATGAAATAACACACAAAGTTTTCAGCAATTGTTTGGAAAGAAAAAAACTGGTGGGAGAATTGGGTCTTTACATGGTATATGGCAATCTAAATATGCTCTGGAGCAATATGTAAAAAGTTTGCTCTGCCCACTGATGTTTTGTGTTGATCTCATCTTTGAATATATCAAATAGCAACCGTTGATTATGTCTATACAGTTTTAAGTAGCATTATAATAAAAATAATTTGTTGGTGCTAGGTTCCCCAAAGAATCTATTAACCTTTAAAACTTGTTAATATACTAAACTTTGAAAACTTTTATAAAGGAGATTTTAGAGAAAACTATTCTTTCAATGTTTTTTAACTTTTTAAAATTAGTTTCAGAGGTAGAATTTAGCGATTCATCAGTTGCATTTCACAGCCAGTACTCATTACATTACATACCCTCCTTCTTGCCCATCACTCAATTATCAGTCCCCACCACCCACCTCCCCTCCAACAGCCCTCAGTTTGTTTCCTAGAGTTCAGTGTTTCCTATAGTTTACTTCCCTCACAACTTTCATCTTATTTTATTTTTCCTTCCCTTCCCCATGTTCATTTGTTTTGTTTCTTAAATTCCACGTATGAGTGAAACCATGTATTTGTCTTTTTTCTGACTGACTTATTTTGCTTAATATAATACCCTCTAGTTCCATCCACATCATTGCAAATGGCAAGATTTCATTCTTTCTGATGGCTGAGTAATATTACATTGTATATATACCACATCTTTATCCATTCATCTGTCAATGGACATCTGGACTCTTCCCATAGTTTGGCCATGGTTGCTGCTATAAACATTGGGGTGCAGGTGTCCCTTTGAATCACTGTTTATAACCTATGGATAAATATCTCGTAGTGTAATTGTGAGGTTGAGGGGCAGCTCTATTTTAAATTTTTTCAGAAATCTCTATACTGTTTTCCAGAGTGGCTGCATCATATATTTTTTAAACTTTTGCTTTGTTTTGTTTTGAATGAACAACCCAACCTCTCTCTAAGATTGAGACCAAGACTCCCCAGAGTTAGGCTACAAGAAAAAACTAAGTTCCTGGCATCATGAGGTACTCAGAATCCCCCACTCATCCCACCCCAAACAACTGAGGTAGTTTATAGGCCGTGCTTGACTTTCCTTTAGGATGAATTCTCTTCTAGAAAGCCACTTGTGTAGAAGGTCTCCTAGCACCCATCCCTCAGTCCTCATGCATAGATGTTCCTTATAACAACTTGGGCCCAGCTTGGGATCTCCACTATCCTGGCCTGAAGAATGAATACATGAAAAATAAATGAGTAAACAAGCAATTGAATGAAATGAAGAATTCACCCAACGGCAGAAAAGCTGTTGCTTGTTCACCATATGATTTGGAGAAAAAGTATTCTTTCTTTCCAGATAATAGAAGATAGATTCAAGATAGAAAAGGATAAAGGGAAGGCAAAATCTCCCAAGGACAAGAAGACCTCAAGTGCCAAGGTTGCCAAAGGAAAGGGAAAGGATCAGCCTGACACAAACACAACAGTGAAAAAGACCACGCAGTTAAAACGAAGGGGAGAAGAGGATGACACTAAACCTTACATTGGTCAGTGAGATGCTCCTCCTGTGGGTTACCTTTCACTTCCTGCTTTCCAGTCTACAAAGTAACTTGAGAAATCATTTCAATAATGATGCTTAATCTTTCCCAGGCTTTTCACTCTTTATGAAACCAGAAATCACATACTACCCATGATACCCTCATAGAAAAATATTGCTTTTTGCAATTTATGTTTCCAGCAAATATTTACTTAGCTCGTATCTTGCTGTGGGCACATTTTCACAATGTAAATATAGGATGAAATAACAAGCGGATTGTGCCACCACGTAGCACTACCTTGTTTAGGACATTTTTAAAAGTCAGACATAATTATGAGGTAACCTAGAAAGTGATTATTGTAATGAGTGAATTACGGTGGTGATAAAATCAGACCAGTTAATTTGGGACTCACACAGAGCACACAGCTTCCTGACCTGACCCAACTTCTATCCCTATTAGCTTTCCTTAGAGAAACTAGAATTTCCTTTTATTTTTGATTATTGATGTAAAACTGGTTTGATCTGTGCAGGCTGTGAATGATTCATTGCCACCTACACTTGAACCCAAATGGAGCTTCCTGTTACTATTTGCATCTCATTGAGATGCGATGGCAGGCAGGCCTTCACATTCTTTATCACTTGGACTCCCCTGACATAGCTCTGCTCTAAATCCACAAGACTTAGAAACCATGATATTATGGATTCCATAGGCAATATCAACACAGATTTGTTTAGTTATAGAAGAAAAAAACATTACTTAAAAATTAAAAGTTTGTACGTATTGCATTACTTGTAAATTTAATGGGCTATTGTGGGATTTAACATTTTCATGTACTATCCAGCATGAATAATAAAGTACAACAATTGTTTTTACCTCTCTGAATCTCACAATCTGGGAGAAACTCATGCTTTAACATTAATAAAACAGTGTAACCAGGACTAAGTAGGTGAAAAAAATTTTAGAAAAGTGTACAATATATATTTTAAAAATTTAATGCAAGAAATATATCATTGCTCCATAACCCATACTCAGTATTCACACCTATTGACGTAAATACACAGAATACTTTGGTAGGGGGCACGTCCATATTCGATATTTCCCTCTCCTGTAAACACCTCTACTTATAAAATACCACAAAAAGCTGCAGCTACTCGTAATTCAGGAGTAAAGCCAGATGTTGCTCAAAAGAGATTGAACAAAAAAAAAAAAATTACAGCATTAAGCCTTTTTCTCTTTATAAAAACCCAAGCACACATTTTTCCATGAGCACAGACCCCGTGTATGTTTGTCCTTCTATTATGACTATATCTCATTTACAAAAGTGATTTAATATTTTGTAAAATGGCCACAGCCTTCTTACTGGAAGGGTAATAATGAAAACCAGTCAACATGACCGCATTCCAGCCAACTGGACTGTTATTGGCGAGCCAGAGGTATTATAAACGCATGCATAATGTATGTAGCCATCGAACTGGCGGAGTGCAACCTGTTCTCTTTTAAAATGACGGCTGTTCTTCTTTATGGTATTTTGACCAGACGATGAGCCAGATGATGGTGCCCAACATTACATTATAGTTGTGGGCTTCCACAATCCTCAGCTATTAGCGATTATGACTGAGCTTGGCATTCCCATAAGCAGCGTGATTAAAATATCTTCAGAGAATTATGAACCTCTGCAGACACACCTGGCAGCAGTTAGCCAACAGCAGGAAGTTCTTCTTCAGCCAGAAGGTATGCAGTCTGCTACACAGCTTACTGAATCTTTCAATATTATCCCCTGTCTGTAAAGTACAAATAGAATTTTCTGTCCAAAAAACAGTCATACAATACATTCATTATTAAATCCTTTTAAGACTTTGATTTGCTATTTATTCTGCTTGCACTAGCCAGGTGCTGTAAATTTTGCAAATTAAAATCATATTCTGTTTATATCCTTGGGCAGCCATAGAGAACTTGGACTGTGGGGCAGAAGACTTGGTTATCTATGTTTCTCGGGAACATTTAACAGATAACTTTTACCTAATGTGTGGGCTGCGTAGATCAACTGTAGATAATGTGTTCTTCCAGATGCTACTGTGGTCACCACATGGCCCCAGGAAGGTCATAAGCCTTGGAATCTTGCTCTGATTTGCTTCTGGCTTATTATGATAAACCACAGAGGGCACTCTTTAGACCAGGAAGCTGTGGGGTAAAGTCCCATCCACACTATCATTCAGTCATTTGGGGCCACAGGGTCTTCATCTTAAGGGAATTGTGCTGGGATGCCACTGTGGGAAGGGAACTGAAAGCTACTATATATTTTAGGTAATAGGACAGGGATTTGGTGTGAGCCTGTGTGACCTGGAAGTCCCAAGATTTTCTGCCATATGTTGTTGTTTTTATTGTTATTTATTAATAATATCATTTGCAGCATTTTGTAATCTACACAACCACATCTCAATTTCTAGAACACTGCATTTTAAAAATTTGCTGTTCCAAATAGAAATTACTACCACTGATGATAATTAAAGCTATCATTTATTGGGACTGAGCTCACTGCTAAGGGTTTTAAGTGCATTAATTTATGTACTTCCCACAACCAGCCTCCAAAGTATGCTTTATTACAATCCCCAACTCACGATGGTTAGACTTAGGTTTTCAACTTTATGATGGTGTGAAAGAGATACGCATGCAAATAGAAACCGTACTTCAAAGTTGGAATTTTGATTTTTTTTTTTTCTGGACCAGCAACATGCTGTATGATCCTCACTTGTGACTCTGGGTGGTGACAGCTCCCAGTCACCCGTGTGATCACAAGGGAAAACTGACAACATTCTGTACCCACACAGCATTTTTGTCTCTCACTTTTTGTACAGTATTCAATAAATTACATGAGATATGCAACACTTTATTATAAAATAGGCTTTGTGTTAAATGATTTTGCCCAACTGCAGGCTAAGATGAATGTTCTGAGCACATTTAAGATAGGGTAGGCTAAGGCACAATGCTCAGTAGGCTAGGTGTATTATATGCACTTTCAAATGTTCAATTTACAATGTTTATTGGGATATAACCCCATCCCCATTGTAAGTCGAGCAAGATCTGTTTTTCCATTTTACCAAAAGGACTCTTAGCCTAGAGGCAGCTATTAAGTAAAAGAGTTGAGATTCAAACCCAGCTGCTCCTGACTATCTCAAAGGATAGATGTAACATTAAAAATAACTTATTATTGAAGCCTGTGAGAACATATTCCATAAGTGCATAATCTCTCTGTAAAAACGATTGAGTAATATAGAAATAAAATCACCAAAAAGTACAATTTATAATAGAATCATGAGATCTTAGTAGCAGAACCAATTTAGGTATAGGTATAATAACACATAAATATTTTAGGCGAAATTTTGTGTGTAACTCTATGGGAACCTGTCGTTATTTTATAGTCAGAGCATAAGTGCCCAGGGAAGCCTGTAGCTAGTTGAATGTGACCAAAGTTAACTGAAGCATCTCATTGATCCCGTCGTTTTTTAGCCATGTAGCAAGAAGAATTGGAATAACAGCATGTCTAACCAGTTATGAAACCAGCACAATGAGATGGTCAAAAAGTGATTTGGCAGAAACACTGCTCCCACAGAGATGCAATCTAAGGGTGATGGAAATATCAAACATATTTAGCTCCTCTAATGTGTGACCTTATCATAATGCTTCTGGGCCTCAAGTGTAAAATGAAGGGGAAGGACAAGCTCATGTTTAACATAAATTTTAAGTAAAATCCCCTGGTTTCATAATTGTATAATCAAGTTCAAAATCTTCTCAAAATTATATTTCTTTATCTGCCTTTTCTGCTACCGCATAGACATCTTGCAATGTGTATAACTCACTGTGTCCACTTAAAGTGGGAAGAAATTCAACATTCTCATTCTGTTGTATTAAAATGTTGCTATAATTAGACATAGAGGCCGAGAAACTGAAGAAAGAGAATGCCATAAGAGAACTTGAAATTTTCTGGAAGTATCTGGAACCAATCCTGAATAATGAGAAACCTGAAACAAATCTCTTTGATGTTGCTCAACTTGAATACATGGTCAAGGCAGATAACTTTCCTTCTGACTGGGCAGACAGCGAGATGATGGTTAGTACATGAATTTGTGAGAGTGCCTGGTTTGGACATGTGGTAATGTGGTTCCATTTATCATATTCATTTATTCTACAGACATTAAGCACTGACTATGTACATAGCTTTGTGCTAAACTCCTTTGTCTTCAAGACAGTGATAACACTGAATGCCCAGTGATGGTTATAACCTGGTTCTTTAGCTTTTAGTGTATGAATTAATGGCAAAGAATAAGAGGGAGATGGAGATGAAGGATGGTAATTCTTTTATTTGGTGGCATGTGGCTTTGATTCATACTTCAACCATGTTCTTGGCAGTAGAGTCTTGATATTAATAATAATTACATGTTAATTGCAAAAATAGTAAATTTTTACAGTTTTTCAAATTACATTGTCTTTATTTTTTAAATATATCAGCCCAACACATTGTTTTTCTAGGTTCTTAATTGTATTGCTAAAATTGCATTTTTAATATAATATATTTGGCCTGAAAAAAAATATATTTGGCCTGCAAAGTCTATCTAATAGGTGACTTGGCCCCACCCCAACAATTAACAGGCGTTTTCTGAGAGCATTTACCGGTCCTTGCTATTAAGGATCTTACACAAAGCCATGACCAAAACCATGGAACAGAGGAGCAGTGTCCAAGGTGCTATACACTTACGTGCTCAGTGATGTGAAACACACTCTAAATATCCTATTAACTCAGAAAAAGAAGAAATAGGATGCATTGAAAAGTAATAGCAAATGCTTGATCCACAAGGGTGTTTTTTAAAAGAAGGTTGAGTGACTACTTCTCATGGATGTTGTGGAAGATATCCAGGCATCCCTGTTACACAAAACTTCCCAGGTCTCTTTCTGGTTGACCCCCCAGTTCCAACAAACAGAGGCCCAGGAGTTGGAGCATGAGCATTTCTCGCTATGAGAGTCCCTCATTGTATTACCCTGAGGTGGATGCATACATGGTGAAGTAAGTAAAACTCTGAGGAGGGGGAGACCCCGATTTGAACCTTGAAGGATGGACAGGATTTGAATAAGTAACAATATACAGATCAGTTTGAGTTATTAAGACTGTCAACACAAAGAATTAGATGTCACTATGTAGAAATAGAACACTGAAGCCTGATACCTTGCCAAAAGTAAGTATAAATATTAGCCTGGACCTCTACATGGAAAAGAAGCTGAACATAAAGATGCTGTGGCTGAAGGCAGAGCTTCTTCTAAGCAAAACTGGTTACTCCAATCTCCCTTGGCTTGACCTTTTTGTACCCCCTCATCTAGATACCTTCATCTTTCCTGCTTTGTCTTTCACTCTTCTGCCTCCTAAGCCTGAGCTCAGAAAAGAATGCACCACCCTCTGCTCTTTACTGTTTCATGTCACACCATCTCAAGAATCTTCATACATTTTGGTTCAATAGGGCACAGGAGATAGATCACAGCCATACAATGCCTGAGCCATAATTCAGAGGAATCCATAAAAAGAGTATTCTAAGGCAGCCTCAAACGAGTACCTTTTGCTCTAGCTCTAGCTAGAAATATCAGTTATGGTAGAACGTTCCTGACCTCAGAACTAGAAAGTTAACATCGAGGATGTCTATTTGGGCCATGAAAGTAATGGTCAGGAATGAAAACATTCAGTCATCTAGGGAGCCACTTATGGCTGTCCTGCCTAGCTGGACCCACTGATCTCCTATCAATCAATTTGCAAGTATTTATTGAATATTTTCTTCATGCCAGAGCTGTGGTCTGGGTCCAACTGCAGTATTTTTTTTTTTTTAGAGCCCAGGCATGCCTCTATAAGGTATGATTTGTGAGTGAACAACCCAACATTGAGGCTGATGGGGAAAGAGAGCCTTGAAAACAGTTCAGTAATGGAACTGGGTTCAAAAAGAAAGGCCATGGGGCTTAATATTGAAGAACAAGGTTCACATTAAAATTTGGATCACTGGAGAAACATGAAAGTAATAAATCTACTTCTTGTAGAAATCGACTGAATACATCATGTGCATACATGATGTCACATACTCAGCTATATATGTAAGTTGGTAATGGCCTCACATTCAAAGCAGAAGCCAGCCAAAGAATCTTCTTCTTTTCTGGAGGAAGGAAAGCATTAGTACCTTTGTCTGCAAACAAGCAGGCTATATTTCTGCTGAACCAAGGTAACGAAAGCTTTACATCAAATAAATGCCCATCAAGAAGTGCTAACTGCTCATGTAAGACATCTGCAACATCTCAAGTTAAGACCTTGGTTGCTGAAATAATTTTCTGGCTTTTAGCATGTGATTTGCTGTTGGATTTAAAAATGAATAAACTGGTTAAGCTAAGGGATCAGAAGGGGCAGAAGTCCTACCATATTTCTTACAAATACAAACAAAAATGTGTTTCTGTGCCAGAATTTGGGTGAAGACTAGCAAGTTGGAGCTTAACTGAGGAATACTCAGTCATAGAGTAGGCAAGTAAAGCCCAGCCTGGCAGCTATGCCTGGAAGATGGGCAGAGCCTGGCATCTCCCTGGACACCAGCCAGACTGTGATTCACTGCCCCCTACTCCCCCCATTACCCCCCACCCCCGCAAGAAGCTATCTTATCCTAACTTCTTCAGATCTAAGATGAGCTCACTCCACCCTTCTTTGCCTTCAGGCAGGCTGACCTAGTGATAACAGTACTCTTCCAGTTCTGGAAATAAAAGGTAATTGGGGTATCTGATCTACAATTTTCTTGAGAGATAACAAAACTTGTGGGTATTAGATAGACAAGCAGAAAACTATTTCATAGGGGTTTTTTCCTCTGAAGGTAGCACAGAAGAGATATTGAAATGACCTAATATATTGTTTTAGAAATTGGGACATCAGAATATATATATATAATTTCACGTTGCTGAAATTAATGAACAAGGTGTTTTTCACTTAGTTGAAGCATTAGATTCTCACAGTATTAGTCAGCCATATGGCCCTCCAAGGGGAAGAATCTGCGTTGTGGTGAACAAGATGGACAAGAAGGGTTTAACAAATGAAGACTCACTCACCATGACTGGAGTTCAGTGGTTTGGGGAGATGCTTGGTTTAGTCACTAAGAGAGAAACCATACATCTGATTCCAACAATATAAAACTAATAACTAACTGTCATTAATGCTCTCACATGTAGCTGGAGTTGGGTACTGACATTTTTGAAAATATTGCCTGTTTGATGTATGACACCCTGGATTGGAAGAGACAGCACCAGCACTATCTGGAAAGCATGCAGCTTATCAATATCCCACAAGTGGTTAATGAGAAACCTATCTTGGAAGCCACGTCAATTACTGAGGTAGGCATGTTCTGGAATGTCTTTAGTTGGCTAAACAATAAACTGAACAGATTAATTTTCGTATTTGTCAAACACAGGGAGGAAAATTTTCATAAACACTTGTTGGAAGTAAATACTGCCTGCAGGGATTTAAGCGGTGAGGGTGGGAACAAGGAGAAGGCCCCCCCAGACACAGCATTAAAGGGCACCTAGGTGATCAGGGCTTTGTGAAGCTCCCTAACTACTTGCCACATTCAGAGTTGATGATGATAGAAGCCACTTTCAGCCCCTCGCACAATAAATAACACCTAGAACAAAGAGGCCATTGATAAATGAATCATGCTGTCTCTTTAGCAGCTACTGTGTGCTAGCCCTGGGCAAGGTGTTGGCAATAACGAACAAGACTCATCCTCTGTCCCCCTCATTGAGGTTAACTTTTAAAAAGGATGGCAGTCATGTTAACAGTGGTTTCAACATAGCATGATGAGTGCTGGGAGAACAGTCAGCTCAGGCTGCAGTAGAAATGCTAACCATGGCACCTAACCTGATCTGGAAAGGAACAGCGAGGGAGAGGGAGGAGTCAGGAAAGCCTCACACTGCGGGGTAAATGATGTGGTGAAGGCTATGTATGAATTGCCTACAAGGAAATCCCAGTGGAGGAAGGGACAGAGAATAGGGCCTTTTTTGCCCTATTCTCAATAAAGGGGCAAAGACATGGAGTCAAAGGAAAGAAGTATTAAGGCACAAGCCAGGACTACCAGGTAGGTCTGTGCTCCTAGGTAGTACGTGCAAAATGAAGAACACCACCACGAACACCCACTGGAGCATGGAGACAGATGTCCTTTGGTGCTGACTTAAAGGGTCTGGGTTGTATCCTGAAGGTGATGGAGAAGTTCTGAAGGACTCTAAGAGGGGGAATGGTTTGATTCTGAGTCACCCAGGGACCAGTGCCTCATCTCCCCATGCCTTTCCTGACTATTGCTAAATGGGCTCTGTTAGGAAAAACTTCTGAAAAGTGTCCATACCCATGAACTTCTTCCCTTCCTCAGATCCTAATATTAGCCAATGATTTTTTGTGGTGTGAACATAACCATACAATCTCAGAATCCCGTCAGACCCCATCATACCTGCATCCGATGAAAGCATCTCTCAGCTGAAATCTCAGTCAAAAATTTCTCTTTTTGAAATTTTTCTACTTATAGGCTCCACAACCTGTTGCTCCAATACTTGGCAAGAAGAAAGCACAGAATGAGGAATCACAAGCCCCAACATCAGGCATGTATGAAACCTGAAGACCAACACCGTAAGCTGGTGCTTTAAGGAATACGGACTATCCTCCATATTGCCTTCAGACATCCCTCCACCTACACATTCTGCTTTTATTAGTGCACAGTGACAGTTTAAATTTATGGATAAAATTTTGATGGAAGAAATGGAGAACACGTCTTTTTTTCTTAAAGATTTTATTTATTTATTTGAGAGAGAGAGAGAGAGCATGAGTGGGGGGAGGGCAGAGGGAGGGGGAGAAGTAGACTTCCAACTGCAGCCAGGAGCCCGACATGAGGCTTGATCCCAGGACCCCAAGATCATGAGCCGAAGGCAGATGCTCAACGGACTGAGCCATCCAGGAGCCCCTGGAGAATACATCTTAATTGAACAGTGATATATTGCATGTTTTACAGCAGCCTTTGTCTTCACAACTGAAGTAGACATGAGGTATTACAATGACTTGCTGAATCCAATTCCAGAAGAATTCATCTCTGTGCCTCTGATACTGCATTGTATACTGGAACAGGTAGGTGGATACACTCCCAGACTTTTTCCCCAGGTGGGTAACCTTGAGTCAGTCATGTTATCTCTCTTTGCTTTTCGTATTAACTATTTTAAACTACACACATAATACCTGAGTGTATTCTCCTTCACAAAGATTATAGAACACTTCAGATAAAAGCAAAGTTTATTTTGATCATCTGCTTTAGTGCCTTTTCTTTTGCTATGCTCTGGAACAATTTATCTAACGTTCCCTGACGTTTCAGTAGACATATCCTTTCAACTATCTGTGTTTGGTGTCATTTTAATGGACAAGAAAGAGGAGATAGGCAGGTGGATAGGTGGTTAATGGTTTTTAACTTCAAAACTTCTTCTATACTTGTAGGTTTAATCAGATTTTTCTCTTTTTGAAGCCAAGTATAGTTAGTTGCTAGTATTTTTTTAAGTAATCATGCCCATTGTATTTGCTTTCAATATCACATAAAGTTCTTTATTCACTTTATATGCATTTTTAAAATTTCCTTGGCATCTCCTTATGCTCCTTTTCTATGACAGATGCTATTTATTTCTCCTCTCTCTTCTTAAAGAAATCTTATTTATTTATTTATTTATTTGAGAGAGAGAGAATGAGTAATGGAGAGGGGCAAAGGGAGAGAGAGAGAGAAGCAGACTCCCTGCTGAGCAGGAAGCCCCACATGGGGCTCCATCCCAGGATCTGGAGATCATGACCTGGGCCAAAGGCTGACACCTAACTGACTGAGCCACGCAGGTGCCCCTCCCCTCTCTTTTCTTGATCATAGTTGTCAATAGTGTATCTATCGTATTGCTCTTTTCAAAGACTTAGCATTTTCCTTCATTGATCAACTCCTTTCTACTTTTTGTTTAATTTCTTCATTTCTCTTTATTATTTCTTTCTTTCTGATTTCTTTGAGTTTATTCTGCATTTCATTTGAATTGAAAAGTCACTTTATTTTCAGGCTTTTTGCATTTCTTAAGTCTATACATTTCTTTTTGAGTATTTCTTTGGCTGCATCCTGATGTTTTCAATCTATTCAATTCTGAATCTTTTATTTTAATTTCTGTTGTTTATTGTGAATTCCTAATTGTATTGCATTATGGTCAGTAAACATGGTTTGCATGTTAAAGAATGTTTTTAAATTTCCTGAGCTCCCTGTGTGACATGAGGTACGTGGTCAATTCTTGTGAGTCTCCTTAATGTATTTGAAAAGAGTTGTTCTAAATTAACTCATTTAATCCTTATAACAACCCTATGAAGAGAAATTATTTTTGTTCCTCATTTTACAGATAAGGAAACTGAGGCATAGAAAGGTTAAGTAATTTGTCCAAGTAGTAAGTGTCAGAAACTGCTTTTGAACCTAATCAGTCTGAGTAGAAAAAGTATTTTGACAGTGTTGCGTTGTTGTCTTCTTTCTTCTAATGTTGCCGAGAAATCTCATGCCAATCTAATATTTTTTCTTTGTAGATAATCTGTTTTCTCTCTCTGGAAGCTATTAGAGTTTTCTCTTTGTAATTCATAAAACAAGGCTGTGTCCAGGGGCAGCTTTTTTGTTTCATCATTGTCATTAGCAATCTAAAGGTTATAATCTGGTTTCTGATTACATTCTGAATAAAATCAAAATTCCTTACACTGGAAGACCCTAAAAATATGGGTCTGAGCTGATCTGGTCTCATCTTCTGCCTCTCTCTCTCTCTCTTTCTCTCTCTCTCTCTCTCTCTCTCTCTCTCACACACACACACACACACACACACAAACACTCTTATTACTCATCATCTATATAGGCTTTCTAGGTTTTCCTCAACTGCATTGCTAAATTACACTATAGCTTTTTACTCCAATTTATTTTCCCATAAAGTTTTGCATCCACATGTCTGCCTGGTGAATACTGCTTGCTATTCAGTGCCCCATGGAATTGGCATTCCTTAGCCTTACTCTCATCTCACCTGATCCAAAGGAAACAGCTGACAACACAGAGTGCTCTTTTAAAAAAAAAAAAAAGATTTTAATTATTTATTGATGAGACACACACAGAGAGAGGCAGAGACACAAGCAGAGGGAGAAGCAGGCTCCTCGCAGGGAACCTGATATGGGACCCGATCCCAGGACCCCGTGATCACGCCCTGAGCAGAAGGCAGATGCTCAACTGCTGAGCCACTCAGGCATCCCAAGAGTGCTCTTTATCACTCACTTTGTTTTAGCTTCTTATGAACAACTGCTCTTCTTAAAAAAACTTATTTGTTTTCTGTCTTAACTTCTCTCTCTCACTAGAACATATGCTCCATGTAAGCCGGGACTTAATCTAATCTTGTTTACCACTGTATGCCCAACACACTATGACCACACCTAACCCACAGTAGATACTGAATTTGTATTTGCTGGATTAAATATATCCTCAAATATTATTTTTTTCTATTGATTTATCCTTTTATTAGATGGATGTTGGAACTTCTGGCTTTCCTTCCATGTCTTTGACATTTTCTATCAGTTAGATCTTTTTTGGGAATTCCAGCATAACTCCCAAATAATTCATTCTTCAGTGGAGTCCAATCTGCTTTTGAAGTTTTTTTTCTCAACAATAGATGTATTTAATTTATAAATTCTCCAATCTCTTTTTAGAACTGTCTTCGTCCTTATTGCTGGGAAGTAACACATTCTTTTTTCTCTCTGAATATTTAAATGTTCATTTAAAGTCCTGTTCAGACTCTACATCTCTTTCATCTCCAGTACACATGTTTATGTCTGTTGACTGCTTTAGTTTTCTAACCAATTAGATAAGCACACTCACAGTTGCTTTTCATTACTCCATAAGGTTTCTGGAAGACCAGTAGTTTTATTACATCAATACATTTGTAAAAGCTGGAAAGCCCTATAGAGCTTGCAGTATCATCATTTTATTTATCTTTCTTATTTTATTCAATTCAATTCAAAGCAACATTTATTAACCACCTGCTATATTAGGCACCAGCTGACAACCTCAGTTCCTGACACATAGAAGGCAACCAATAATAGATACATTTTTGATTGAAAAAAAAAAGTTTGGGGATCCCTGGGTGGCTGAGCGGTTTAGCGCCTGCCTTTGGCCCAGGGCACGATCCTGGAGTCCCAGGATCGAGTTCCAGGATCGAGTCCCACGTCGGGCTCCTGGTATGGAGCCTGCTTCTCCCTCCTCCTGTGTCTCTGCCTCTCTCTCTCTCTCTCTCTGTGTGTGTGTGTCTATCATAAATAAATAAATAAATCTTTAAAAAAAAGTTTAATAATGGGATGAAAAAATTGAAGTATAAGAGGAATGGGATAGGATTTTCTAAGGCAGGATATTAGAGTTTAACATTTCAGAGGCAGAACAGTTCTGAGTGATCTTTAGTGATTAGAATGGGTTCAAGAGATGATCGAATATAGAGAATGGAGATATGAATGGCTCTTTTGAAAGTAAAGAGTTGACAAAAGGTGAAGGATGGGAGACTATTTTGTTATCCATCCAGAACAGTGGTTTTCAACAGTAGCTGATTTTCCCCCCAGGGGACATTTGGCAATGTCAGGATATTTTTGGCTGTCACAATTGGAGAGGTGATACTGGCATTAAGTGGATAGAGACTGGGAATACTGCCAGTCTCCATTGCATAGAACAGAACTCATGACAAATAACTGTCTAATTCAGAATGTCTTAAGTTCCAAGGTTGAGAAACCCTGTAAAAGGATGTGAAATCACAGAGGATGATTACAAGATTTAAGGTGAAGAGAAAGCTATACATTATGTGCCTACCTTGATTACATTTCAACTTTTTTTATTTACCATATACAATTGAACAGCCATTTAATCTTTCTAGACCTCAGTTTCCCCATATAAAGGAGACTATTACTCCTTACTGATCTCACCTTATCACTCTCTTGAAGAGAAAGAATGAGAACTTGACCTCACCCTAGTTCCTCCCACTCAGCAGCCATCAGCTGGCACCAGTCACTAACTTCACTCACTCTAGCTCTTCCTCCATAAAATTAAGATAATATCTACTCCACAATGTTGCTGTGCTGCTTAAATGAGATAATGTATGAGAAGATGCTCCATGGAGTGTTGGGCATATGTAGGCATTCAATAAATACTGAATCCAAAGGTATGAGTTGTTTCAAGTGCTTTAAGAGAAAGAACAAATCATTAAGGAAAAAATTACTTATATTGTTATTTTGATGTCCTCCATCGTAAATTTTCCTGTTTACCATTTGTGTTTTATGCTACCTATTCTAATGCATACATTAAAATTATATCTACTTTAATGCCTGGTTATAAACATTTCCTCTTTTATTTCTGTAATCACAGTCACTTTGTGTAATCACTGTATGTTATTGCTAGAAACTACCTTGTCTTTACTAAGAACAATGGAAATACGTATCAGTAGAGAGCTGACCATCAAACTGACTCCTCCCACCTGTTTGTTTGAACAGGTTGTGGCAACTGAAGAAGACCTTGTCCCGCCTAGACTGGTACAGCCGCCCCCCAGAGCAGATGGGTTGGACCACAGAATCGCAGCTCACATTGTGTCCATCCTGCCTTCTCTCTGTCTCACAGAGAGGGAGAAAAAGGTCAGAAGGCATGAGATACCAAAGAGCTTGCATGCTTTGAAAAAGTATGGATTCTCTTTTTAAGTCACTTTATTTCAATTTGAACAGAATCTCCATGAAATATTCTTATGTGAAGAAGAAAACGAAAGCAAGGCAGTGCCCAAAGGCCCTCTCCTACTGGACTATCATGATGCACATGCCCACAAGAAGTATGCTCTAAAGGTAATAATAATCGGGTTACCCGAGGAGACGTGATGCAAGAAAGCTTGTTTGTAATTATTCAGTTGGAGAAATTGCGGTTAGATAGTTTTACCAGTGGGATTAAAAGTAATATTCAAAAGAGACACCTGCTTGCCAAGTGAGACCTTAGGAAATAGAGGTTCATACGGGAGCAAAGAAAACTTCTCTAATTCTGTAAGTCTAGGTAACCATTGCACTGAAAATGAGTACACCAAATTTGCATTAAGACCTTCAAGTTATTTGCCTTAAATACCTTACCAGTGTGAAAAGCTAGCTAGTGGAAGCCAGAGAGGAACCTCAGAAGGGAGAGATGAATATAGGTGAGACTTTGGCAGTTTATCACGGCGAATGAAGAATCCATCGTTTCTGTGCGCCAGGAACCTCTGGCAAAGTGAGAACGAGCTTTTTTGACCTTTAGCAAAATACCAACAGTTTGTCTTCCCCAATTACCATTGATTTCCCCTGTTTCCAAATAATGAGAGGGAAGGGTATCAGGTTTTGCCTTCTCCATATGCATAAGGCACCTGACAGCTTATCCAAATGTCTTCTGTCATGTTGCTCTTTTTCATCAGAACCAAAAGAATTTTGACCCAGTTCAAATTGAGCAGGAGATGCAGTCCAAGTTGCCACTGTGGGAATTCCTTAAATTCCCCCTGCCCCCGCCATGGAACAGCACTAAACGTCTAGCTGCAATCCATGAGCTCATGCACTTCTGTACAAATGGTGAGTACATTCTCTGTCTTAGCTTAAACTCATTCGTTTATGGTCATATGTGCTTCTTAAGATTACACTCCTATTAGCAAAAATGTTTTGATTATTGAAAGACCTTTCAGAGGCTGAGGTGGGTATTTTGATCCTCTTACCTCGAATAATGTCATTAGCAATGGTACGATGGCTCTGGTGCGTAACATTCTTCAATTTGATGCACTGGCTTTTCTTTCCACCGCGTTTCCACGACAAGAATAATCTGTTTCTTCCTTCCTTCTCCTCACTCTCCACCCCACATCCACTCCCTGACATCATTGCGGGAGACATGGTGATCCGTATCCCAGGTGAGAACACAGAGAGCCCCTGGCCGTGCGGTGCCCAGTGTGTTGATTCAAGCTCACCTCCTCCCACAGGAGGAGGGGCCATTTATGTTCTTTGAGCACTGAGGAAAGAGAGGTAATTCTGAGAATCTAAAATCAGCTTCTCCTTGTAGAGTTTACTGGGATTTTTAGATACAGTCATTTCCTTAAAGAACTTTATTTCCAGGGGCGCTTGGGTGGCTCAGTCCGTTAAGCGTCTGACTTGGGCTCAGGTCATGATCCCAGGGTCCTGGGATGGAGCCCTACCTGGAGCTCCCTGCTCAGTGGAGAATCTGCTTCTCCCTCTCCCTCTGCCCCTTCCCCCACTCATGCCCCTTCTTTGTCTCTCTCTCAAATTAATTAATTAATTAATTAATTAATTAATTTTAAAAAAACTTAATTTTCACTTGAGACAATCAGCAGATACATTCCTACTTATGAGAAGGAATATGGAATTGCATAGACATCTTTATTCGACAAGAAAGCATTTGCCCTAGAAAATAGGAAAACACCTCATTTCATTTTTCACCCTAAGTGAATCATGAAATATTTTCTTCTTGATTTCTTCTTTGATTTTTAAGTAGGCATAATGATAAAGAAAACAACAAAATCTTTTGAATACTATCGTACCATCACCTCATGGAAAAGCAGGGTAGAGCCTACCGGCCTGGGTATGTGGCAACTGTTGTTTACATAACAGCTCTGTGTCTGATGTTCCTGAGAATGTCTGTCCTTTGTCTGCATCCTGCCACACACCACCTCTCTTGCCTGTGGTACGACTCCATGCTCTTCCACCTCGTCCTACACACAGAATGGGATTCTTATTTCTGTTGCTACTGTTGCAGTGTCACATATCCCGCTTACGTGTCTGTCCCAAACCCTTGCTCCTCCTCCTCTCTCCTTCTCTCTATCAGCACTTCATACTTAACAGATCCAAAACCAAACTCCTGACTCCCCATACAGTCCTCCGTATGTCAGTAAATGGCAACTGTTTTCTTCCAAAATCTTAGAGTCATCCCTGATTCCTCTTGGTTTCTTATGTCCTACAACCAATCCCCCTACATCCTCATTGCCATGCCAGCCTAGTCCATCATCACCTCTCACTTGGATTATTTCAATAGCTTTCCAGTTGGGCCAGAGGCTTTCACCCTTTTATCTCGTCTTTTCTTCATGCAATAACCAGAGCCATACTTCCATAAGAGGGATCCATGTACCCTCTTAACTCAGAATTCTTTAGTGGCCACCATGACACTCAAAGTATGATTTATTCTGTTCTGCCACCCACCTTCTGAGCTCATCACCTGTCAAGCTCTCATTGTTCCACTCCACTCAATCTACATTGGCCTCGTTATGATTCCTTGACCATGTTGGTCAATCCCTTGCCTCAGGATCTTTGCACTTGCTATTTCTCCTGCTTCCATCCCTTTTCCCGATATTCATAGGACTTGCTCTCCCACTTCCTTCACATTTTTGCTTAATTGTTTAGAGGGTTTTTCTCTGACTACTATATATATATATATATATATATATATATATATATATATATATATAAAGTCTCCCTAACTGCTATCACTTTTTGCCCCTTCATCTGGCTTTATCCTTCTTACCACCTCTGATATGGTATACACTTATTTGTTTACTCTGTTTCCAACCACCAGAATGGATACTCTGTAAAATCAGATCACCACTTAGTTTACTGCTGTGTTCCCAGCTTTTACTATGTAATCCTTGACAACTAATATGTGCTCAAAAGATGTTTGCAAAATGAATGAATGAGCAAACTTTCCTTAATTCTGTAGCTTTTACCTGTTCCCTGTCTCTCTTTAGAATTTCCTCATTTTTTTTCTAAAGAATCATCCCTGTGTCCTCATTTCTATTGGAGAAAAACTGGAGTTTACCCCAGAATTATTGCTCTACCACAATCATTTTACTTTTCCTCATTGAAATCTCATGATTATTTGGTAATATTTACCTTCCACCCCTCTACTCTGAACTGCTAAAGTGCAAGAACCTAACCTTTTCTTTGAATCTCAGGGATCCATAACAAAGCCTAATACACAGAAAACAAAAATGAGTGAGCAAGCAAGTGAGAGAGGGAGTGGGTGAAGGGTTGAATAAATGCTGTAAGACCAAAAACGCACAAATGAATAGGGCCAATTGAAAGCTGATAACCTTTGAAGAGCAATTATGCAAAGTACTATACCAGTTCAAGTGGGTGAAAAGAGGTCTTTTCTGAGCTCTAGGGGGTAGTAATAGATACTGAATATAACAGTGTATGTTAGACGCAAGTGAGTAATTTTTTTTATTCAAATTATAACAGTAGCAAAGATGCTTTTGCTTAAAAATGATAAGTTTAAAACATATTCAACTGATATGGTACCCTGGAGAGTCCATGTAAATTAATATTAATACACCTACTACTGATTAAGGTATGAAGCAATTTGTGAGCATTATCTTGATTGATTATATCGTGATTGAGCAGCTTTCTTATTATTAGGTACTTTCTATATTTGTTGCAGAATTGTGGAACCCATGTTTAAAGTCAGGTCAACATCCATCATGATGTAAATCCCTTGTCATTGCAGTCGACAGATCCCCCTGGCCACCTCTCTCTCAGCCCTGTGCCATGTGGTAGTAAGAGCATTCCTAGCAACACAGTTCTTGCTTTCTTACAGAAGTCTTGAGCTGGAATGAAGTAGAACGAGCCTTCAAAGTGTTTACTTTTGAAAGCATGAAACTCTCTGAGGTTAATGAAGAAGGAAAGCTAATACCTTCTGAGATGATGTATGGAACAGATTCTGAGATGTTCAACATACCATGGGACAACCCTGCCAGATTTGCTAAACAGATAAGGCAGCAATACATCATGAAAATGAGCACCGAAGAGGCCAAATGCCAAACAGGTACACTACTTGGAGGAAACCAAAGGATTTCTTATTTTATGATTGTTGATTTTTCTAGCATTGTACCTAATGGATTCTCTTTAAACTGACTAGATACTGAAACCAAAGACAGAATTTTATTTGTGGATCACAATTGGTCAACACCTATGCAAGAGAATGAAATCAGTAAGGAACCTTATGATGCTCATCAGTCTGATTCCAATAATAGGAAGCATTCTGACCCAAACAGTAAGGAACTCTTAGACCCTGACGACGTAGAGCTGTCAGTGCAGAAGACCAGCTTGAAGACTCAGGTCCAGTCTGGGCCTTCAGGTGAGTGTGTGTGTGTGTGTGTGTGTGTGTGTGTGTGTGTGTGTGTGTTGACACTATTATACAATGATTAACTCCAAAAATGATTCAAGAAATATTATCTAAATTTAAATGTCTCCTTATTTCAATTAAAAGACTGTTTAATATCTAAGTTAAAATTAAACTTTGCTCTTGAGTATTATTATTATTGATTTTTAAAATATCCTAAGGCCTGTTAGTCCACTCTTATCTCAGTAAATATAGTGAGGTCCACATAATTAAAACTTTCCTCATTAGCATTTCATAGGGTTATTGTGATTATATGAAAAAGTTATTAAAAATTGCCTGCAATTAGTGAACTACCCACTACAGAGTTGAGTACAAAATCATTGCTCAGTGAAGAACAATGATTCCCTTTCTCTCTTCCTTAAGACTCAAATAATGACTCTTACTCTAGAATATACCATCATAAATATTGTTATATTAGGAGATATATATGCATAGGAGACTGCTAGGCTAAACTTATTGAGCTATCTCATGCATAGATGTCAAATTAATTACCTAAAATGCAGCTGTTCATTTCCTGCTTTCAACCGTCAATGTCTCCCTACTAACTGAACCCAATTCTTTGGTCTGCTTGCTGTACATGCTTCTCTAGTAGTACCAAATTTCTTTCCCACAACTTTCCACTTTTTCCCTTTTGATCACTCATCCTGGCTCTAGCCAAAAAGAATTAGGCTCTATTTCTTTTACACAGCCTGCTGCTTTCAATTGCTGTGTCTGAGTTCTCTTTTTGATTACAACTAGACTTCAGTGACACTTCCATGAAGCTTTGTTAGATGTGTCCATCTTCAAATGGCTCCCTTAGCATTCCCATGGTCATAATTCATCTGTGTTTCCTTTATGGCATTAGTTATCATTTCCTACTACTTATTACAGTTATTCATATACTTATATTAAGTTTCCATAGTACTATAGCTTCTTAGAGGTCACAGGTATGCTTACCTTAAAAATATTAACTATATACTAGCACAAAACAAGTCTCAGCAAATTTTCACAGGATCAAAATTACAGAATGTATTTTCATACCACAGTAAAATTGTGGTGGACATTAGTTACAAAAACTAATGAGAAAATGCCCAAATTTTTTTTAATTCTTTTTTTTTAATTTTTTTATTTTTATTTTTTTTTAAATTTATCTACGATAGTCACAGAGAGAGAGAGAGAGAGAGAGAGAGAGAGAGAGAGAGGCAGAGACACAGGCAGAGGGAGAAGCAGGCTCCATGCACCGGGAGCCCGACGTGGGATTCGATCCCGGGTCTCCAGGATCGCGCCCTGAGCCAAAGGCAGGCGCCAAACTGCTGCGCCACCCAGGGATCCTGCCCAAATTTTTAAAAAGAAAAAATCACAATAGAAATTAGGAAATATTCAAGTTGAATGGCAAGGAAAACACTAAATATCAAAATTTCTACAATGCAACTAAAGCAAGGGATACTCACAAAGAAGCTCACAGCTTTAAATGAATACATTTAAAAAAAGAAAACTAAAAATTAATTAGCTAAACATCAACCTTAAGTTGTTAGTAAAGATGAACAAAATAAGGGTGCCTGAATGGTTCAGTCCGTTAGGCATCTGCCTTCCGCTCAGATCATGATCTCTGAGTCCTGAGATCCCTCCATTGGCTCCCTGCTCAGCGGGGAGTTTGCCTTTCCCTCTACCTCTGCCCCTCCCTCCACTTGTGCGCTCTCTCAGTCTCCCTCTCTCTCTCTCTCAAATAAATAAATAAAAGCATTAAAAAATAAAGATGAACAAAGTAAATCCAAATAAAGTGAAAGGAAGAAAATAAGAGTAAACTATTGACATAGAAAATATAGATGTAATAAGGAAGAACAAATTCTACAAAAGTCTGGTTCTCTGAAGACTTTTAAAATTTGATAATTCTTTTTAATGAAAGTCTGACTATAAAAATGGGTAGCACAAATACCCATATTAGGAATAAAACCATATCAGGAATAAAAATAGAGGATATGAACAACTTTATTCTGCTAAATCTAAAAATGAAATGAGAAAATTACAGGAAAAGTATATCTTACCAACAGTGACTCAAGAAGAAATAGAAACACGAATAGTGTTGCAATCATTTAAATAAATTAAATCAATAATTAAAGATCCTCCTAAATAGGACACGCCAAACTCAAATGATCTTATTTATTAGTGATACCAAACACTCAAAAAAGAAATAATTCTAGTCTTAAAAATTATTCCCAGAAATAAAAATTGAATATCATCCCTACTCATTTTACAAAGTTAGAATAAACCTTATAATAGAACTGTCAAGGATAGTATGACAAAAGAAAATTATTAATCAAACTCATTCATGCACATATATGCAAAAATCCTGAATAAGTAAACTGATCTAGCAATATACAAAATGATAATAATACATCACAAGTTGTTTTTATAACAAGAATATAGGAAAAATATTGTTAAAATCAATATAATTTATCAATACACTAGTGAGAAAAATGATATAATCATCTCAATGGATGGAGAAAAAGCACTTAAAACTTAGCAATTTGTGAAAAAAAATCTTAGCAAACTAGCAATAGAAGGAAAATTTCTCTACCTTTAAGGTTTATTCTTAAATTACTACAACAAACATTATATATCAAGATGAAAAGTTGAAAGATCTCCCTTGACACCAGGAAGCTACCTACTAAACACTTGTATTCAGTATTACATTGGAGATGCTAGCCAACTCAGTAAGGCAAGAAAAAGAGATAAAAGTGTGAGGTTTGAAAAAGAAGAAACAAATGCTATTATTTGTAAATATTGTGTATGTAGAAAACCTGAAATAATCCAAAAAAAAAATCAGGATTAATATAATAGTTTAAAAAGGAAATCATGGTTATAAAAGGACACACTTAAGATATCTGCAGTGCTGGATCTTTTCTTTCTCATTATCCATTACATTAAGCATTTATGTTCTATGAACTCCTCTGTGTGTTTTATAATCTATAATTTTTTAAAGCATTAGAAAAAGAATAAGTCGTCAGTGCCACAAGAGAACAGATGTTAAATCAGTATTGGCTGGTCATCTTGCTGTTTTCACTTATTTAGATCGACGAAGTAGAATTAGGGAAATCTGCTTGCTTATTAGTAAAGCAGGTAAGTGAGGGCAAGGGAGACAGAGGAGGGAGGGAGATAACATTTATGTAATATTGCCCTGCTATATTCCAAGCATGTTAAGACATTTTACATATATTAACTGGTATTTAATATAAAGCTCAAGTCTGTGAGTAAGAATTATCCCAATTCTAAAGATGAAGAATTGAAGACTCAGAGGGATTAAGTAACTTGTAGGAAATCAGGATTCCAACAGAGAGCTAACTCCAAACCAATGCTCCCTCCACTGTGTCTTGTGGCTTCCTCAGTTCCAGAAACTCCTTATCTGGTGGTTTAGTCATACAGTTTCTTCATGCTGATACTTAACCTGATTTTGTTATCAAATGAGTTGATTCCTTATTTCTCTATTCTAAGTTCCCCTATTAGCCTAGCTCACAAAAATAATTAAGCCAAATAAGTTCACCTGGGATGTTATGGCTTCAGTGCATCCTGTGGGAATCTAAATGTAGGACAAAGAAGTCACTTTGTGTTAATATGGATCCAGAATAAACCAGGAGAGATATAAGGCCTGAGGTTTTTTTCTTTGTGTTTTGTTTTTTTCTTTAGAGCAACTGGTGTATAGTTTTCCTCAGGCAACTTTTGCCACCTGGTGGTCAAACCACATAAATTGGCATTCCAGATCCTGGTAGAAAAGAGATGATTAGAACAACTCTAAATTGTCAAGGCTAAAAATGCTAGTGTATCCTAGAGGCTGAGCAATCCTGAGAAATAAGCTCCCACAACCTGCAAGGGATCCTATGTGGTCTATGTTGATCTATATCAAGAAACTCTTAGAGTTGGACAAGGGAGGATGGCTGAGCCTTGGTGTCTCACTGTGTCTGTTATGTCTAAGGGACTCTGTTGTTGTTGATCTTACATCCTCCTCCCCAACTCTGAATCATATTATTAAAGCAGCCATTTGAAATCATTTTAAACAAAGTAGAAATTGTTCACGTATTTCCTGCACAACCATCTTTGCATCAAATTCATATATATATATATATATATATATATATATATATATATATATATAATGTTCCTGAATGTGAAGGACCGAATATTTGTGCTTTTCTTAACCAAACACTGGATTTCCATCTGAGACTGTTTTTGAAGTTGACAGGGTCTATTGGATATTTATGAAAAACCTGAGAGTTGATAACCGTGAGGCTATAGGTTTAGATGTGCCCTTTATGCTTGTTGGGTGTTTTTTTAATAAAGTAACTGCTTTGCAGAGGGATCTTGTTATCTCTAAAGTAAAACAGATTAGGAAAGCTGTTTTTCAAAGGGATGAGAAAGCATCCATTTCCAGATGTGTCAAAAAACTACTGAATCACACTGTCAAAGGATTATGTGGTTGAAGGCAGAATCAGAAAGAAAGAAAAAAAATGATTTTTACCCTACTATTAAATAAAGAGTTTAGATTGGTTTTAGAATGTCCTTTCCTTTGACAAAATAACTAATGCACAATTTTTTAGAACATATTTTCTGAACTGGAGACTTTTTCTGCTGGATCCTTAGACACAGGAGGGAATATCAAATCTCCCGGAAATCTGGCAGACCACAGAATAGAATAATTTTTATCCCACAGATTTCATATCAGTTGCTTCAAGGACACATGGGACATCATGGTCTATTTAGAGTTATAGTTGGCTTGAGTTTTCTCTTGAGTAGATGTATTTATATAAATACTGAACTGGATTGACTTTATAGTTTTCCTCTAAATCAAAATGGAACATTCACGCCGTCACCTTCACCAGCCCCAGGCAAGATGAAACTAGTAGCGAAAATGCAAGCAGCTATGCTCTGAAAAGAAAGAAAAATATTGGCCTATCCTTGGCAGACACAATTAACTACACCCTCTAGAAATGCATATACGGTTCTCTTTGCCACAGAATGAAGTTGAATCTTATGCTTACCCTAAAATGAGCTTTGTCTTGAATTTCTTCCACAGTTCCTCTCTCTCTCTCTTTCTCTCTCTCTCTCTCTCTCTCTCTCTCTCTCTCGCGCGCTTGCACTTTACATGCAATTCCAGTTTCATTATATGCTGTAGATTTTCCTCATTCGATCAAAACAAATCATACCGAGCCCTTACCACATGCCTGGTGCTCAGGATACAGTTATGGAAAATAAGGTCGGGTTCTTATACTCCAGGAAGTCACATTGAGATGGAGAGAGACATAAACAAATAAATATCACCAGGCCCTAGTAAATGCACTGATTAAAAATAAAACAGGGTAAAAGGCAGAAAGGCCCTTAAGAAGGTGATGTTTAAGCAATGATAAGAATGAAGTCGGTGTTTGAACCAAGTGATTATCTGAAAACAAAGCATGTCAGAAAGAAAGGCCAATGTAAAAACTTTAAGATACAGCAAGCAAGCTTGTGAGTCTAGAGAAGAACGAGCAAAGGAGAATGGAAGAGTTGTGTTTGGAGAGTGAAGGTGGAACCATTTTATATTTGACTATGTAGGAATTAATTTGCTGCTGTTCTAAGGGAGATAAAAGGTCAGGTTGGCTCAGTTGTTCAGTAGCATCACAAACAGTACCACAAGATTCATCACCCACTCCGTTTCTTTGGCCAAACTTGGAATATGAGATGCAGTTTATCCATTTCTAAGTGAGAGTTTCAGAATCACAAGAGCTATAGTTTAATCAGTGAGTATTTGCAACCCGTAAAAGCAAAGGTACATTTTTAGAAGTGAGGGAGATAGTCTGACAGCAGAGTATCTGCTATGATTTAGGAATGTATCATAAGGGGGCTGAGTTCTTTTCAAAGGGTTTAGTTATACTAAACCCTAACTCTTCTAGGTAGACAGTGATTTAGAATTATTGACACAAACACCTTTTTGGAGGCATGAAACATGCCTTTCAGGAATTACCTTTTCAGCACAGAAACATAGATCATATGGGCAGCAAAAAGGCGCAGCACTGACAAAGGCAAGAACAAAGCCCAAACAGAACTGGATGTTGGTGTCTTTGATTTACAGAACAGACCAGGAACAATGAGATCAAAGATGAAGGACTCACAAAGGCTGATCCTCTTGAAAAGGTAAGGAATTGTTTTCCTAAAAGTGTAGATACAAGTAAGATGATCTGAAAAAACTGTGACCCAGAGTGAGAAACACACACACACACACACACACACACACACACAAGGAGATGCTCAGCAGCAGGAGGAGGGGGATTGCTCAGACATCCCCACACCAGCTCCAACTGGAGAGAAAGGAGTTAATTTCACTAGCAGCTTAAGAAAAACTTCCAAGCTCCATGCTCCTCTCTAGACAGTGTAGTGTGGCTTGGCAACCTCACAAACACCTGCTGACCATACAGCCATGTAGAACTAATGCTGTCTTGAAGTGAGTTCAGAAAACCTGCCTATAATTGCTAACAGGACTCAGAAGAGTATAACCTAACAATAAAAATATTTAGATTATGTTGCCCATAAAAAAAAAAACACTCAAAGGCATACTCTTTCTGGCAGCAGTTCTCCTAAAATGTTGCCATATGGATTTATACATATGCAGATTTCCCCAATTAGATGGAGTGCATGCTGGTTAGTTGATGGAGTCCAAGAGGGCTCCATTTGGACTTGAACAAATTAAAGCTGAAATTGCACTCCTATGATTTTTTAGAAACCCAAGAAGATGACTCTGGAAGCCGAATTAGAGGACATAACGAAAACTCAACAACGCAGTCTAATGGACTGGAGTTTCACTGAACATTTTAAACCGAAAGTTCTGCTTCAGGTATTAATGGACCATGAGTCTCTAGGAGACAGTTGGACAGGTCTGGGGAGTCATGCTATGATTTAGAACAGTTCACTTCTAGGTCACTCTTTCAGATCTCGTTCTGATCAATATTCCCATTTACTTCAGCTATAAAAGGAATTTATTCCCAGATTGAACTATGCATGCCCAGGGAATCTACAAAATAGTTTAAAATATGTCTTCTAAAGAGACATTTTTATAAAATCTTCTAAGAAAAAAAGAAAGTACACAACTGCTGCACGTATTTTCCAAGAACAGAAATCAGGCTTTTTTCCCCCCATATTGCCTATCTGGTCTATAAGTTTTCACTACATTTCAAAGTATTTTCCTTTTTAAACATATTTTTTTCTTTATTTGAGAGAGCGATCGGGGGAGGGGCAGTGGGGAGGGAGAGAGAGACTCTCAAGCAGACTCCAACTGAGCATGGAGCGGGAGGACCCTGAGATCGTCACCTGAGCCAAAGCCAAGAGTTGGAGGACTCAACTGACTGAGCCACCCAGGTGACCCTCTAAGTATTTTCTGATGCAGTTAACAGGACAATGGAACTTGCAATAACTAGTATTTATTGAACACTTACTATACGGTAGCAATGACTTGTAAGTATTATTTGCTCATTTAATCCTTACAACAATCTTATAAAATAGTAACTGTAAATAGTGGGAAATTGAGACAACTTGACCAGTAGTACCTTTTGCCCAAGGGTCACATGGCTGACAAGTAAGAGAAGCAGGGTATGAACCCAAGAAATCTGGCCCCAGAACTTGTCCTCTTAACCATTATGTAAAATCACAAGTAACCCTATACTTTCTATGTTTTATGCAAAAACCTATACTAATTTTTGTTTTATCTTTCTAATTTTAATTTTACCAATACGTTTTACATCCACATATTTTTAAAGCCAGAAAATTCTGTACCGAGTCTTATGAATAATAGTAGCTCTCCCCCACTCCATGCCTAAATTCCCAAAGGTAAAAATCCTCAAGTTATTTATTTACTTATTTATGGTGTTACTTAACTCAGTAATCTCTAATAACAAGTCACATTTTGTTTAGTTTTAGTTTTGGCTGGGCATCATCATCAATTGATTCCCTCTTTGAGAAATTCCCATGCAACATGTGCACACCCGCATACATACACACCCACACAAGTACATACTCACTCACACATGCCTACATGCACACTAGCACTTCTTGCCATCCACTAGCACTGTTAACCATATCATCATTTTTATTAGATCAATATTCAATATTTACTTTATTTCATTTATATATATGTTATTCAGATGAATATGAATATGTTATTCATATTCATAGCTGGACTATGTGAATACTCTGTGATTAGATTTCCTTTCTTGATACCATTTTTGTTTTCCTTGGAGTTTGTTTTCTCATTTTTTTTTCATTGGTGTAGCTTAGTATGCATTTATCGTTACTCATCTGCAAACTCTCTACCGAAGAGTAAAATCTCCTTTGAATACATTCAAAGCTAATAGGCATTGTATCAGTTTTACCATCTAAGCCAACTCTCTCACATATGCTCTGAACTCCCACTAGCCCTCCAGGCCTGCTTCGCAGCTGTGGGTCTAGGAGCTTCCTTTATTGGCATCCTGGTCACACCCTTGGCCTCTCTTTCAGAAACCAAATACTCTGGCTTATGAACCCCATGTCATCTTCTTTCTTGGGTTACTTGTAGGGGACTACCTCCTGTAGTTGCTTCCTGACTTAAAATAGATGGCAGGTAAATTTTGGGAGCATTGAACATTTGAAAACATCTTATTTCTACCCTTACATTTGAGTGACAGTTTGGCTTTATATAAAATGCTAAGTTAGAAAACATTTTCCCGAAAATTTTGAGGCCATTCCTCAGTAGTGGTCCAGCTTCTTGGATTCTTCTTGAGAAAACAAGCAACAAACAAACAAGCAAACAAAAAATGAAATTCTAATTCCTGATCAGTTGAGTCTGGTTTTTTTTTTTTTTCTTATCCTTCTCTCTGGAAGATTTTAAGATCTTCTGTTTGTTCCAGTGTTTTTGGTTTCCTGTCGATGATGCCTTGATGTCGTTCTATTTCCAAGTATCATATTGGCAAGCTCAGTACAATCCAGAAACTCCCGTCTTTATATTCTGGAATTAGCTACAGTCATTTTTCTAATAGTCTGCTTCTTTCCATCTTTTCTATTATTTCTCCAGGGGGGAAAATGCGAATCTCTCATCTGAAAGATATAATTTACCTGTCAGGGTATTGGGACCTGAGTGGTCTGGGGAGAAGGCAATTAGGCTCCTTGCCATTCATCCTCTAGCTCTGCATCCTTCAATATGGTAACCACTAGGCACATGTAGCTTCTGAGTACTTGAAATGTAGTTGGTCCAAATTGAGATGTTCTGTGAGTTTGACATACTATATATATATATACCAAATTTCAAAGACTTAATATGAAAAAAGCAGATATATCTCATTAACAATTTTTATACTGATTACATATTGAAATGATCATATTTTTTACACATTGGGTTAAGTAAAATATATTTTTAAAATGAATTTTACCTGTTTCTTTTTACTTTTAAAGTGTGGCTACTATACAATTTGGAATTACACGGTGGGTCACCTTATATTTCCTGGACATCCATTTAACTTTTAGGCAATTTCCATTTTTTCTGTAGTACACCTCTCCCTTGGCAGTGTCTAGGATTCCTTTTCTCAGAATCCACTGGGTCATTCCATAAGCTAATAATCCTCCCTTTGTCTGCTAAGGGGGGAGATAGGCAGGCGGCTCCTTGCTTGAGAGCTTCTTCGAGCCCGAACAGCTTCTTAAAAATATTTTAATCTTCCTGTTTGCAGTACCACTTTCACCCCGTTCTCAGAAGTACCTCGTCCTGCCATTTCTTGAGCTTTTCTGCACTTCTTGCACACAAGTACGGTTACTTCTGATCTCTTATTAAATTAATCTTAGAACTTGATTTTCTATGTCTGCTGTCAGCCACCCCTTGTCCTTCTGCTTTTCAGCTTCTAAACTGTGTTGCCTTTGTCTCCTTTCCTCTGACCTTTATTTCATGATATTAAAACCCAATAATTTCACCATTCTTTTAGTGAGGTGTCGAGAAGTACATATGTTTAAGCTTTCATCCCCACCTGGACATTCATTTCAGGCTTTTTTTTTTTTTTTTTTTTTTGATTTGGCTCTGTCCTCACCACTCCATGAAGCTGCATGATAACCACCCTGCCAAATCTAATGGACAATTATCTTTCTTCATCTCCCTGGACCTTTTAACAGCATCACAGAGTTTCTCACTTCACCGTGAAACACTCCTCACTCTCACTTTCCAACATGCCATACTGTATTTCTCCTCGGTGCTCTGTTTGGAATTTTGTTGACTTAATGTTTAAATATTGAAATGCCTGGAGTCTCAGCCCTGAACCATCTTCTCTCTATTGTAAACATTCTTGTGATGATTTCATGTATATATACATATATATATATATGATCTTTGCTAATGACTCCTAAAATTTTATCCTCCAAATAATTTCTCTCTCAAGTTCCACACTAGAACACCTAATTCCAAATTCCACTTGAATTTCTGACCCGCATCTCAATTTCATTGTCCCAAATGAGGCTCGTAATTTTCCCACCTACGCATGTTTCTCTCCTCATCCATCTCGGAAGATATCACCTTCAAGCCAAAAGGCTAAGAATCATCCTTCATCTCTGCTTTTCCTGTATCCTGCGTGTCTGATCCATCATCGAGTTTTGATGCCATCAAAGTTCCTCACCATCTCCAGCCTTGCTACACCAGTCCAGCCACCACCCTGTTGTTGTTCTACCACAGGATCTTCCTAATCATCAACCTACTTCTGCTCCTGTCCAATTTGTTCTATGAATCAGATACTCCATCAATTTCATCTTCTCAGGATATGTCCCTGAGTCCAGGATGAGCTATAAAAATCTTAATCAGTTTTTAAATGAAAATCTATCTTGTTCACTTTTGTTTTCCTAAAATCTACACAGTACCTGGCACATAGTAGGTGCTTATTTTTTTAAGTGAAGTATAACATACAGTGTTATATTAGTTTCAGGTGTAAAATATAATGATTCAACTATTCTATACATTACTCAGTGCTAATCACAGTAAGCTTACTCTTAATCCCCTTCACGTCTTTCACCCATCCCCTCTGGGCAACCACCAATTTGTTCTCTGTATTTAAGAATCTGATTTTTTGGGCAGCGCAGGTGGCTCAGCAGTTTAGCGCTGCCTTCGGCCCACGGCGTGATCCTGGAGACCTGGGATTGAGTCCCATGTTGGGCTCCCTGCATGGAGCCTGCTTCTCCCTCTGCCTGTGTCTCTGCCTCTCTCTCTCTCACTCTGTGTCTCTCATGAATAAATAAATACAATATTTTTTTAAAAATCTGATTTTTTGTCCTTTTTTCTTTGTTCATTTATTTTGCTTCTTAATTCCACATATGAGTGAAATCATATGATATCTGTCTTTCTCTGACTGACTTATTTTACTTAGCATGATACTCCCTAGATTCATCCATGTTGTTACAAATGGCAAGAGTTTTTTTTATGTCTGAGTAATATTTAGTTGTATATATACACACAATAAGTATATATATTTAATTGTATACATATAGTATACATTATACATTGTGTATATATATTTAATTATGTATATATATTATATATGTTATATCATATGCCATATCATATATATGTGCCACATTTTCTTTTTTTTTAAATAAATTAATTTTTATTGGTGTTCAATTTACCAACATACAGAATAACACCCAGTGCTCATCCCATCAAGTGTCCCCCTCAGTGCCCGTCACCCATTCACCCCCACCCCCCGCCCTCCTCCCCTTCCACCACCCCTAGTTCGTTTCCCAGAGTTAGGAGTCTTTATGTTCTGTCTTCCTTTCTGATATCTCCCACACATTTCTTCTCCCTTCCCTTATATTCCCCTTCACTATTATTCATATTCCCCAAATGAATGAGAACATACACTGTTTGTCCTTCTCCGATTGACTTACTTCACTCAGCATAATACCCTCCAGTTCCATCCACGTTGAAGCAAATGGTGGGTATTTGTTGTTTCTAATGGCTGAGTAATATTCCATTGTATACATAAACCACATCTTCTTTATCCATTCATCTTTCGATGGGCACCGAGGCTCCTTCCACAGTTTGGCTATTGTGGACATTGCTGCTAGAAACATCGGGGTGCAGGTGTCCCGGCGTTTCATTGCATCTGAATCTTTGGGGTAAATCCCCAACAGTGCAATTGCTGGGTCATAGGGCAGATCTATTTTTAACTCTTTGAGGAACCTCCACACAGTTTTCCAGAGTGGCTGCACCAGTTCACATTCCCACCAACAGTGTAAGAGGGTTCCCTTTTCTCCGCATCCTCTCCAACATTTGTTGTTTCCTGCCTTGTTAATTTTCCCCATTCTCACTGGTGTGAGGTGGTATCTCATTGTGGTTTTGATTTGTATTTCCCTGATGGCAAGTGATGCGGAGCATTTTCTCATGTGCTTGTTGGCCATGTCTATGTCTTCCTCTGTGAGATTTCTGTTCATGTCTTTTGCCCATTTCATGATTGGATTGTTTGTTTCTTTGGTGTTGAGTTTAATAAGTTCTTTATAGATTTTGGAAACTAGCCCTTTATCTGATGTGTTATTTGCAAATATCTTCTCCCATTCTGTAGATTGTCTTTTAGTTTTGTTGACTGTATCCTTTGCTGTGCAAAAGCTTCTTATCTTGATGAAGTCCCAATAGTTCATTTTTGCTTTTGTTTCTTTTGCTTTCGTGCATGTATCTTGCAAGAAGTTACTGTGGCTGAGTTCAAAAAGGGTGTTGCCTGTGTTCTCCTCCAGGATTTTGATGGAATCGTGTCTCACATTTAGATCTTTCATCCATTTTGAGTTTATCTTTGTGTATGGTGCAAGAAAGTGGTTTAGTTTCATTCTTCTGCATGTGGATGTCCAATTTTCCCAGCACCATTTATTGAAGAGACTGTCTTTCTTCCAGTGGATAGTCTTTCCTCCTTTATCGAATATTTTAGTTGACCATAAAGTTCAGGGTCCACTTCTGGGTTCTCTATTCTGTTCCATTGATCTATGTGTCTGTTTTTGTGCCAGTACCACACTGTCTTGATGACCACAACTTTGTAGTACAACCTGAAATCTGGCATTGTGATGCCCCCAGATATGGTTTTCTTTTTTAAAATTCCCCTGGCTATTCGGGGTCTTTTCTGATTCCACACAAATCTTAAAATAATTTGTTCCAACTCTCTGAAGAAAGTCCATGGTATTTTGATAGGGATTGCATTATATGTGTAAATTGCCCTGGGTAACATTGACATTTTCACAATATTAATTCTGCCACTCCATGAGCATGGAATATTTTTCCATCTCTTTGTGTCTTCCTCAATTTCTTTCAGAAGTGTTCTATAGTTTTTAGGGTATAGATCCTTTACCTCTTTGGTTAGGTTTATTCCTAGGTATCTTATGCTTTTGGGTGCAATTGTAAATGGGATTGACTCCTTAATTTCTCTTTCTTCAGTCTCATTGTTAGTGTATAGAAATGCCATTGATTTCTGGGCATTGATTTTGTATCCTGCCACGCTACCAAATTGCTGTATGAGTTCTAGCAATCTTGGGGTGGAGGCTTTTGGGTTTTCTATGTAGAGTATCATGTCATCGGTGAAGAGGAAGAGTTTGACTTCTTTTTTGCCAATTTGAATGCCTTTTATTTCTTTTTGTTGTCTGATTGCTGAGGCTAGGACTTCCAGTACTATGTTGAATAGCAGTGGTGAGAGTGGACATCCCTGTCTTGTTCCTGATCTTAGGGGAAAGGCTCCCAGTGCTTCCCCATTGAGAATGATATTTGCTGTGGGCTTTTCGTAGATGAGTGCCACATTTTCTTTATCCATTCATCCATGGTTGAACACTTGGGTTGCCACCATATCTTGGCTATTATTAATAACACTGTAATAAGTATGTGTTTATTTTTTTAATTAACTAATTAGTTTATGGTACCAGCAATATTAATAGAGAATAATAGGTAAAAGCCAAGTAGTAAAAAAAGGTGAAAAAAGATACATGAAAACCTGTCAAGCATTGATTAAGAGCAACTATAGCTCTGAGAAACTTAGTGCTATAAATTCTAGCAGCTAAAGTAAATAGAAAAACAAATTTTGCAGAGCTCTCTAATGGAAAGAAGGATACATGTTCATCGGAAATGAGCATATTTGGTTTGGGGGGTTAAAGTCTTTTTTTTTAAATAATAAATTTATTTTTTTATTGGTGTTCAATTTGCCAACATACAGAATAACACCCAGTGCTCATCCCGTCAAGTGACCCCCTCAGTGCCCGTCACCCCTTCACCACCACCACCCCCGCCCTCCTCCCCTTCCACCACCCCGGGGGGTTTAAAGTCTTAAAGGAATTTACCTTTCCAAAAAGAAAGGTAATGAATAATACCCTATGTAACAAAATCAAACAAACAAAATTAATGCAAAAATATTCACTACATGTGTTTTTCTGGTATTACTTCTCAGGGAACAGATGTAATAGTTTAAATGCCACTCCATAAAGACTCTCATACAGGGGAGTAGATTGGGGAAGTAAACACATTATTTTGGTAATGCTACCAGTGTAAAATTGGAAACAAAAGTAAAACAGTTCTTTCCTAACATAATATGCAATTCCATACTGTCAGATCACCCAAACAGTAAAGAACTAAAAATTCCTACGTAGGATTGATGTTGAAAACAAAAACAAAAACAACAGCCCACAGCTATCTAATTTATTTCCCTGTGAACATGTTTCCTTATGTTGATTAGCAGTGAAATGGAAGCAGGATACAAGTGTGCCTGCCCTCTCTACCCCTCTGTTGGTAGCTGCAATTCCAAGTCATGCTGAGGGTGGAATGTTTTGGGAAAGGCCAGGGTTAGAAGGCGTGTGGAAAGTCTTTATGAGAAAGACTACTCACCTCATTCCTCTATACTACAGCATGGTGTAGTAGAAAGCACTCTTCAGAGTGCAAAATGGTGACACTTAGACTGGCATTAAGCCCTGACCCTGGAACTTATGAACTCTGTTGTTAGGCAAATCTTTCACCCTCTCTTAGCTCCAATTTACACTGAAAAATGAGGATTTTAGTATTTTGAAGGGGGAAAAATAATTGTACCTATTTATCTGGGGATTTTAAAATGAGATGATCTGGGATCCCTGGGTGGCGCAGCGGTTTGGCGCCTGCCTTTGGCCCGGGGCGCGATCCTGGAGACCCGGGATCGAATCCCACGTCGGGCTCCCGGTGCATGGAGCCTGCTTCTCCCTCTGCCTGTGTCTCTGCCTCTCTGTCTCTCTCTGTGTGACTATCATGAATAAATGAATAAAATCTTTAAAAAAAAAATAAAATAAAATAAAATGAGATGATCTATATGAAGGCATGCAAAATGTTAAATAGCTGCTTGACTTAATTATTATCTCCCAGCCTTAATAAATTAAAAACACTTGAGCAGATGCCTGTATGCCTGGAAACTAGTATCTGTTTTTCTATAAGAGTTGCTGAATTCAGCTCCAAAAAAATCTACCACTTACATTCTCACCAGTGAGACTAACAGTGTGGAAATAAAAAGAGGGTCTCCTGCTAAGCTGAGATATGCCCTAGCAGGAGAGCTTTCTCCTGGGGGTGGAGGGGGGAACACAATGCAAATATTTTGATTTTAGGTTCTGCAAGAAGCCAGTCAGCAATACAGGTGGATTGATTCTTATTACCATACCCAGGACAACTCTCTACTTTTAGTCTTTCATAATCCAATGAATACACAACGTCTGCATTGTGAACATTGGAACGTTGCTCTTCACTCCAACGTTGGATTCAGGTAACCAACTCAGATAGTTTAGTTAATAGCTATCTTAGTTTAGTTAGCTCGTTAGTTACTTAGCTACTTAGCCTAAGCAAGGTAGTTCAAGCCAAAAATAAAAAAAACCTTCAATTGGCTTATTGAACCCTGCTGTGCTTAAATTAAAGTTCCTACAAATAAATTAAGAATGCAGGAGTAAGAATCATAGGGTTGAGAAAGTGAACACACACACAGACCACAAACACATAATTACATAACCTAGGAAGTATAACTAGAAAACAACTCTAAAGAGTTCTGATTAGAATATAATACATCATTGGCTCTCCTGACTCTCAGCTTTGTGTTTGTAGATCTTAGTATTTCTCAGCCTCTAAAATTGTGTGAGCCAATTCTGCATAATAAATATTTTTTCTTTCTCTCTCTACACATCTTATTGGTTCTATTTTTCTGGAGAACCCTGACTAATATTCCTTACAAACTTTTATGAGAGTTATACAGCCAAAGAAGCTTGCAGCATGTACTAAGCAATGTGTGATCATACTTATTGGAAAATACTATAAAATGTAAGCTGATTTTGAAAACATTATCACTAATCATATTTTTGTTACTTAAGAATGCTAGCCAGGATCTCAGAGTCCTGGAACAGAGCCTCATCTCTGGTTGTCTGCTCACCAGGGAGTCTGCTTCTCCCTCTCCCTTTCAAATGAATAAATAAAATCTTAAAAAAAAAAGAATCCTAAAAACAAAACAAACAAACAAACAAAAACCCTTCAGGGGATCCCTGGGTGGCGCAGATCAGGGGATCCCTGGGTGGCGCAGCGGTTTGGCGCCTGCCTTTGGCCCAGGGCGCGATCCTGGAGACCCGGGATCGAGTCCCACATCGTGCTCCCGGTGCATGGAGCCTGCTTCTCCCTCTGCCTGTGTCTCTGCCTCTCTCTCTCTCTCTGTGACTATCATAAATAAAAAAACAAAAAAAACAAAAAAAAAAAAAACACCTTCAATTTAGTTTATCCAGTTGAACATCTGAGGTGTACCAGGCACTGTGATAAGCATCAAAGCTATACTGCTCTGATGACAGGCATCATTCCTGGATCAGTTAAGTCTAGTGAGGATATTATTACCTTATAGTTGATTTGTTTGGGCTCTAATACAACTACCTCTGAAATATTTCAAGTAGGAACTATAAAACATGACATGCTGCATGCTGATTTTGGATAACTCCACTTAATTTGAGGAAGACTCAAAAGTAGGGCAACTGAGTGACATATCAACACAGCAGCTCAGCAAATAGACCTCTAGGAATCAGTAGTGATTTTTTTTTCTTCCGAGTTCCTTCATTATTTCTTCATGATCTTAAAGTTTTGTTCTCTCTTCTCATTAATGATGAGAATACCTCATTATTTTTTTCACTGCTGGTTGATGTATAACCAGTATTGATTATTTTATTTTATACAGCTTTGTTTTATTTTAAAAGGATACAGAAAGATACAGAGAATGGATGTACAGAATAACTGGGGAAACAGGTCGTATGCTAATCCTTTGCTCAATATACAGAAGCTTACATCATATAGTACATTATTTTGGGAAGGTTAGGAACACTTTACATGGAAAACCATTTAGAGATAGAGCTACTCACCTGCCTAGGGGCTGGATGACCAGGCCCAATGGGAGAGATGATAGTGTGAAAGGATGAGGAACAGATTATCTACAACTTCTGCAGTTCTTCTAAGGTTTATCTTCTATTCAGAATTTCTATTTCTTCTTCAATCACTTTTGGTAATTTACATTGTTCTACAACCTCATGCATGACATTTGGATTTTAGATGTCTATTAGAATAAAATTGAAACATATTTTCATGATGAATGTCCATTCCTGAGAGAGATAAATTAAGGTCTGTCTTTATTATTATAATTTTGGCTATTTCTGGGATCCCTGGGTGGCGCAGCAGTTTGGCGCCTGCCTTTGGCCCAGGGCGCGATCCTGGAGACCCGGGATCGAATCCCATGTCGGGCTCCCGGTGCATGGAGCCTGCTTCTCCCTCTGCCTGTGTCTCTGCCTCTCTCTCTCTCTGTGTGTGACTATCATAAATAAATAATAAAAAAAAAATTAAAAAAAAAAATTTTGGCTATTTCTTCTGTTAGTTTTTCATGTGTACTGTGTCTATATGTGTGTATATTTAAACTTATTTTTGAATCTGTATTTTTAGAAGTATCCTTTTTAACGCATTGTAACTTTCACCAACATGATAAAACGTCTTGTTCCCTTTAATGCCCTGGACCTTGAATTTCACCAGCTTTGATATTAGTATTTTGGAACAGTATCTTTTATATAAAAATTTACTGATATAACTTTCTCAGTCATTTTTCAGGTCAACTAGGAATTGCACCTACAGTGGCTAAACTTATTAATAAGGGAATTCTTTTTCTTCTCTAGTGAGAAATTTGGAATTGAACAGTATCTCAGGGATAGTGTAGCTACTCACCAAAGTCATCAAGAATCTGGACTTTTTCTGGCTTCCTAGTCAGCCATCTGCCATTCTTTTATTTTTCTGCATCATTTTGATTTGTGAATCTTAAGCAGGCCCCACACTCCGCACAGAGCCAACTGAGGGGAGGGGTGGAAGAATGGGGGGTAGTAGGCTCAATCTCATTTCCCTGAGATCATAACCTGAGCTGAAATCAAGAGTTAGACACTTAACTGACTGAGCCACCCAGGCATCCCTAAAACTTTGTATTTTAAAGAATTAATCTGTTCACTTCTATTTTTATCAGTAATGTCTTTGGCCTCATTCTTAACCATTTAATAAGTATATTTCTACTTTAAGATTAATCTCTTTTCTTCCTTTTGTTAGATTGAATTTTTAGTTCATTCTTACTGTGTGATGTTTTTAAAGTTATACATTCTATTTATATCCTTCTAGAAGTTGTCCTTTTAAATCACATATTTAAACATTTTGTATCGTAATTGGGGTTAATGAATACTAATATCATTTCACAGAAAATGTTAAAATTTTTAACATTTTACTTATTCCCAACCAATCACCTACCTCCCATTTTGAAAGTGTCTAGAAATTTTATTTCCAATTATTAAGTAATATTTTTAATAACAAACAAGTAACACAGTTATTTTACATTTAATTACCAATTGTACTGTTTTTTTTCCTCAGCCCTTTTATTTATATCCCATGTTGTCTTCTTTCTTGGATTTATTTTTTCAATGCAGCTGGAGTACATTTGTGAGTAATTCTTTCAGAAAGTATCTGTGGCTGGCGAATTCCTGAATCCTTGCATGCTGAAATATTTCTATTTTGTCATCTCATTTGAATACTGATTTGGCTGTGTTCCCTCATCATGAAAAAATAGCAAGAACTCTAGGTTTTGTTTGAAAGGCAGATTCATGAAAGGTTCCGAACTGGAGAGAGACATGATCTAAAGAATAAGAAGAATCTCTCTAGTGGCTCTGTGGAAAATAGACTACAGCAGGTCCAGGGTAGGGACACGGAGACCAGTTGGGAGGCCACAGTAGCCACCCTAGCAAAGGGTAATGGTGGCTTAGACCAAGAAGATAGCAGTGAAGCAAAGGGGAAGTGATTAGATTTTGAGTATATTTTAAATGTGTTTTAAAAAATCATTTGGATCTCCCAACAGATTGGAAAAGGAGTGCGATAAAATAAGGATGCCTTCAGGGTCTTTGGGCTGATCAACTAGGAGTATAGACTTGCCAACAACTAAGATGCCAAAAGGCCTCACAGGGCAGTTTGGAGAGGAAGATTAATTAGTTTGAGAACAGGTTGAGTTTGAGATGTCCTTTCCCTTCCCAATGAAGATACCGCGTACCCATAACTCATAGACTATAGTTTTCAGTTTATTTCTTTAAAAGGGATCAAGAATGAAAGGAAATTGTGAAACAACCTGCGTATAGAATCCCTCCAGCTTTATTTTTCAAGCCTTAGACCTCACTTTCACACAATTTGACAGTAACTAATCTTGATTGTCAAATCTAAATGTTTCAACTTATTTCCTCAGAAACAACTCTCTGGGGACATTCAGATGCTGTAAGTATACATAAGATTTCATTAAAAATAAGTACAATCATCAGACTAAATAGTGTGAATGGATTTGGGAACAAAAATGACTGACTCACAGTGAGCAAACTACTCGCTGGTGTGAGCATAAGTGCACAAGCAGTTTAAGGCACAGTATTTAGGGTGTATTTGCAGGCCAGTAAGTTTTACAGCAAGACTGGAGCATTTCAATTAATCCAGTGAGTCAGTTAGCTGTCATTAATTAAGAGAGTTTCTATTATGCTATAAAATCACTCTAAAAAGGGATTGTATCGTATTATTCTCCAGCTAAGTGTTGAGAGTATCAAACTTTTTAATCCTTGACTGGAGTGGAATCATCTCATTTTAAACTTGTCTTTAACTATGAACAAAGTTGGGCACTTTTCACATGCTCACTGGGTATTTGTATTTGACAACTTTGCACAAATCACATCTAGGATCTATCTGAATCTATTACATTTGTTACATGGGCAATTTAGGATCAGTTCATCTTTGAAAAGTTCATTTTCACAGTTGGTATCTTAAGTATTGATTGATTTTAATTAATAGTAACTCAATTGTCATTTGCTCTTTTTCAAACTTTATTTTAGGAATTATTTGGAACTTGTGGCAAAATCCATTCAAGATTGGATCATAAAAGAAGAAGCCATATATCAGGAATCTAAAATGGCTGAGGAAATTAATAGGACAAAGGCTGAGCTGGAATTGAAATCTGCTGGTGGCAAAATCACTTCTCCTGGCAAAATCAATGCTGTTAAAAAATCTAAAAGTAAGTAACTGGTTGAACTTACTTGTAAAGTCCAAAGACATCCTCCTATTTGTTAATGTAACCAAGACTGAATACTTCAGTATTAAAAGGAGTTGCCTACAAATTTCTGTGACCCTTTGCCTTCTCTAAAAAATAGAAGAGCTGAGTTCCAAATATGATGAGATTGATGATAAGATAATGGAATATTTGTCCTATATTGATGCCACTTTCCGCCAGATTTGGAAGATTTGCTCTGTCCTGCAGATCAAATGTGATGTTAGGGAAATGCCAGATGTCTTTATTTTGGTAAGGTAGATAGGTTCAGCTATCTAAGATTTGTTGCCAATATGAGGCAATTCAGAGTCAGCATGTCTCCATTTGAATACTTTTAGATTCGAAAAGTGAAATTAAAACAAGACCTTTCTTAGAAGAGCAAGCAGAGAGTCCCAAGACTAACTGGGGGTAGGAATCTAAAAATAAAGGAAAATGAATTATTCGGAGCTTGTGACGGGCACTTGACAGGATGTAGGATCATTACCTATGTTTATTTTTGTTAATTTCCATGGCTTTGATGCTGTTGGGGAAGGGAAAGAGGGTGAAAAAAAGAGGAAAGATACTTGATAAAGAAGTAAAGCAATGAGATAAGTTCTCTGGAAAATAGAGAAAGCTCACTAGGTTCGTGCAAAGGGGAAGGTTTCCATGTTAATAATATTCATTATTTCTGATAGCAGAAGTTGAGAATGATTTCTCATAAAGAAGCAAAGGTATTTATTTTCCAAAGATTTTGCAACTTCTGTCAATCAACAAAGGAATTAGTGCTTGGCTTAATTCCAAAATAAAAATTAGCCACGTTGGTAATGAATTAGTTACCATCCACTAAAATGGTTATAATAATCAACCTATTAGCTTGGCCTTCATCCTGATGGGGGCACAAAAGGACAGCACTAAAAACCTGGAACGACGGACAAGACTATATAAAAAGGATGTAGGGCCACCCTTTCACAATAACATCTAGGGCCATTACTTGCCTACAACCAGGAAAAATTGTGGGTTGACTGCCTTTTCTCTATTCTGCTTCTGAACAGAATCGAAAGCTTAATTACTATCTAGATGTAGGGAAATGCAGAAAATGGTCAGTTTGGGATGGGAATACACTTGGTAGGTATTGCATTCAGTTTGAGAGCTTTTGAGTCAGGATGATTGTAAATCTTCAAAACAGAATGACTATAATGGCAAGAGGAGGGCTTCAATATGAAAGTATAAGTTAGATTTCTTCTGTGTGGTCTTTGAAGGGTTTAAACTAGGATTAATTAGGTTAAAGCTCCAGGGAGAGAGAGGCAACTGCAATACAAGTTTCAAGTTCAAGTTCAAGGCAGCATGAGAATGGAATGCATTACCTCCCCCAATGAGACAACCACTCTGGAGACAACCAAAAAGAGTGAGGGGTGAAAGAATGGAGAGTTGGACTTGGTAGCCTTTAAAGTCCCTTTTAATCCAGACCTTTGGTCCTACTATGAAACTTTGTTGTAGAGAGTTACTAAGAAGTTTCATTTTCTCTGGTTATAGGTAACAAAGGAATGAGCAAAACAGAGATAGCAGATCAAGAAAAAGAAAAGGAAAAAGAGAAAGAGAAGATTGCTTTCATTTTAGAAGGCTCTCTCAAGGTAATGCAAGGAAAGACAAAGGACACTGAGTAATTACACATTCAGATTTATTGTGTGATAGAGAGCTTGTGTAGTGTAACAGAAGTGATCTTTTTTTGCTAAACTTTCAGAAATAATTGAACCTGCAATGAAAGGGCAGTCTCTCCACCGAGCTGTCTCCTCCTTCAGATGATAAACCTTTAAGGCCTGTGTGATTCATTTTTATATAACCAAAATCCAAGGCAGTGCCTTGTTTATAATCAGTATACTGTTTCTGCTGCAGGTGTTTGGTTGTTGTTTCCAATTTTTAATTGGAATTTTTAATTACAAAATTAATTATGGTTTATCATAAATCAAAATTACTTTGACTCTCCCAAGCCCCTGAAAATAAGAAACATTAACAATTTAGCATGCTCTATACTCATAAATGCATGCGTACACAAATACAAAGAGGGTCTTCACTTGTTTGGTTTTGATTTAGACTGGTATGCCACATAGCTTTTTTGCGTAGCACCATATCATAACTATCACTACCATATAATATCTGAGATCTAACTTATTTTCATAGCAATATTATTAGTCCATAATTTAGATATGTGTAAAGTATTAAAGTTTTCTTATTAATAAGTGTCATTTGTGTTTCTATTTAAACAGAAATATTTTACTTTTATGTAGTCAAATCAGTCATTTTTGGCCAAAATTTAAAAGGCACAATACCACATTTTGGCAAGGATATGAAGCAAAGTGAATTCTTATGTACTGCTGGTTGAAATTAAGTAGGCACTTCCACTCTGGAAAACTGGACATATCTACAAAAATCAAGCATACAATTTCTTTTTAACCTAACAAGTCCACTCCTAGGTATATACCTAGTAGAAATGTATGCATGTGTGCATCAAGACACATGGACAAAGTTGTTCTTGCAGCATTATCTTTAATTCTCCTAAACTAGAGACAATTCAAATATTCAGCAGTGGAGGGCGCCCGGGTGGTTCAGTGGCTGAGCATCTGCCTTTGGCTCAGGTTGTGATTCCAAGTCCTGGGATTGAGTCCCACATCCGGCTCCCCGCAGGGAGCCTGCTTCTCCCTCTGCCTATGTCTCTGTCTCTCTCTGTCTCTCATGAATAAATAAATAGATAAATAAATAAATAAATAAATAAATAAATAAATAAATAAATAAATATCTTAAAAAAATATATTCAACAGTGGAATGCCTAGAATGGTTCAGTCATAGGAAAAACTGTACAGCTCTGGGAATGAATTACTAGAGCTACACACAGAAATATGGATCAATCTCACAAACATCATGCTGAACACAAGAGAGAGTGAAAAGAATATATTCATTATGTATGACTTCATTTACATAAAGCTTAAAAGCATGCAAAACGAAGCTGAAGTATTGCAGATTAGCATAATGGCTGCCTTGAGGCAGTAGAGGTGGGAAGTGATTAGGAAGAAGTTTAAGAAGGGTTTCTTGCTGGTGGTTACAGGAGTTTTTAATTGGTGGTAATTCATTCTTCTATTCAATTAGGATTTATGCTGTTTGGTATGTATGTTATAGCTTCTCCAAAAAAAATTTTTTTAATCTGTCATTCTTGGGGGCACGGGGTGGCTCAGTGGTTGAGCATCTGACTTTGGCTCAAGACCCTGATCTTCAAAAAAAAAAAAAAAAAAAGACCGTGATCTTCAGGATCGCAAGTCCCACATCAGGGAGCCTGCTTCTCCCTCTGCCTATGTCTCTGCCTCTCTCTGTATCTCTCCTGAATACATAAATAAAATCTTAAAAAAAAAAAAATCTGTCATTCTTTATATGGTTTCAGGGCTTCTATCAGATTAATTTCACCTTGATTATATGTTAATTTTCTTGTACTCTCTTAGAATATTTTCATAGATAAACTTTTTATATTCGGATATCAAATGTATCTGAAATTCATTTTTTATATTGTAATTAAAGGAGTTTTTTCTCTGCATGCATGGACTATTACTTTATTAGTACCACTTAATTAAATGTAACATTAATCACTCCCCTACATATGCAACTAAATTGGAATGTTGACTATATAAAATATTAGGTACTTATTTATTTTTATTTCTTATTTTTGTGACTTATTTATTTTATTACTGGAAATTTGTACCTCTTAACCCTCTTCATCCATTCATTTTTGGGGGGGTCCATTTTTGAATGCTGTATTCTGTTTCAGTGGTCTATTTAATTATTCCTTTGCAAGCACCATACTATTTTAATTACAACAACTTTGTTGTAAGCTTAAATATGGAGTAGGCAAGAGTTGACTTCCACACTCCATTACTATGCAATAAACCTCAAAACAATGTGGCCTAATCTTGGTGAGCCTCCAGGCTTCTGGGTCTTGATGGTAAAAATATTACATGGCAAATCGTTAAGTTTATTATTAGTTGCTGCTTAGTTTTATTAATTTTTTAAAAATTATTTGGTTTTTCTCCTTTATTTTATTAATAATATTGAATTATGGAGATTTATTTAATAATATGAAAAATATTTGCATTTCTAAATCAAACTCCTCTTCGATATATCTTAAAGTTTAGTCCTCATCCCACATAATGGCATATATTATAATATATATATTATATATTATACATTATATGTTATAGTCTCTGGGGAGAGACTTAAAATACATATGTCTTCATTCCATCTTTTTTTTAAGATTTTATTTATTTATTCATGAGAGACACACACACAGAGAGAGAGAGAGAGAGAGGCAGAGACACAGGCAGAGGGAGAAGCAGGCTCCATGGAGGGAGCCTGATGTAGGGCTTGATCCCAGGACTCCAGGATCACACCCTCGGCTGAAGGCAGGCGTTAAACCCCTGAGCCACCCAGGGATCCCTCTTTATTCCATCTTAATTGCAGCTTTGTGAGTAGAATCTAGAAATTTTAATTTTCAATAAGTTCCTAGAGCCATCTTTTGTACATCATAGAATAAGAATTATAGTATTTTTTCATTGTATGTTATTTTAATAAATAACTGGGTTTGATCTGATAATATTTTATCTAGAATTTCTGTGTCCATGATAAATGAAATATTCTATAGACTTTTGCATTGCTATTAACAAGCATCAGTATTAAGATTAGTTTGGTTTTTAAAATAAATTAAGGAAGTTTGGCAGGGTTGCTGTATACAAGATTAACATGGAAAAAAGGCATTGGAGTTCCTATTCAACAGCAATAACTAATTACAAAATGTAATAGAAAAGAAGTACCTCTGTGAGATTTCTGTTCATCATGTCTTTTACCCATTTCATGATTGGATTGTTTGTTTCTTTGCTGTTGAGTTTAATAAGTTCTTTATAGATCTTGGAAACTAGCCCTTTATCTGATACGATATTTGCAAATATCTTCTCCCATTCTGTAGTTGTCTTTGAGTTTTGTTGACTGTTTCTTTTGCTGTGCAGAAGCTTCTTATCTTGATGAAGTCCCAATAGTTCATTTTTGCTTTTGTTTCTCTTGCCTTCGTGGATGTATCTTGCAAGAAGTTACTGTGGCCAAGTTCAAAAAGGGTGTTGCCTGTGTTCTCCTCTAGGATTTTGATGGAATCTTGTCTCACATTTAGATCTTTCATCCATTTTGAGTTTATCTTTGTGTATGGTGCAAGAGAGTGGTCTAGTTTCATTCTTCTGCATGTGGATGTCCAATTTTCCCAGCACCATTTATTGAAGAGACTGTCTTTCTTCCAGTGGATAGTCTTTCCTCCTTTGTCAAATATTAGTTGACCATAAAGTTAAGGGTCCACTTCTGGATTCTCTGTTCTGTTCCATTGTCTGTTTTTGTGTCAGTACCACACTGTCTTGATGACCACAGCTTTGTAGTACAACCTGAAATCTGGCACTGTGATGCCCCCAGCTATGGTTTTCTTTTTAAAATTCCCCTGGCTATTCGGGGTCTTTTCTGATTCCACACAAATCTTAAGGTGATTTGTTCCAACTCTCTGAAGAAAGTCCATGGTATTTTCATAGGGATTGCATTAAATGTGTAAATTGCCCTGGGTAGCATTGACATTCACAATATTAATTCTTCCAATCCATGAGCATTCCATGGATTCCAATCCAAAATATTCCATGATGGAATATTTTTCCATCTCTTTGAGTCTTCCTCAATTTCTTTCAGAAGTGTTCTGTAGTTTTTAGGCTATAGATCCCTTAGCTCTTTGGTTAGGTTGATTCCTAGGTATCTTGTGCTTTTGGGTGCAATTGTAAATGGGTTTGACTCCTTAATTTCTCTTTCTTCAGTCTCATTGTTAGTGTATAGAAATGCCACTGACTTCTAGGCATTGATTTTGTATCCTGCCATACTGCCGAATTGCTGTAGGAGTTCTAACAATCTTGGGGTGGAGTCTTCTGGGTTTTCTATATACAGTATCATGTCATCTGCGAAGAGGGAGAGTTTGACTTCTTCTTTGCCAATTTGAATGCCTTTTATTTCTTTTTGTTGTCTGATTGCTGAGGCTAGGACTTCTAGTACTATGGTGAATAGTAGTGGTGAGACACACATCCCTGTTGTGTTCCTGATCTTAGGGGAAAGGCTCCCAGTGTTTCCCTACTGAGAATGATATTTGCTGTGGGCTTTTCGTAGATGGCTTTTAAGATGCTGAGGAATATTCCCTCTATCCCTACACTCTGAAGAGTTTTGATCAGGAATGGATGCTGTATTTTGTCAAATGCTTTCTCTGCATCTATTGAGAGGATCATATGGTTCTTGTTTTTTCTCTTGCTGATATGATGAATCACATTGATTGTTTTACGAGTGTTGAACCAGTCTTGCATCCCAGCGCCCCCTTTCTTGCAAGAGAAACAAAAGCAAAAATGAGCTATTGGGACTTCATCTCAAGATAAGAAGCTTTTGCACAGTAAAAGAAACAGTCAACAAAACTAAAAGACAACCTACAGAATGGGAGAAGATATTTGCAAATGACGTATCAGAGAAAGGACTAGTATCCAAGATCTATAAAGAACTTATTAAACTCAACAGCAAAGAAACAAACAATCCAATCATGAAATGGGCAAAAGACATGAAGAGAAATCTCACAGAGGAAGACATAGACATGGCCACAAGCACACGAGAAAATGCTCTGCATCACTTGCCATCAGGGAAATACAAATCAAAACCACAATGAGATACCACCTCACACCAGTGAGAATGGGGAAAATTAACAAGGCAGGAAACCACAAATGTTGGAGAGGATGTGAAGAAAGGGGAACCCTCTTGCACTGTTGGTGGGAATATGAACTGGGACAGCCACTCTGGAAAACTGTGTGGAGGTTCCTCAAAGAGTTAAAAATAGACCTGCTCTATGACCCAGCAATTGCACTGCTGGGATTTACCCCAAAGGTACAGATGCAGTGAAACGCCAGGACACCTGCACCCCTATGTTTATAGCAGCAATGTCCACAATAGCCATGCTGTGGAAGGAGCCTCGATGTCCATTGAAATGGATGATCCTTTTTTTCCTCATTTCTTACTTAATTTTATATTGAATTTATTTTGTCTTTTCATTTCCAGTCAGTTAGTGATGGGAACACAAATTTTAACCCTAATTAAGTGGAATCTTATCCTTCCACAAAAAAAAAAAATCTTCTTTTTATTATTCTTCTTAGTTCTCTCAAGGTATTGATCCCATTCCTAGTTGACATGGTAGTTATTAATAAATTGTTGACCTAATTTGTCACTTCTTTATAGACAGTTTACCTTTTCTCTCCAGCTGCTTTGAAAACACAAAGTGGTGTGCTAGCAAATGTTTAGGAATAGCTCTCTAGGAAAAAAAATTATCATCTATCTATATAAGTTTATTCTTAATTTTACAGATAACGTTGTAGGTAGAGCACCCAACTTACACACAATAAAACATATACAACTTTTTGTTGCAAATTCCATTTAGCCAGTTGATCCTTATAAAATGCTTTCACTGATTTTTAGTAAGCCCTTGTATCCTTAGCCAACCTATGATTATAATCAACAAACAACTGCCGTTCCAATATGAATGTTGATTGGTGTTTTCATTGACATGAACAAGTATGACAAAAATGGACAAGGGAATAGGTCTCATTCACCAGCAACATGAGCAACTTCTTTGCTGAATCAGATCATTTTTAAATACTGGAATATTTCCTCAATTTTCTGTACTAGTTATAATGTAACAGCTCCAAAAATGACACTTTTAAATTTCATCTGCATTATTAACATTTTCTCCGTCACTTTCATAAGTTTAGATAACCAACTGTCATTGGTCCCTGATTTGTAGCATTTGCTGATAAGCATAGTGTAAATACTCTCATCAAGGTTGTATTTAGGCTCTCAATATGACATCACTGAATACAGAATGAAAAGCAATATAGAGTAGCACACCACTATATTGTATTTCTATGATATATACCGTTGATATAAATAATCTCAAGAGCATAGATAATAGGGAAATGTAACAAAATAATTAAGAAAATGCTAAGTTATGGGGCACCTGGGTGGCTCAGTGGTTGAGCATCTGCCTTTGGCTCAGGACATGATCCCAGGGTCCTGGGATCAAGTCCTGCTTGGGGCTTCTAGAGGGGAACCTGCTTCTCTCTCTGCCCATGTTTCCACCTCTCTCTGTGCCTCTCATGAATAAATAAATAAAATCTTTAAAACAAACAAAAAAAGAAGATGCTAAATTTTGAGTATTTGATATCTTTGTTTTTAATATTTTATTTGTGCATTTATATAATTTAATTTCAAACAATGGTTGTGGTTAACAATCAGCTGATAAAATTCTGGAAAATTTAACAGTAAATTCTTTCAAGTCAACATGAGCTAGGTCTAGCACTCCACCGTTTTTGTTTTTTTTAATTTAAATTCAATTTAATTAACATATATTGTATTATAGTTTCAGAGGTAGAATTCAGTGTTCATCAGTTGCATACAACACCCAATGCTCATTACTTTCAAATGCCCTCCTTAATGCTCATCATCCATTTACCCCATCCTTCCATCCACCTCCCCTCCAGCAGCCCTCAGTTTGTTCTCTGTAGTTAAGAGTCTTTTATGGTTTGCCTCCCTCTCTCATCTTTTTTATTTTGTTTTTCCTTTCCTTCCCCTATGTTCATCAGTTTTCTTTCTTAAATTCCACATATGAGTGAAATCATATAGTATTTGTCTTTCTTTGACTGAATTATTTTGAAATCAGCACATCACTGTTACTTCTTGCTTTTAACTCATTGACCTTTCCAGATGTTAGGATCCATGTCTTTCATCAACTCTGGAAATGGCTTGGCAATTATCTATTCAAATACTGCCTTTTCTGGGGCATCTGGGTGGCTCAGTTGGTTAAGCACCTGCCTTTGGCTCAGGTCATGATCCCAGGGCTCCCTGCTCAGTGGGGAGCCTGCTTCTCCCTCTCCCTCTGCCTGCTGTTCCCCTTGCTTGTGTTCTCTCTCTCTCTGTGTCAAATAAATAAATAAAATATTTTTTAAAAAATGCTGCCTTTTCTAAAGTTTTATTCCATTTCCAAGAGAGCTTTCAAATTCATCTTATTTGTTTGTTTTCTTTAAATTCAATTAATTAGCATATAGTGCATTGTTAGTTTCAGAGGTAGAATTTAGTGATTCTTCATATGCATATAACACCCAGTGCTCATTACTTCAGGTGCTCTCCTTGATGCCCATCACCCAATTACCCCATCCTTCCACCCACCCCCCCTCCAGCAACCCTCAGTTTGTTTCCTATAGTTAAGAGTCTCTTATGGTTTGTCTCCCTCTCAGGTTTCATCTTTATTTTTCCCTCCTTTCCCCTATTCACCTACTTATTTTTGATACTTTCTTGTTTCCTATTTATACTTTGGATACTTCTTTCTCTTTGGGCAAATTAAAGATTAAGCAGATTAAAATACTTATTTTATATCCTCTATTTGATAATTCCAATATCTCCAGTCTTTGCAGAGATGTCTTCATTGTATGTGTCCTCTTCAGATTCTTGCTTTTGGCTTACTTCCTCATGCCTTGTGATTTTCATTTGTGAGCTTATATCCACCCATGATGTTTTTAGTATACATTTTTAAGGTGATGTATATTTTGGCCACAAATATATATTAATATAGGCTTGTGGCTAGTTCTCAGGGGAGACTCTCCCTACCCCTCCTCACCTTTAACACAGTGCTAAGGAAGCAAGCTAGCATTCATGGTCTTCCTCTATAAGGAAAGATATTTTTTTAGTTCACCCAACAAAGGTGTCATTTTTAAAAATACCTGCTCTATTCAGAGGTCTCTGACCTGATCTCTCAGGTTATTGCTCTAGTCCCTGCAACCCATTAAAACTCCAGTTCTAGGCTGTCAAGAATGGGCAGATAGCCCTCGGAAACTTCTGTCCTCAGGGCTCATGTTTCTTACTGGATTAGTGCTTTCTCGTATCTTTTAATTTGTTGCCAGCTTTGCTATGCACTACAATTTTACTTATCATTTTGGAAATATTTTTTGCCGGGAATGTTTCTTTGAACATCTGATCCACCATATTGCTGATTAACCATGTTCAAGACCTAAAGTGGGGATTGGACTCATGTAGAAAAGAATAGGAAGCAACTAAGAGAGACCAGCTAAGAGGCTAATGTAATAGTTCAGATAAAGATGAGACCTGAATTAAGGAAAATTGCAACAGAAGGTGAAAGAGGAAGCTGAGTAAATAAATCTCTGAAGAGCTTTTTGGCAGGGTGTGGTACACAGAAGTTGGGTGAGAGAAGAGAATCAAAGGTAACTCCAAGGTTTCTAGCTCAGTATCTTAAATTGTCAAAGATACTACTTTCAGAAAGCATGTGAAATATTCTCCAGGATGAACCTGAAAGGGATCTAATTTGTTTCAAAATTCTGTTCATTTTTTTTTTAATGTGTTTACAGGCATGGAAAGAAGAACAAGATCGATTAGCAGAAGAAGAGCGCTTACAGGAAGAAAAAAAAGCAGAAAAGAAAAGTAAGGAAGCTAGTAAAAAGAAAGGAAAGGAAAAGGTAGAGAAAGAAGACAGTAGGGCTTTGAAGAAAAAATCGTTTTTCAAGGAGAAATCTAAAGAAGAACAAATGAGGATTCCAGAAGTAACAGAGGAACCCCTCCTGGAACCAGAACCTGAGATTGTTTATCCGGTAAAATCTGTGTTCTAAAAAGCTTCCTTACTAGTTGTTTTGGGAGAAACAAGCTTCTGCAGAAACACAAGGTTCCCAATCTTTACTGACATGTCAGAAGGCCTTGGAATTTCTTCTAGCATAGATGATTCAGACCCATACTCCACCCTCCAAATGCCTAGGACCTTCTTTGTAGCCAGTCACCAAGATAGTAATACCCTCAGGCCAGTTTTTCTTGAGTGCCATGAAACTAGGTTACTGAGGGTCAGAAAGTGGAGATTTGACACAAAAGCATTCATTTAGGTTAATGTAAATAAGCAACTGTGAAAGGTCAAAGTGAACACAAAGTTTGGCTTTATTTGTCTCAGATGACAGGTCTTTCAGAGTAGGCACCCATGTTATTTATCTTGTAGAATTTGGTAAAACCTTCCCTTTGCCGGCCTGTCCCTCAAGCAGTCTTATGAGGAGAACCTAATGGAAAAGAGATGGACAGAAATGTAACAGCCTATGTCCATTGTAGCTGCTATGCTAAGTTCATTCTTGAGTGTTAGCATGCATCGCAATTACTTGGAGCTCTATTTGCAACACTTAAAAAAAAAATCTTTACCATATTAAGTGTCAAGAAAAAAAGTATAAAGTGTCAATATTCCTCAATATATCAGTTCACTTTAAACAGAAAATTAACAGCCAATGAAAGAGATATTGATGTCTTCTCCCACTGCTTTTCAATAATACAGTGATTTGATTTGCACTAGCTGTAAGGGTGAACAGATTTTAAAATCATGAACCTCCTTTAATTTTGCCCTTGTAACATCACAGAAGATGCTAAAGATAATATGGACAATGTACTCTGAGTCTACAAAGTGACAGACATTCATTTGGCAGAAATTAAGGTTATAGCAACTTTAATTGGCTCACATTGGTGAATTTATTTTTGTCAATTGCAGTTCCACATTCAAAACATTTGGGGAATATAAAAAATAGTGAAAGGGTATAAAGGGGAAAGGAGAAAACATGAGTGGGAAATATCAGGGAGGGAGACAGAACATGAGAGACTCCTAACTCTGGGAAATGAACTAGGGGTGGTGGAAGGGGAGGTGGGCGGGGGGTGGGGGTGACTGGGTGACAGGCACTGAGGTGGGCACTTGACTCGGGATGAGCACTGGGTGTTATTCTATATGTTGGCAAATTGAACACCAATAAAAATAAATTTATAAAAACAAAACAAAACAAAAGCATGATGTTTTCCCTTCTAGTTTCATGGATACAATATGGGAGATATACCCATCCAAATCTCAGGAACAAATTCTTATCTGTATCCTTCAGATGGAGGGCAGATTGAAGTTGAGAAGACAACATTTGAAAAAGGTACATTTTGAAACCAGCTGGTCAACAGCTTGGAAGATACTAACCCATTTCAGATCATCTTGGGGCCTTATACCCTTGGGGGTGATAAGGGAGAATGGTAATGTGCCCGCTATGGTTCATTATGTGCCATTTTTAGCATTTTCAGACCTCACATTCTTCTGTTACATTGACTGCAGGGCACAGGCCAGCTGAGGGGTTAGCTGGGACACACTGTTAGGAACATTCCCGTTTTAAAAATCTTAAAGGGATCCCTGGGTGGCGCAGCGGTTTGGCGCCTGCCTTTGGCCCGGGGCGCGATCCTGGAGGCCCGGGATCGAATCCCACATCAGGCTCCCGGTGCATGGAGCCTGCTTCTCCATCTGCCTATGTCTCTGCCTCTCTCTTTCTCTCTCTGTGTGACTATCATAAATAAATAAAAAAATTTTAAAAAAATAAAATAAAAATCTTAAAATATTTCTATAGAATTGGGAAACATAATAGTCACTACAATGAGCAAATAGTTAATTAGTAATATTAATTACAACACATAGTGTTACTCAGAAACCAAGCACATACTGTGAGTTTAGAGCAAATTTCTGGTTGGGCCTCTAGAGCACAGAGCATAGGGGTCTGCTGTTGAGGTCCGGTTATTTCAGCTACAGAGAAGTTGCCTCTGGATTCAGAAGTCTTTGAGTGGGAGAGGAGTCTAATGGATGCACTGAGGAGGACCCAGTCTGGAAATAACCTCTAAAGAAAATGCACAATTCTTCCCAACAAGCAGATCTGGGCTCTAGGGAACCTATCAGGGACATCTTGCGGGGATGATCTTTCCACTGTGCTTTAAAGATCTCTCAGGTGGATTCGAAAACCTGAGCTTTATTTGATACCTTATTTTCTCTGAGAACTGTGAAGAGGTCAATGTGGAGGGAATTTGAGCAGGACCCTGTTTAATGTCCACAAGGTTATGCCCCCTGGCAAGGGGCAACACGGGCTTCTCCTACCCCCACACTCTGCCTGACACCAGCCTTACCCCTTCTCACTCTCTATCATTCTCCCCTCCTTGCCTCCCTCTCTCTATCCCTCTCTCCTTCCTTCTTTCTTTCTAGTCATTTAATATCTATCAATTTAACAAGGAAGTCATTGCAAAAGTTAGATGCTGTTACCTATGTGAAATCATGGCTCAATTGGAAGCATCATTAGGTAGTCACTGCCATATTGAACAAAAGATCACACCAACAATCACACCAACAATTTTTAGAATAAAAAGGCCTGAAAGTTATTCAAATTATTTAAACAAAGGTTAGTGGTGCAACTTACATTAAATGTCAAACCATTTTATTATATACGGTTTGTTTATTTAAAACATGACAGGGATTGTTATTAATATATAGGTATATATATTCATTTACATTATCATAGGTTTTAATATTTGATATTTTGAATATCATCCTTGGGCACAGGGTACAATTAGTAGTAATTAAAAATGGAACTCAGAATCACATAACTGAGAAAACTACTGGACTCAAGTTTTATAATGCTGTGCCCTATTTTTCATAACTATTCCTTGCTCTTTTGAGATTTGTTTATGCATATGTTTGTCAGTTTCAGGTAGGTCACAGTAAATACAGTATTTTCATCTTAATCCTATCAATTTTGACAGAAGATAGCTCAATCAAGGTTGAAAAGAATAAGCTGGATAAAAAAAAAGAAGAAAAAGCTGAGAAAGGAGACAAAAAAATGAGTCAGAACACTAAAAGAGGGAATGTGCCTTTCAAAAAATTCTTATTTGTTGCTACTAACAACAACTACTATAGTTAATGTTGATGTGATTCTTTATAAGCTGTAAATCCCTTTCACATCTACTAACTAATGGGATTAATCATCAAGTTGAGTATAGGTGTACATTAGCCTCAGCCAACGTATTTCCTCTTCTATAATTTGATTAGAAAATCTGCAAACATATTCCTGAAAACATGCCATTTATTTCTGGTATTCCACTGTCACTTTATTCCTTTAGGCATCTTTTTGTAAATCAGTGATGTTGGTAGGTGTTTCCATTCCCTGACTTATATTCTACGCCGCATTATTTAGATGTCTTGTCAAGGACCTGAATGGAGTGTCACCATCAGCCCATCCTCTATCCTATGATTTTCCCCAGGGCCAACTTTTATCAAAGTGACAGTGAAAAAGGACAAGCACACTTTTATAATTCATTTAAAAGACCCTAAGAAAATTGTGAAAAAGGAAAAAAAAGAAGAGGATTATTCTTCAGAAGATGAGAAAGAAGAAAGAGAGGAAGAGCAGAATCTTGAAACAGGTAAGCAGCTGCATCTCTGTGTCAGTGGAGGTTAATACTTCATCAATGTGTCAGACCCATCCCTCTGACAGCAACATACATGTGTCTCTTACACTAAGCATATGTAATTTTTCCAGAAGGTAGGGGAAGTGTTTTGCCATTCTATTTATATACATTTTCCGTAAGGTAACGTGTACCTCCACTGCATACACAGCACATGTATGGTAGGCTGTCTACTTTGTTTTCCCCCTCTGGAGGCCCAGCTTTTGATTCCAGTTGTCATACAGAGTTTATGTAGCTGGCTACCTTTGTGTAGCAACATTGAGTTTGCAATGTGCATTCTGGCCTGAATTTTCTTTTACACAACGTGTACCAAGTGTTGTCTCTAGGACTCAGGGCCTCATTAATTGATTTCTACTCAAGTTTTAGCTTTTCTCCAATATTCACTACAAATGCTGAAGTTTCCTTCTGTGCTCAATCACTTAGTCCTTCCCATGGTATCAAATTTCTTAGGCTGTAAAGACAAGAGAAAAATCCTACATTTGGTCTTGATAGTCTCTACTTGCTAGTAGATGAGAGCTCCAGGTAGATGTCCATTGATTATACACCATGAAACTAACTGATAACACTACTTAATATCTCCAGGAAACATCCCCTGGGGAAACTAAATGCTTCCTGTCCAATGTGACATGGGTTATACCAGCAAAAGGAGAAGAGTCAATTAATACGATGTTTTAAACTCAAATTAGTTATAAGACATATAACTAAATCTTACTAATAAATTAATTCAGTTATGGTTAGTATTTTCCAAACTTAAGAACACAATGTTTGACAAGTTTGAATGTACCCAAGAACTTAAAACAGAAATTTTTAAATTACTTTTCTTTGTTCTGCTTGATATAAGAATATGTGTTTTTTTATAAAAAATCAGGAATATAAGAATATTAAAGATGATAACATTTTTCTACCACCCTAGCAGTAACTGTATGTAGTATATTTCTTACTTTATCACCACGAACATTTTCCTATTTATTAAATATTCTTTGAAAAAAAACTTTTTTAAAAAAAAGATTTTATTTATTTATTCCTGAGAGACACAGAGAGAGAGAGACAGAGACATAGGCAGAGGTGATCCTCTCCTCAAGGGGAGCCTGATGCAGGACTCCATCCCAGGACCCCAGAATCACGACCTGAGCCAACCACTGAGCCACCCAGGTGCCCCCAAAACAAACTTTTCTAATGATTTCATAATAATTCATTGGTATATGCATATATCAATAATTTAATTAATTGTACCTATGTTTTTATTTACATGGTTTCTACTTTGCACTGCTTTGCTTACAATTCTTTTTAATAAAATAGAAATGTCCTTGATTTGAATTTGTCTTTTAGAAGTATCAGATACAGAGAATAAAGTTGTCAGCAAGTTTGGATCTTTTTCTGCCACCTTAGAAAATGGGATCTGCCTCTCAATAAGTTACTATGGACCAAGTGGAATCGCACCAGGTAAAATAAGCATGACAGCAAAGACAAGTGTCCCGTGACCAAGGGCATCTGCTCATTCTCAATCTGCTCTTGTTGATAAACATGTTTTGACTTAATGCCCCTCTTTTCCTGAAAGGTGGGAATATATGTGTAAGTGTGTACATGTATGTGTGTGTTTACATGTATGTACATATATAATCTTTCATACATAGAAAATAACAGTGCTTTGACATTTGAAACAGAATTTGTCATATATATAATTATACATGTAATCACATATACATAAAAATTATATATGTATACTTCCATTATCCTTGTTAACTAACCCAGGCAAATAAGTCTGTTAGTTGGTGCCCCAAAAAAACATGATTTCTCAAGAAATTCTATTGGTTTTCCACATAATAATATTTTTATGAATCCTGTGACTTCTCAGTGTGCTTCAAAATTTAACAGTCTTAAAGGAGCCATTCATTGGACATCTTGAAGGATTTCTTTACCCCACATTTAATGAACAAATTCTCTAACTGAAAGCTATTTCCTTACAAATCACAAAATAATATATCATTTAACCAAGAACCAATTAGGAAATTTCATGGGTTCCCATGCATTTTACAGAGATCTAAGCACACAGATTAAAAAAAAAAAAAGCTTTACAAAATCAAAATATAATCCCCGTGTTATATAGCCTTAAAACTATGTATAGATTATGGTGATCCAACTGTCTGCCTTACTATGTACCTCCTTTTCTGGATAAACAATATTCCACTGGATCATCATTATAATCATTTTCTACCTTGTACAAAATATTATAGTACTCTAGTGAGTTAGAGAGTCTATTAAATTTGTTAGTATTTTTGCTTTATTTGGGATTTTGTCTTTTAATTTTATATTTGGGTTGTTTCCAAGCCAGCACTTGAAGTCATTCTGTGCCTAACAAATTATGTATTAAATCCATTATCACACACAGTCACTAAGAAATTCTATCCCTCTGACCACAGTTTATCATGATTTCAGATTAAAATATTTACATTCTACTCTCTATCAACTATATTGCTGCTGTTTCCTCGGTGATTTCCTTATTCTTGATTTAATCCTTAAGTTATTATGCAATTATTACATTTAAAACAGATGTTCCTAATCTCACATTTATGAATCCTGCATTTGAAAATGTTTATAGTGTGAAAAAAATAGAAAGGCATTCCAATGCTCATGGATTAGAAGAACCACTGTTGTTAAAATGTCTATACTACCTAATGCAATCTACAGTTTTAATGAAATCCTTATCAAAATACTATCTGCATTTTTCACACAGCTAGCACAAACAATCCTAAAATATGCATAGAACACAAAAGGCCCCAAATAGCCAAAACAATCTTAAAAAAAAAAAAAAAAGCAAAGCTGGGGCATCACAATTCCAGACTTCAAGTTATATTACCAAGATGTAGTCATCAAAATAGTATGGTACTGGCACAAAAACAGACATATATCATCAATGAAACAAGATAGAAAACCCAGAAATTGACCCACAACTATTCTTAGACAAAGCAGGAAAGACTATCCAATGGGGAAAAGACAGTCTTCCAACAAATGTTGCTGAGAAAATGGACATGCAGAAGAATGAAACTCAATCACTTCCTTATACCATACACAAAAATAAATTCAAAACGGGAAATGTCTAAATGTGAAACAGAAAACTATCAAAATCCTGGAGAACACAGGCAGCAACATCTTCAATCTCAGCCACAGCAACTTCTTACTAGACATGTCTCCAGAGGCAAGGGAAACAAAAGCAAAAGTGAACTATTGGGACTTCATCAATATAAAAAGCTTCTGCACAGCAAAGGAAACAATCAACAAAACTAAAAAGCAACCTTTGGAATGAGAGAACATATTTGCAAATGACATATCTGATAAAGGGTTAGTATCCAAAATCTATAAAGAACTTATGAAACTCAACACCCCAAAAACAAATAATCCAGGTAAGAAATGGGCAGACGACACAAACAGACATTTTTCCAAAGAAAACATCCAGATGGCAAACAGACACATGAAAGGATGTTCAACATCACATGTCATTGGGGAAAAACAAGTCAAAACTACAATAAGATGTCACCTCACACCAGTCAGAATGGCTGAAATTAACAACACAGAAAACAACAGATGTTGGCAAGGATGCAGAGATAGAGGAACCCTCTTACAGTGGGAATGCAAACTGGTGCAGCCACTGTGGAAAACAGTATGGAGGTTCCTCAAAAAGCTAAAAATAGAACTACCCTATGATCAACCAATTGCACTATCAGGTATTTACCCAAAGAATACAAAACTACTAATTCGGAGATATATACACAACCCTATGCTTATTGCATCATTATTTACAATAGCCAAATTATGGAAGCAGCTCAAGTGTCTATCAATAAATGAATGGATAAAGAAGATGTGCTATGTATATTTATGTATATATATTTGATATATACTTATTTTTGATATATATGTTATATATATTTGTAATATATATTTGTTTTAAATGGAATAATTGCATAATATAAAACATAAAAAGAATGAAGTCTCGCCATTTGCAACAACATGGATAGAGCTAAAGAGTATAATGCCAAGTGAAATAAATTTGTTGAAATACCATATGATTTCACTCATATGTGGAACCTAAGAAACAAAACAAAAGATCATATGGCACTAAAGAGAGAGAGGAAGAGAGAGAGGAAAACCAAGAAACAGACTCTTAACTATGGAGAACAAACTGTTACCAGAGAGGAGGTGGGTGGGAGAATGAATTAAATTCGTGATGGGAATTGAGGAGGGCACTTGTTGTGATGAGTACCGGGTGTTGTATGCAAGTGTTGAATCACTAAGTTGTATACCTGAAACTAATATTACACTGTATGTTAACTAGAATTTAAATGAAAACTTGAAAAAAAAACTTAAAAAAAAACACAAATGGTGTTGGGAAAACGACAGCAACATACAAAAGAAAGAAACTGGACCATTTCCTTATACAATATACAAAAATAGATTCAAAATGGATTGAAGACCTAAATGTGAGACCTGAAACCATAAGAATCTGAGAGAACACAGACAGTACCTTCTTTGCTACACACAGGTGTAGCAACTTTTTTCTACATATGTCTCCTGAGGCAAGGAAAACAAAAGCAAAAATATTAAACTATTGGGACTTCACCAAAATAAAAAACTTCTGCACAGCAAAGGAAACAGTCAACAAAACTAAAATGAAATGGGAGATGATATTTGCAAATGACATACCTGATAAGTATATGAAGAACTTACAAAAGTCAACACTCCAAAACAAATAATCCAATTTAAAATGGTGGAAGACATGAACAGACATTTCTCTGAAGAACACATACAGATGGTCAACAGGCATGTGAAAAGATGCTTATTATCACTTACCATCAGGGAAATGCAAACCAAAACTATAATGACATATCACTTCATACCTGTCAGAATAGCTAAAATCAACAACACAAGAAACAACAGGTGTTGGTGAGGATGTGGAAAAAAAGAAACATTCATAAACTGTTGGTGGGAATGCAGATTGGCACAGCCACTGTGGAAAACAGTATGGAGGTTCTTCAAAAAGTTAAAATAGAGCTACCTTATGATCCAGCAATCACACTACGAGGTATTTACCCAAAAGATACAAAAATACAAATTCAAAGGGATACATGCACTTCTATGTTTATAGCAGCATTATTTATAATAGCCAAGATATGGAAGCAGCCCAAGTGTCCTTCAATTGATGAATGGATAAAGAAGATCTAGTATATATAAACAGTGAAATATTATTCAGCCATAAAATGAATGAAACAACATGGATGGAGCTAGAAAGTATAATGCTAAGTGAAATAAGCCAGAGAAAGACAAATACAATATAATTTCATTTGTATGTGGAATTTGAGAAACAAAACAAATGAGCAAAGAGAGAACGAGGGGAAAGGACAAATCAAGAACAAACTTTTTTTTAAGAAATAGACTCTTAACTATGGAGAAACAGACTTTTTTTTTAAAGAACTATTAACTATAGAGAACACACTGATGGTTACTAGATGGTAGGTAGTAAGGGGATGAGTTAAGCAGGTGATGGGTATTAAGGAGTGCACTTGTCATGATGAGCACAGGATGATGTATGGAACTGTTGAATTACTATATTGTATACCTGAAGCTAATATAACAGTGTATGTTAACTAACTGGAATTAAAATAAAACTCTAAAAAAGAAAATGTTTATAGTGTGAATAAAAAAGTAATGTTTTACTTCTTGTATATTATAAAAATATAATTTTTAAAAGATGCACATAATAGTACTATTTAAGAACTTGAGATTCTCTCTCTCCTGCTCCCTCCCCCCCTCCATTCTTTCCTCTCTCTCTCCCTCTTTCTCTCATAAATAAATAAATAAATAAATAAATAAATAAATATTTTTTAAAAATTCATTGTCTAATGGGAAAGAAAACATAAATAGAGAAATAACTGTAAAAGTGCTAGAAATTACATATAAACAGAGTACTGGGGACAGTTAGAAAGTACTTCAGAAAGTATAACATCTGAAATGGGACTTTAGAGATGAATGGTAACTATCCAGACAAAGTAACAAGGAAAGGTAATTCTAGACAGTAAGAACCATTTGTGTATAAACATACAATTGTGTAAAAGCATGGTACCTTCACAGAAAGGTGAAAAGTTGAATATGGTTGAAGTGGTGGAATGTCAGCAGTGTATGCCCAGAAGATCAATGAGTATCAGAGGTGTTTAAGTAAGGGATGGGAAGTGACATGATTGGATTTCATATTAGGAATATAATTTCAGTGATAGTTTGGAAAGCACACTGAAATGATGGTATTGGAGGTCTCATGCCAGTTTGGAAACTGCTGCAGAAAATCAGGTAAGAGAGCAATGAGAATATGAGGCAAGATAGGAATAGATAGGAGAGGTATCTCATTCAAGAGAAATTTCTGATGGCTTGGTGACTGGTTGGATTTATGAGATCGGTCCAAAAGAGAAAATGCAAATATCTCACTGTCTAACTTGGAAAATGAGATGCTTGATTGTTAATTAAATGAGATCAAGTACATAGAAGGGTTTCCTTTCCTAGGAGAGGAGAGACTTACTGAGTTTGAAATGGTTCCAGTTCCTCAACGGGGGGAAGGGGGTGGGGATGTCTAAAGGCAATTGGATATATGAATCTGATGCTGAGAAGAAAGGTCATGCCTTGAGATGTAAATTTTGGAGCCATCAGTGTGTAGATGCCAGTTGGAGCCCCAGTAGTGAGTGAGATACTCAGACCTACTATGTTTAATAAAGGTACTACACAGTGAGGAATGGGGAAAATATTAAGGCAGGGAAACAAATGTTGGAGAGGATGTGGAGAAAAGGGAACTCTTACACTGTTGGTGGGAATGTGAATGGTTGCAGCACTTGGAAAAAAAACTTTTGTGGAGGTTCCGCAAAGAGTTAAAAATAGACTGCCCTACGGACCAGCAATTGCACTGTTAGGGATTTACCGGAAGTTTCAGATGCAATGAAACGCGGGACACCTGCACCCCGATGTTTCTAGCAGATGTCACATTAAGCAAACTGTGGAAGGAGCATCGGTGCCATCGAAAGGATGAATGATATAAAGAAGATGTGGTTTATGTTCAAAGGAATATCTTCGATTAGAACGACAAATTACCCCAATTTGCTTCACGTGGATGGAACTGGTGGGTATTATTGCTGAGTGAAGTAAGTCAATCGGAGAAGGACAAACAGTGTATGTTCTCACACATCTTGGGGAATATGAATATTAGTGAGGGGAATATAAGGGAAGGGAGAAAGAAATGTGTGGGAGATATCAGAAAGGGACACAGCGACATAAAAGACTCAACTCTGGGAAATGAACTAGGGGTGGTGGGAAGGGGAGGAGGGCGGGGGTAGTGTATGGGTGACGGGCACGGAGGGGGACCTTGACGGGGATGAGCACTGGGTGTTATTCTGTATGTTGGTAAATTGAACTCAATAAAAATTAAATTTATTAAAAAAAATAAAAAAAATAAAAAATAAAAAAAAATAAAGGTATCAGTTGGTTTGGTTGTGTATCACATCATGTGTGATTTTTCACAAATATAAATGCCTGTGCCTCATCCCTAGAGTCTGATTCAATGGGTCAAGATGGGGGCCTGAGCTTTTTAAAAAAAATTCAATGAGTAATTATGAACAGCCAGAGTTGAGAGCGTCTGTTGTGTAAGCACAAGGGAAAAACCCCTGGAACCTAATGACGTTTAAGGATTCACAGAAGAGGAAGAAGCAGTAAAGGAGACAGAAAAAAATTGCCCAGAGAAGAAAGGGGAGATCCAGGTAGAGTATTATTCTGGAACCCAGAGGCGAATAGAATTCAAGATTCAAGTGACGCTCAGATGATTCTGACATAATTTCTTTAGAGATCAGCTCGCTTTTGAGAATTCTGACACTCCTTTTAGATCCAGAATAAAATCAGTCTTCTACAACTTCTAAAACTTCTTTTTATCATCTCAACTAGAAAAACCTATTTCTTTTCTGAATTTCCTTGTTTGTATCCCTTATTATTTTCCTATTTGATGTATCCTGGTATTAAAGCTATTTGAGTATAAATCTTATTTAGACTATTTTGGCTTCATAAGGTCTTTTATATATTCTTTTGTCATTATTACCCACTGCTTCAAACATTTTGCTTGTAAGAAACTCTCAATAGAGGCACCTGGGTGGCTCAATTGGTTAAGCGGCTGCCTTCATCCCAGGTCATGATCTCCTGGTCCCTGGCGTCAGGCCCTGCATGGAGCTTCTGCTCAGCAGGGAGTCTGCTTCTCTCTCTCCCTCAGCTTCTCCCCCCCCCCCCGCTTGTGCTCTCTTGCTCGCGCTCTCTCTCTCAAATAAATAAAATTTTTTAAAAAAAGAACCTCTCAGTAAATATTTCTCAAATAGATAATTGTTGCCCTGTCTTTAGGAGTTCACAATCTAAATGGGAAGACAAGAACATGTGAAAAGTGACTCATTCAAATATATCAAAGTATTAAGTACCTCAGATTTTTTAAATACAATTCTGATTTTGAAATCAACTACATTACTCCTGAAGTCTATCCAACTGAAAAATCATATTAGGCAAGGTAAAAATTGTTGCCAACTGGTATAAATGTTTGCATGGCCACATGTTTGTGATGCAAACATTTACATGTTTATTTAACAAAGATATAAAATATGAATGTAAAATTTACTTGTTGCCTCCTTTTTTTTTTTCTTTATAGAAGATAAGGATCCTACTTTGGAAGCCATGTTGAGTATCCCATCAGCCCTTACTACAACAGTAATTCCTCTTATAGTGACTGTTCCTCAAAGCAAAGTAAAAGGAAAAACAAAAGGTAAAGATAAACCCAAAGAATCTCTTAAAGAAGAGGAACACCCAAAAGAAGAAGAGAAAAAGGTGCGTAGACTTGCCATGGATTTCTAAACCCTACTTCAACCTCAATTTTAACTTTTTTCAAATCATGAGTTATGCCAACAGCGTTATTTCAGTACATTTTGTTATTATGCAGATGCATTAACGTTCCTTGAAGTTTCCATTTTGAATGAACAAGAAGAGATTTGCACACAGGAGTTGGATCCCTACATTAGGAGACATATTGTCATACACAAACTGTCTCAGGTCTTTCATTCTAAACTCAGAATGAAGAATTCATTTTTTTTTTCCACTCTAGTTCTTGGGTGTTCTTTGCTTTTGGTTGCTTAGGTTCCTACCATTCTCCAAATACTTTATTTTGTTTCATTAGATAAAGAACAGTTGAAAGAGGAATATCTCTAATTAAATGGTGAGAACACTTCCATTTGGTAGACTTGTGCTTGGTTATTGATGTGTTAAGAACAGAAGGCCAGCCCACTTCTGGTTAAAGAGCATGTCACCCTCAGCTTCTAACCTGCCACCAAATGCACACAGAGGCTTTGACTCCAAATGTGTTTCTAATGCAAGAATACAGATCAAAAGAATACAGACAAGAAGGAAACCACTGATGAAACATTTACTAGGACAGCTGAACAGTTTGTACAATGTACATATACTCAACTTATTAGAAAAAAAACATGTTAAGAAGTGATCAGGGATCTTGATTTCAGACCTTGGCCTTTATTATTTATTTATTTATTTATTTATTTATTTATTTATTTGTTTGTTTGTTTATTTTAGACCTTGGCCCTTTAAAAGTTAAGAGAGGGCAAATTGAATTAATTTTTTTTTTAAATAAAAGTTGTAGGGTTTGTATGTATGTTACTTGGCCTCTGCATCATATTTATTTAGCTATACTAGATGACTTTTCTCAAGTCAGGACACATGGCCCATATTTAGTAAAAATTCCACAATGTTAAGCAGAATAGGCCCAGATAACTCATTAATTTGACTGAAAGCAATTTGGTAGCAAACCAATCGGTTCTCCCACAATTTTTAAAAAGTGACTATAATGGGAGGGTAGGAGATAATTACTGAGTTTTTGTCTAGCGATAGATTTGTCATGGCAGGTTCATGTCTTTGAGCATTATTGTTCATTTTACAGAACTTCATAATTTTTTCCCTCTTAATTTTGCTTTGTGTTTTTAATTGATTTTTAGCTAACTATTCAGATTTTATTATTTGTTGGTAACAAAGGCAGAACAACCTGAATGATCAATAGTAGAAGACTAGTTAAACTACAGATGCAGCAGTGGGGAATCAGTTGGAATGATTTTATTGGCTAACAAAAGAGAGCCAACAAGAAAAACAGAAATGATTATCATTAGGGGTTGGATGGAAGTAACTAAATAACTTTCATTCTAGAGTACAAGTAACCAAAGAAGAGATTCAGGTAGAGTTAACCTAAAATTAACTAGGATTTTTTAAGTAGACACACCCAAACTTCATTTATTTATAAATAATCTTTTTATGTCCTTTTTAAAAATTGTTTTTACTTACTACAAAAGTAATGCATGCTTATTAAAGAAAAATAAGGACACATATCCTAACAGCAGAACATCTTTAACACCCAAATTTTAAAAGATACACCAAGTAAGTAGCAGGCATGTTGGTCAGCCAACACACACTTGCAAACAGAGGCATTTTTCAAGGCCACTTCAAGCCCCAATTCCTCCATCATCCTTTCTTAATTATTCTCATTAACTTTGGTATCTTAATTTTTTTTGAGGAGAAATGGGCTAACCATTTGGTACTATAATTTGTTTCACAAGTCTGTGTGCCATTCTATTAGCAGAATATAAATTGCACAAAGATAGAGACTCATGCATCTTTATAGGCTCCATTGCAGGGCTCACTGGTCCTGGGCAAGTCATATCTTAAACTCTCAGCAAGTGCTTGCCTAGTCATAATAAATCAGTAGCTCATTTAGAAAATGACAATTATTCATGTGTTAAATTATTTACAGGAAGAAGTAGAACCAGAACTTATTTTACAAGAGACACTTAATGTTCCTACCTTCCAAAACCTAAATGTGTCTTGCCCCAATGGACTCCTTGTGACCTTCATTGGGCAAGAGTCTACAGGTGAGTGTTAGCCAGGATGGGGCAGGGAGGGAGTAGGGCAAATAAAATCATATAGAAAACAGTTAAATCACCATTGAAAGTGTGTGTATTTTTCTAAAAATACTTGTTAATAATGAACAATTGGCTAATAATAACTGGTATTTTTTGAGCATTTACTGTGAGTCCAGCAATAAGTACTTAATATATATGAAAAATACAACTATTGCAAGCTAAATTCTAATAATCCCATTTTATGAACTAGATTGAGGCTTCAGGAAATTCGTTAGCTTGCCCAAGGTCACTCAGCTCCTAAGTGGCAGAGATTAAAGTTCATTCTTGGTCCAGTGATGGCAAAGCCAGTGCTCTTAACAACTGTTGTGGGGTGGGACCCTGTTCTCCTGGCTCTACAAAGGGCCACAAGTAGAGTAGTTGGCTGGTCTGATCAAATCAAAGGTCACTGAGCAGAAAGTAAGTGGAGGCAAGAGTAGGTCAGGTGGTTGTAGGAAAGTAGTCTTGTTTCCAGGTATCAGAATATAATTTTATAAAGTCTGTTATTTCTATACATGGGCTCTAACTTATTAAGGTCACTAAATAAGTATAAGTAGGACCTCTTTAATTAACCCGATGGAGCATCCACATTAGTGACTGAATTTGCATCTCACTTTATTGGAGGCCCACTGATGCAATAGCATTAGCAGAAGCAACAAAGCAAGCACTGGCCTGGGACTTGAGTTCTGTATATGGCCCTTTCATTACTATCTCTGGACCATATTTCTTCATCTGATAAGTGTTTTGCTGTATCCGTGGATCCTGACTTTTTTCACAACCAAATACCCTCTATATTATAATTCCTTTATGTACACTATGCCTGAAAAGTGCATCTATTAAAGGAAAAGAGTTTAGCAATTGAAAACAAATTCAATGTCATATTAACTTGCCACCCAAATGAAAAGAAACTAAGATGGGAACTAATGCTGCAATTAATGTTGCAGTTGATCTGACTTGTCTCAGTTTTGTTTTTCATTAGTCATTATCTAGGCCATGAACCCTTATTTCCAAAGAAATTTCCAAAGATTGCTAGTGGTCCAGGTTTCCATGATGGATGGGACTGACTGTGTAATGGCCAGTAAGAGTCTTCCACAAAGATGTTATGAGTGTACTAAGAGGGATATATCTAGATAAGAACCATAATTGTTTGTTTGCTTATTTGCTTGATCCTATTATCAAACCCCATCTTAACACCTGTTTCACCTGTTGTTGTTTTTCATTAATAAAACAACTCTGCGTGGAACACCTAATCTTTTAAAGATCTTCCATATATTATGAATATCCCAATTCAAGTCAACATAAATACCAAAGTAGCGATGTTTTCATCAGGGTCAGCCTTGGACAGAGGAAGGGAAAGGCAATAATACAAGAAGACAACTTTCTTGGGTGATCTTGGACAAGTCTCTTTCCACCTGAATTTCTTCATTTATAAAATTGTGTCATATACTAAACAGAACTGTTACAAGTATTAAATGAGAAAATACTTTCTAATCTGAAGCATACTATTCTAGTGTTAGGTCTGGGGGAAGTTGTTTGTTTCTTGGTAATGGTAGAAGTGGTTGTTTTTGCAACCTGAGAAAATAGTGAAGCATAGAGACCAGTTCAAATCTGAGCCCTGCTACTTACTGACTGTGTGACCTTGGAGAGGCTATAACCCTTCCAAACTTCCATTTCTTTATCTAAAACTCTGGAAAGTGAAAGTGTCTTTCTTAAAGAGTTACTGAGGTGGGCTGAATAACTCACTACTATCGGGATGATGGGAACCAGAAATCATAATAAATGCAAAACATTTAAAATATATAACATCTGAGTAAATGGTTATTATTGTTATTAATTCTTCTGTGACCTAGGGGGTATCATGAGGGGCCCTCATTGTGAAATATATTTCTATCAGCTTGATATAATCCTTGAAATGCCATCATTACATGTTGATAAACCACTTTATAAGTTCAGAAGAAGAAAGTATTCAGTCAGCAAAAACTGAATAGTTACTGTATGCCAGAAATTCTCAATAATAATATTTTCTTTTGAAGGAACTTATTAGGTGCTTTTCTCCTTAATAGCCAGCTAAGAGTAGAACCTTGAGCAGAATCTGGATTTGGTTAAAGATGAGGGGATTATGTTAACTTTGAAAGATGATGAATGATTTAGGAAGGGCAAGCCTGAGTAACTTCCCCTGGGGCTCCAGGCAACCAGGGGACACCAGGAGAGCATTGTGCATGCAGGGGCAAGAGCTTACTCAAAGGAGAGAGAATAGGGAACATCTAACAGCAAAACTCTGCTTCCTTCCTACTTCTGTCAGAAATGTCCTGGAATTCATTAGAAGAATGATTTATAGGTGGAGAAGGTACCTATTAAGTACTTGTAGATGATATTATTTACTACACTTGACTATAACAAAAGTAGCAAAAAGCCAGTGCTCTGGTCTATCTGTCATGGCATGGAAATTGCCCTATTATTCAGATGTAAACAGAAGAATGAAAAAAATTAAGCAAAAAGATAAAATGCCAGCTACATAGCATTACTCAGTTCACAGTGAGGCTTTCTTCCTTCCTTTCTTTTTTTATTTTAAGATCTGAATGTTATGAATGAGGAACCCATTTGGGACATCATGGTCCGGCAGAGCTACCCCCAGAAGGTGAAGCACTATGAGTTCTACAAGACGGTGATGCCACCAGTGGAGCAGGAGGCATCAAGAGTTATCACCAGGCAAGGCACTGTTGTCAAATACATGTTGGATGGATCCACACAGGTAAAAGAATTTTAGATAAATAATACTCCTTCCTGCTACAGAGTGAAATACAAACATGCTATGGGTAAAGAGCAATATCATGGTAGGCAGGAGGGACAATTCATTGAAAATGGAGTGATACTTAGGATGACAAACTGAGAAATGTATAGTCTTCTGTGCAACACAGGATACAAACAAACTCATTCTATATATGATCCAAGATTTCAGACTAAACACAGTGTTTACCTACTCTCCCTCTTGAGGCACCTTAGAATAATTTTAAATACCTTTAAGTAATAAATTCATAACAGTACTGGAAAACAACAAAATGCACCATCAATGGATAAGAAGATTAGGAGGATTTCTAGAAAATGCAAATCAGATGAGATAACTGATGGAAAAATAAGAGCAAAGATTAATGTACAAGAGAAAAACTGCTGCAAAATTAACAATCAGAAGTTCTAACACAGACATTTCTCAGATGGAACTCTGCACCCAGAAAATCAAGTTAGTGTCCCAGGTAACTCACTACTATCGGGAGGATGGGAACCAGAAATCATAATATCTGGAAGTCATATGCCCAGCTCAATCCCTCCCCAATGATCATAGGGAAATTGCTTCTGTGATACACCGCCAAGAAATAAAAAGGGATCCTCAAAGAGAACTATGGCCACGCACCCAAGAATCATCAACCTTAGAGAAAAAAACAACTGCATGAAAGTAAATTACAGAATAAAAAAAAATTAAAGAAATAAAATTAAAAAAAAGGGGGGGGATCCCTGGGTGGCGCAGCGGTTTGGTGCCTGCCTTTGGCCCAGGGGGCGATCCTGGAGACCCGGGATCGAATCCCACGTCGGGCTCCCGGTGCATGGAGCCTGCTTCTCCCTCTGCCTGTCTCTCTCTCTCTCTCTCTCTCTCTCTGTGACTATCATAAATAAATAAAAATTTAAAAAAAATAAAGAAATAGCATCTAAAAATAAGAACAGACAAAAAACTTGAGAGTAAAAATAATATAAGCAGAGACTTGAGAGGTTAGCAATCTGCAAAAAAAAACAATAAAAAAGTTGCTGTGGAAAAAATATTCTTATATATTAAAAATTACAATTGTGTGTCCAATCACTGAGTTGCGCACCCGAAAGCAATATAATATTGTGTGTCAATATACTTCAATTAAAAATTTTACAGGAGAAAAAAAGAACGAGAAGAAAAATGATTGTGAAAAATTAAGACAGGCAAGTATATTATAAGGGAGAGAAAAGTTAAGAAATGTAGAAAAGGGATCTGAAAAATACAAACTCCAGAAGAAGAAAATGGAGTGAAGGAGAAAATAATGAAGGAAATGATCTAGGGAATTTTCCCAGAGTTAAAACAACAACAACAACTTTGGATTAAACAGGACAACCAATTGGCAAGCAGGATTGATACTATCTTTAAAATATCATCCAGATATGTCAGAGTGCAATTTTGGGACGGCATAGATAGACAATCCCAAACACTTCCTAAAGGAAACCGGTTACCTACTGCAGAATGAGAACTAGAAGAACCTTAGATTTCTCATTAGCAGCCCTGGTGCTGGGTCTTGTCATGGTCATTGATAGGCTATAGATACTGATCTGGATAGATGATACCTCTAGATGGGACACATACTAGAGATATATGTTGGTAGACACTAAACACTTAAACATGTTGTAAAGTTTTATTCATTTATTTTTTAAGATTTTATTTATTTATTCATGAGAGACACAGAGAGAGAGGCAGAGACACAGGCAGAGGGAGAAGCAGGCTCCATGCAGGGAGCCTGACGCAGGACTCGATCCCGGGTGTCCGGGATCAGGCCCTGGGCTGATGGCGGCGCTAAACCGCTGAGTGGCTGGGGCTGTCCTGTGGCAAAGTTTTAAATGTAGTCGTTATAGAAGTTGAAATAGAGCGGCTATTTTTCCAGTTGCATAAAATGGAGAAAATAAAAATAAAACAAATATTTAAAAAAATAATAAAAACTCAAGTCAATCCAATAAAAGATAAGAAATAAAAAGAAACTAAACAGAAGGTAAATGGAAAATATTAAATTATTAAATAATATCATCATCCTGGTTATTAAGGGACTATAGTCTCTGAGCTCCAAAGCTACCTGGAGCTTTGGTTTGCTCCTGTAATATGCAAACAGCATTTTTCCCTTGGATTAATTTTAATCTATGTCAGTTTGATACGCAGTGTTAAATGTTAACCAGTCTCTGCTGGCTTCTGAAAATATAAGAACTTTTACTTTTCCATCAGATTCTCTTTGCAGATGGTGTTGTGAGCAATAGTCCTGATTCAGGTCCTGTTTGTCCTCCTGTTGAAATGCCACCAAGCCCCCACAGCGGAGACTTGATGGACACAGTTTCTCAGCAGAAGTCAGAAATAGTACCGTCTGAGATTGTCATCCCAAAGAAAGGTGATGACTGAAGTTTCTCAATTTATAATGGATTTAATAAGTCTTCTGATACTTTTCATCTTTTCTATGAATATATTCATATATACTCACATGTACACATATATATACATTTTAATTGGAATCACAGCATCGCACACTGTTTTGTGAACTGCTTTTTTCTTTTAGTAAAAGTGTCCTTATATACTCTTATATGACACTAACTCTAATGCCTGGGCTACTGTTTTAGGGTTAGCTGAGCAGATGAATGATGTCAAGGTTCTAAGTAGGCATCTCTTTCGTTCTCTTGACCTTTTTCTCTGAGCTGCAAGAAGGCACACCAGCTCTAGGCATGAGGTTCTCATATTGTAACTGTCAAAGCAAAAAGCAAAGAGAGTGAACACGAGAATTTTATTTAAAGTGTCCTCTTATCAAGGAGGAAAACATTTTCAGATTCCACCCCTTTCCCCCACCAGCTGACTTTCCCTTATACATCTCGTTGACTAGACCTGGCGCTAGCTAGGGAACTTAGGGGTCTGATCACTTCTGGATTTTTTTTTAGGAGATAGCACTTCTAGTAGGGGAAAGGGGAAAAAGAAGTTGGGTAACGATTGATTAAGCAATCAGTAGTGCCTGCCATAACCTAAATTATGAAATTGCTCTCCTCAGAGATATTCTCAATTTATACCCCTACTTCAGGGCAGTAAGAAAATATCTGCTTCCTCATACCTTTGCTAATGTTGGATTTCCTTATTGTTTTAATCTTATTCCATTTGATTTGATAGATAATTAATAATCTTACTATTCTGTTAATTTGCATTTCTTTATTACTTGTGAGATAAAACATTTAGCAGGTTTTTTCCTTTTTGTGAATTTTCTATTCACACATTTTCTCGGTTTACTACTGGAATGTTCATTATTTTCATATTTATTTGTAAGAGATCTTTATAAGTAGTAGATATGTGTTTATGTACCAGGCACAGTTCTGAATACTTTAAAGTATTAAATCAGAACATCCCTGTGTGATATATATTTTAATAATTCCACTTTATAGACAAGGAAATTGAGACACAGAGGGGTTAAATAACTTCCTCAAGATCTCTCAGCTACTAAGAGCTGAGATTGGAGTGTGGGCACCTGCATTGCAAATTTTTCTCAATTTCTCATATGACTTAAGTGATCTGAGACCAAAATGTAATCTTTGTTCGTCAGTTACACACATCCCCCCGCGCCCCCCCCCCCAGTAACCAGTAACCTTATATAGAGGCAAACCGAATTCTCTTTTTGGTTACTCAAAATTTAGTGAAATAGACTTTCCTTTAACGGTAGCATAAGGTTCTTGGTTGAAATGAATGAAAGCGTCCTCATGACTTTCAAACTTCCCAGCTCAAAAGCTCCCCTCTTTTTTGATAGGAGAGGACTTGATGTAAGAGTAGCCACTTCTCTTAGGGCCAAGCGGGGTTCCAAAGGGCTTCCACCTCCAGCACGGTGTGCTCCAGATTTCTTTAAAGTCCATCCATTCAAGATGACATATTCACTTTAAAAATAATTTTTTAAAAAATAATAATAATAACAGAATCTATGTTTTAAGAGTAATTTAGGCTTACAGAAAAAAATAAGCAGAATGTACAGAATTCTCCTACACTTTCTCTCTACCTGGCTCAGTTTTCCCTGTTTTAAACACATTTGTTACAACTGATGAACCAATATCAATACTTTATTATTAACTGAAGTCCACAGTTTGCATTAGGGTTCATTCTTCATGTTGCATAGCTCTAAGAGTTTTGACAAATGCAAATGTAGTAAATCTACCACTACGATAATATACAGAATAGTTTCACCCCTGTGCTCTATTTATCCATCTTTCCCTTCACTCTCTCCCCAAAATCAGTACCCATGAGCTGACACTCTGTTTTCCCCTCCACTCAAGGCCTTAGAACCACCAATCTACTTTCTGTTACCATGAATTTACATATTCTGGGCATTTCATATAAAGAGAACCATACAATATAAGGCCTTTTGTGACTGGCTTCTTTTATTTAGCATAATATTTTTAAGGGTCGTCTATGGTACAATTTGTGTTGGCACTCCATTTTTATGGTCGAGTAATATTCTGTTGCATGGATACATCACATTTTGTTTAGCCACTCATCAATTGATGGACAAACGGGTAGTTTCCGCTTGGGGAAATTGCAAATAAAGTTGACATGAACATTTCTGTACAAGTTTTTGTGTGAACATACATTTTCACTTCTCTTGAGTAAAGATCCAGGAATGGAATTGCTAGGATAATAACTCTGTTTCTATTTTTGAGCACCCAGCAAACTGTTTTCCAAAGCAGCTGTTTCTTATATGCTACATATGAGTGAGATCATATGATAATTGTCTTTCCTGAATTTTTGTGTTTTAATCAGAATTTCTAATCTGTTTATTGTATAACAGATACTTTCTGAAAATGTCTTATGTTGTCCCCATCCTTGGATGATAATCTCACTGAATACAGAATTCTGGGTTAATAGGTGTTTTCTCTCCAACATAGTGACAAAAATTCTCTATACTCTCCTTACTTCCAGTGTTGCTGTTGAAAAGTTGGCTTTCAGTCTAATTGTTGCTGTGAAGATAATCTGCCTTGAAAATCTTTTCTTTTTTTATTATAATTTCAATACAATTTAGCTAGGTGTAGATTTCTTTTTATTTATCCAAGTGAGAATAAATTGGGATTCTTGAATCATTCATTAGTATCTTTCATTAGTATCTTTCAATAATTACCTCTTAAAATGTTTCTGTTCCATTTTTTCTCCTCCTCTTATAGATTTGCTATTAAGCATATATTAGAAACATTGGCCTCTCTTTTTATTATTTTTCATTATTATCTCTATGAATTTGCCACTCTGAGAGTCATTCTAAATAATTTCTATAGGTCTATCAGTTCTCTTTTAATGCTCTGGAAATATAAATATGTCAAAATTAAATCTTAGGGCAAAGATAAGGCTTAGCTTCATGCATCTATCTTATTGGGCTCTTCCCATTAATTAAGTCTGCATCCTTGGCCCAAGATACATGCTCTGATGCACATTCCATACTCTGAATCTGAGGAATCTTAGAGTTAACAGTCCTTCACTCTCTTTGTAATTGGCTTCTGGGTCTGAGTTTACCTCATTATTGAGCTTTGATAACACTAGCAAATCTCATCATTATTTATAAAAATGGAGCAAATCTATTCTGATAGAGGGATTGAGATACTATTCACAGAGTTCCATGAGGGCTTTTCCAGTTCTAGATTCCTTTCCAAATAGATGGTGATGGGGAAGGATTGGGAGGAGGGATGCATCAGATGATTATCAATATAGAAGCTGAACTGTACAAATCCTCTCCCCTAATGAGAAACTAAAGATATATGCCTTATTGGTAAAGTTCTCCAGATCCAGGGCTGAAGAAAGATAACTCCTAGTTATGACTAACCAAATGACAAAATTAGGGGAATGAAGAGTTAGAAATACTGTAAAATGCTAGAGTTCAGTAACTTAAAAGAAGGAATCTGAGGTAGAGAGCCAAAGTAGGCTTTAAAAACTAGTGTAGAGGGGATCCCTGGGTGGCGCAGCGGTTTGGCGCCTGCCTTTGGCCCAGGGCCCGATCCTGGAGACCTGGGATCGAATCCCACGTCAGGCTCCCGGTGCATGGAGCCTGCTTCTCCCTCTGCCTGTGTCTCTGCCTCTCTCTCTCTCTCTCCGTGACTATCATAAAAAAAAAAAAAAAAAAAAAAAAAAAAAACTAGTGTAGAGAGCCTCAAATCTGAAATCCAGGAAGGTATAAGCAAGATTCCAAAGTATACAGAAATTGACCAGAATAAGTATTGTAGATATTGTGCCATATGGACTGAGCTGTGTATGCACGTGTCTGTATGGGGAGACATGGTGAGAATCCAGCCAAGGTTCAAGGGCAAAGATTAAGGTATCCATAACCTGATATCTTTTCCCACTTGAGAAATAATATAATTGATGAATACCACCTAGAATTTCTATGCCACAGTGTCTGAGGTAGCTTATGATGTATTAAAACTTCATGAATATGGGGATGACTGGGTGGCTCAGTGATTGAGCGTCTGCCTTCGGCTCAGGGCATGATCCTGGAGACCTGGGATCATGTCCCATGTCGGGCTTCCTGCAGCGAGCCTGCTTCTCCCTGTGCCTGTGTCTCTGCATCTCTCTCTCTGTGACTCTCATGAATAAATAAAATCTTAAAAAAAAACTTCATGAATAATTTATCTAATTTATATTATAGTTATGCTGTGTTTGATTTTACTTGAACTTCTGCAGGAAAAAGTCACAAAAATCAGTCATCAATGGCGCATAAGAATGAAAGCCATGATCCTCCCCCAGAGACAATTCAAACAGTAACTCCAGTGGAGGTTCATGTAGGCACCTGGTTTACAACCACACCAGAAGGAAAACGGATTGGCACCAAAGGAGTAGAAAGAATAACAGACATGACCCCATTATTATCCTTTAAGACCACAGATCCTGTCAATGGAACGGTATGGCAAAATATTGTATATTGCAAAATTTTATAAATCATTAGAGTTCTGAAACAACACATAGAAGAGTGCCTGAAATAATTAATTTTCTGTAACTATTTAGTAAATAGTGGGTAGATGGATGAACAGATGGATCCATCTTCCCAAACACAAAAACACTTTGTGGTTTATTTGACTAGCATAATGTACCATGAAATCTAATTTTTGAAATGAGAAACAGATTGTGAATATCTATACCACATTTAAGATATATAATATTAATTGTGTCATGTATTTTTTTATGTTGAATGTATTTGTGTGTATGTCTTATCTTCTAGGAGGTGAGGGGCTACACTTTATTTCTACTTCTCTGTGTGCAGCTGAAATGAGTGGTAGAAATTTGCTCATAATCCGTGACTTCAAAGAATGTATGGTATATTTAAGGAGGTGCTCACATTAAATAATTCAATAATTTCTCAACATTACAGAGCAAGAATACAAAAGACTTTATTTGTAGCCTAAGAATAAGTGACAAATGAGTGGTATAGAAAATAATGGTTAGGGGGCCACCTGGGTGGCACAGTGAGTTAAGCATCTAACTTTTGGTTTCAGCTCAGGTCATGATCTCAGGGTTATGAGATTGAGCCCCAACATTGGGCTCTGTGCTGGAAAGTAGTCTGCTTGAGATTCTCTCTTTTTCCCTCTCCCTTTGCCCCTCCCCCTATTCTTTCTCTCTTTTTTCTCTAAGATAGATAGATAGATAGATGATAGATGATATAGATAGATAGATAGATAGATAGATAGATAGATAGATAATAGATAGATGATTGATAGATAAAAACCTCTTTTTAAAAAAGAAAAGAATAGTTTGGCTTATGATGTGGAATCAAAACTCTTGGGATGAACAATAGCACCTTTTAATGTACCAGGCTTTCTGTTAGGGGTTTTGTGTTTTGTGTACATTATCTCATTCAGGTTCTGCACCAATGAATGTTATATTACACGGATGAGGAAATTGGGCCTTAGGAAGTTAGGTAATGTGGGCAAGAGTGTACATCCAGGAAGTGCTGGATCCTCATTAGAAGCTATTGTAGGTGACTGAAAACTGAGCTCTTTCCATCCTCAGTTATTCCTCTAACATCTCACATGGAGCTTTGTGGCACCCTCTGAATGTAAACAACAGGACAGATTGGTGCCTTATATCATGTTTCAGGACTTCCCACTCTTGTTTATAGCCATGTGCTGCTGGTCAAAAGCAAAGTTACTTCATGGTATTGAGATGAATTATATTACCTAACCAAATGTATTTTCCTTTCTTCTTTGGTGTACTTCTGAAATAATTTTGGAATGTCTTACCTTGTTTGCTAGTTGCATCTTTTGTGAGATTCGAAGTACATATCATCTCAGGAAGGTTTTCTGGTCACTTCAAATAACTGCCTTTCATTCAGCCTCTGATGTAGATTATTTGGCTTAATATTCAAATGTGATTAATATTTCTTAATAACACTCAATTTTCCTTATTATTACTTATCGCCATTATGGAAGCATGAACCAACATCCAAGAACTTGGATTCAAGCATTCATTGATTATCAGACACCTAACAGAATAATTAAAACAACAGCAATAACAGTATTTACTGAGCACTCATTTTTTTGCCAAGCCCTGTTCTCATTTTATTCTCACAACAGACTAATGTTGGTTCCATTTTGCAGATGAAGCAAAAACAGAAAGGTTAAATAGTTTTCCCAAAGCACACAGCCAAGTAGGACAGTCAGAATGTGGATCCCAAGGTGGCATTCCAGATCCTGTGTGCTTACCCAATAGGGAAATAAGGGCCAAGAAAACCCATGGTCATATGAAAGAAAATTGAAAATGGACTTTTTAAAAACACCTGATGTGAAATATCACTAAATAAGAGGCATGGGTAATGCTCTTTTGGTGACACAGATCTGGTTTGAACCCCAGCCACAGTCCATACTGGCTGAATGACTTTCAACAAGCTTCTAATCTGGTTTTCCTTATTTACAAAATGGAGATAATGGTCCTTACCTGAAATAGTTAAGAAGATTAGTGCCAGACCCAACACTATCAGATGTTCAGTAACATTCTTACTACTGTGTTCTTATCCCACCGAGAATAATAATCTTCCCACCATATAGTGATCAGAAAGTATCAGTGTTATGTGGTATTATGAAATGTTTGAATAATTCTAAATAATAATATGTAAATGTCTCTACTGGATAAAGAATTAGTATTAATCCTTGCTAACTTGATGACTAAGTGTTAATCACTTTACCAACATTATCTCACTTAATCCACATAACATCCCTGAAGAAGATACTAGTGCTGCCTTCATTTTACAGATGAGACTAGAGCACAGAGAAGTTAAGCCACTTGCCTAAGTCATGGAGCCATCCTTGAAGATAAGATTTTAACTCAGGTGCCTTTACTCCAAGGTTCATGCTCTCAACAGCTATATTCTTTAGCAGAACTTCTCATTATACACATTGGCTGAGAGTTCCAATGATAAGAACCTAAAATGATGATGAACATCATGCATTTTTCTCTCTCATAGATAGTGATTTATGCCTACTATAAAGAGATAAAAAGGCAATTATCACCTGCTTCTATCAGCTCTAGATATTGAGTCAAAACACAGTTAACTGACCTTTTGTCACATCCATCTGGACTCTCAGTGAAATATTGTGTTCCTTACGATTAGGATGTACCAAGTTAGAAAATATTCAATAATTGAAATATGTATTACATACTTTGCAATACTGTTATTGCCAGTTGGACACCATCTGTGCAAGAAGGGGAAGGAAGCATAAACAGGCAGAGGGAGAAGCTGTGCTTTGGCACAGACCCGACAAAGCCTCAGCCAACTGGCAGCAGCTCCGGAGCCAGGATCCCCTGCCCTAGTGTCCCAAGTCTGGTAGCAGGAACCAGACTGGTATACCCCTGCCTTATTCAGTCACTGGATGCAGCTACCCTGAAACTCTGTGAATCAGGCAAAGCATCTCTCTGCAACTGGGGCAGACATGGAAATATCTGAGAGCCGCAGGCTGTTTGTGATGGTCCCTCACCCCCCAGCTGAGGGACAAGTCCTCTCTTAATGAGAGATACAGGCTGTGCATCTCCATATCTGCCACACACACACACACACACACACACACACACAACTAGGGGTTTTAGATCTTCACTGATCAACCATTTGGCTACTGTATAGAAGGGCCTGATTGTTCATTCGAATTGAAGTATTTGCAAGACCAAGTAAATTTCCTTTGTGACTCTTGCTGTCTCCTACTTTGGCTCTCCTTGGGATAAAGGCTGAAATCTTTAATCATAGTTTAAAGCCCTCTCTTTTGGTCCCTCCCATTCTAGCCTTATTTCCTACCTTTCTCCTCACTGCTTCCTGGGGTCCTTTGTGTCCTCAATGCTGCTCCCCTGTACCAACACACCAAATCCAAGACACACCAAATCCAAGTTCTGGCATTGCTTCCTCAGAGAGGAAGCCAGACCACATCAGGACCTTCACTGCAGACGCTGACTGGGTGATCCTTCAAAGGGCTCCTTCAGTGACTTTCTTAATGACTGTCTTCTCTCTGGTCTATAACTCCTGGAGGATAGGGACTTCAACTTTAGTCTCATCCATTATTGTATCCCCAGGACCTGTCACAGTTCACAGTGCATGGTTGGCACTCCACGTTGGAGTAGACCTGGGACATACTGGGCTGACCAAGTAACCACCCATCAGCGTCCTGCCTTGGATGATTAACAGCTATTTTCTTTCTCATACCTTCTATCCATCTTCCGCAGTAAGACTCTTCACTGGAATAGAAGAGAGTACAGTTTAAAATGGACAATCAAAATAACAGAACATCTAGGCTTTAATCTGCACCTGCATTTGCTCTGCTTTAGGGAAGGAGACAAGGCAGCAAAAGCAGCATGATCAGTGTGGCACCCTCATCCTATGCAGAGGCCCAATAACGACCCACAGGCACAGCCTCCTTTACCCCTCAAGCCCACATGAGGCCTGTGAGTGTATAGATCGGCTTGACACAGAGAAGCCATGGCCTCTGTTTCCCACCAAGGTTCATGTTCTATTCTGATGACATTAGACCGAGACTGGCATAGCATGCAAGGCAGCTTCAGCAGGCTGTGCTCACTTGAATCCTATAATTTTCAAGGAGGCAGGACTTGGGGTCATTTTCCATGACAGACCTGGGTCAGGCCAGGCATGATGTTAACTTGTTTCTTACAAATATACAACAATGGAAGGAGCATCAATTTTCAAGTCAAACGGCCGTAGTCTAACACCAACCCTGGCACTTGGGGAGTGATTTTGAGCAAATTTCTTAACTTCTCCAAGCCTAAATTCTCTCATCTACAAAATGAGGATAGCAATGCCTGCCTTCCAGGACTTTTGTAAAGCTTTGACCAAGTAGAGGAGATAAGACTTTAGCTTAAAAATAGATAACTAAGATTTTGATGGTATTCAATGAGGTATAAAAATAAACACACCTGGGATTAGTCACCTGATCAAATGATCATGCTCTGCCTTTGTATGTTTAGGTTATGACAACTCGAGAAGACAAAGTAGTCATTGTAGAAAAGAAAGATGGCACTCGGATAGTGGATCATGCTGATGGTACCAGAATCACAACCTTTTATCAAGTTTATGAAGATCGTATTACTCCTCCAGATGATCACCAAAAAAGTAAGTTTTATTTTTCAAGCATGTGACAATATTTGTGTATTTAGTATGAGTAGAAACCCTACTGCTGTTTTTTAACACATACATATATGAAAAATAATGTTTTGAATAACTCTGTCAACCAAAGAATACACATGTAGTCCAGAGCAGGACCTCTGAGGCCCTTTTGTTATGTTCTTTATCCTCAACGGATGTGGGAGTTGTGAAAGCTCTAGTTGGCTGATGAATATTGTACCTTTTCCCATTTTCACTGCTAAAATCTCTGGTCTGGATTGGTGGTGACTAAAAGTTAATAATCGTGACTCCATTGCCTGAGACATTAGCTCTCAGACCTGTTTCTGTTGGTCCCTATGGAATCTGATTTGCATATAGGTGACCTCAGTTAGGTCTTCCTTCATTTCTGAACATGCATCTCATCATGAGAAGATGGCATGAGAGAAGAACGAGCTGCAGATGGTAATTGACAAGAACCTGGGCAGAGATAATAAAAGCATAACACCTTTCCTAACCTAAACTTAAACAAGATTTTTAAAGACAGATTACTCCCTAACTCTTTTTTCTTTAATTCCAGAGTTTCTTTATTGCAGTATGCTTCATTGCCAAATTAAGTGCAATAAAATTGGCAAGCGAGTTGGAAAAGAACCACCTTCATGCCCCACTGATTAGAGTGAGAATTTAAAAAGCCACTGGAGAGGGCAATTTTAAAATGTCTATAAGTTTAAAATGTGCATATTATATGATGCACTACTCCACTTCTGGGTATATGTAGAGAGACACTCTTATAACACTCTTACCTATCTGTACAAGGAAACAGGTTCAGAGTGATACTTGCAACATCAAGTGTAATATCAAAGTGCTGATAAATAGATGTCCATCAGAATAGAAAAATAAAATTCAATATAATATTCTTCCAAAGGAATACTCTATGTAGCTAAAAGGAATGAAGTATACACACATACAAACATATACCCCACACCTGTATATCAAGATAGATGAAGGTCTCAAAGCAATGTTAAGTAGAAAAAAGTAGGTGTAGAGTGATACATACACTAATACATAATGTATGCATATTTAAATGCCATAAAAGATTATACATTACTTTTGATACATATATTTATAGAACAGATAAAAGAGGACTACAAGAGAAGAGAATAAACCCAGAAATGAGAAAAGTGAACTTCAACTTACCTGTAATTGTTCTCTTATATGCATATTAAAAATGTTGAAACAAATATTCCAAAATATTAACAAGCATACATTTTGATTGGTGAGCATATGAATAATTAAATTATATTTCATGCTCTTCTGGGTATCGTCAATTTCTCAAAATAAATATAGTAGGGAGAACAAAACAGCATACTAAATGAGGTAGGAAGAGTTATTCTGCAAGAATTACTCTGCACTGACAGTGAGTAGACGACACATCAGCCCTGTGGAGTGAATTCTCAGTACTTGGTCTTGACTTCTGGTCTAGGCAGCCAGAAGACTGGAGAAAACTCAGCAGGTGGGTGTGTTTCCCAATGTGTGCATTCCATCAGATCTGCTTACCTTGCATTTGCTTGCAGCTGAACATCCTCAAACTGTTACCAGGCAGGTGAAGTGCATGCGGATAGAAAACTCACACTATGCCACTATCATCACCAACTGCGAGGACAGTAGCTGCTGTGCCACCTTTGGGGATGGGACATCTATTATTGCAAAGCCACAGGGAAAATACCAGGTGGGTCTAGAGGAAAATGAGGAACACCAAAGATAAGTGTCCATTCAACTAAGAAAACCTACTCCTTTGGGGTGGTGAACATTCCTGCCATGTACAGCTGTTGTTCCTCTTGTCTCATGTTCTTAGAACACACTTCTCAGTCTCTTTTTACTTAATCACCTTCTTTTTACAACCCATTGCATAAAAACACTGTCCTACTTGTCTTACAATGCTTTGGTATTTTTGGATTAAGATTTTTTTAAAAGAGTTTATTTATTTATTCATTCATGAGGCAGAGAGAGAGAGAGAGAGAGAGAGAGAGAGAGAGAGGCAGAGACACAGGCAGAGGGAGAAGCAGGCTCCATGCAGGGAGCCTGATGTGGGACTCAATCCTGGGACTCCAGGATCACACCCTGGGCCAAAGGCAGGCGCTAAACCACTGAGCTACCCAGGGATCCCCATGGATTAAGATTTTAAACTAGAATGTATTTGTTGGGGATCTTTTATGTGGTAGGTGGCAGGCACTGTTAGAATCATTCATGTGATCTGTCCTGTGCCTACCACACAAGCTTCACCTCCTGCCATCTCTGTCCTTATTCACACTCTCCTACCCTTCCCATATCCAGTCCATCCCCACTCTACCTAGTGTCCCCAGGATGGGAGGGAGTATATGATCTGTGTGGTCCTAGGAAGGCAGCTTGCAAAGCTTTGTTTTTGAAGGTTCAGGGAGAAGCTCTGTTAGGGACTCCTGTACCTTCCTACATTTCCATATTAATCACAACCACCTAGTGTCAGACTGCAGTCCCTTTAGCTTTGGAAGGATTTGCCTCCATCTTTCCACTTACCGGAGAAGAGACAAGTTCCAGGATAGCATATACAATGTCACATGATACTGAGCACACAAAACCAGAAAATGACGGACAAAGACCTCATTGACAAACATTTATTACTGTGAAAGCTGCTGAAGCCAGTTTGTCCATCCCATCCCTTGAAATAATGTTATCTTACTGCCTCTTCTTCCAGTGTAGATTGTTATGGAGCAAGGCAGGTGCTGAAAGTGAGACATGATTGTGAAATGTAGCAGTTGGCTAAGGGGTGCTATTTTTCTTCTACAATATTTAGAATGTCAATTTTTTTTCAGGAGATTGGCAGCATCCATATTCTAGTACCATGTTTGCTACCAGATGTCATGAGAATCCCCTAAAATTCTGTGATGAGGCCTGTTTTTGCCTTGTTTTTATCATAGTCCCAAACTCTAATGGTTACAATTATGAGGGCAAAGGAATTTTAGAACCAATAACACTTGCCACTGGAGAAAGAGACACAAACAGAAAAGAGATCCAATTTAGAGACATCCAGTGTCTGCCACTATTGTGTAGCCACTGTTCCTTCCAGATTTGCCCAATCTCCCAAAACAAAGCGCAAGAAAGGATTGGAAGGTTGATTGCTCCTGATTGAGAAACACCCAGACCTTAGTTTCCAACTGGAAAGAAAACAACAAAACTCCACAAATAAAATTACCAACAACTATTATAGTTCTATAGTTGTATAGCACGGAAAGATGGCATTCAAAAATACCTATTCCCCATCCCCTATTGGTTGATCATCATTTTCTCACTCACCAGCATGAGGACAATGGGCAGTATGATGAGTAAGGCTGGATTTTATGATATATATATATATATATATATATATATATATACACATACATACATATATGTATATATGTATGTATATATATACATACATATATATGTGTATATATATATATATATCACTAAAAAGATTAACCAAGACATCAAATAGAAGGCAGGTATAATAGTTGTTATCCTCTATGTCTATAATGTGTCACAAGTAGGTTGAAACCATCCACCTAGCTAGAGGGTTTCAGGAAGATAAAATGACAAATAATGGGTCTATTATTTCCCATGGAAAACCTTCCTGTGTCCCTCATTCTAGGAGTCTAGTTTCCTTAGATCAGGAAACCTATCGTCTTTCTGAGGAAAAAAAATGTGTGTGTGTGTGTGTGTGTGTGTGTGTGTGTGTTAGAACAAGCTTCTGAAAGAGTAGTCAGACTCTTCTATGCCAGTATGATCCAGCCTAAATGGTTCCTTTGGGGAAGATACAGAAATGTAATATGGATTTATAAGAATACTTTGGTAAAAGGACTTTAAGAGTCCTTGTCTTTGTTAGCAGTACATAAACAAACACCTTATAATGGAATGTGGTTATATCCTCTACTCAGTAGGTGAAATCAGTTAGAAGAGGCAAATTTTATAGTAAACTTTGAGCAGCGTATGTAAAATATGAGAATGTAAAATCATGGAAATTCTATTTGCTTACTAGCTATCAGGTTAATCAAGAACAATCTCTAGCAGAAAATGTGGTTCATCACTATATTTGACATGTTGAGTCTCTAGGCTTCAGCATAGATGTTTCTCCAGGTTCACTTCCTAGAAAGAAAGGCACATCTTGTTTATCAGGTTTACTTTTGGCATTTCTACATTGGCATTTCTACTTCACTTGTTTTATGGTATGGCAGTGGATATTACAGGACATCTTTTTCTGTCCAGAGAAGCTTTCAGTAAGTTATAGTTAATCTGACAGTTTGGGTCCATTTTGATGAGGACTTTTGGAGGCCAGGAAAGTCACAAATTTAATCATCCACCAGAACCTACTCTAAAATGTGTCTGAAACCACAGAAAAGTCTCAGAATTAGACAAGCTCCAATGCGGTTCTCTGGGCCTGCGCAATGGTGCATAGTCAGTATGAGACCCTTCCAGAAAAATGGTGTAAAGGCCTCCAAAAATACACTAGTCCATAAAGACAACTAGAAAACTGAAAATATTGTCAAAATCAACTTTTTCAGAACTCTGGAAATCAACCAAAGGATTTCAACAATCAGAAAAAAAAAAGAAAAAGGAAAAGACTCAATCTCAGGATGTACAGCAAGATTCACAGTGATTTCACTTGCCATATCTCCCTCCCCTCCCCAACTTCATGGTAGCCTTGAGAATCAACATCTTCACATTCATGATAGCAATGAAAACCAGCATCCAGCAAACAATGAAAGAGGAAGGATAGATTTAGAGCTCTTCAAAAGTTTTATCACAAAATATTGTCATGGTTGACCTATTTGGCAGTTCCCTGGAAACCCCATTGGCAGGGTTATCTTTATTTTATCTGACTCTGAGCTCACTCACTACAGACTTTTCCCCAAACAGAGGTGATTATTTAACATTACAGCTGCCTGAGGTGGCAATAACAAACAAGAGGGTGAACAAAAAATTAAAAGGAACAGCTGGGGAACAGAAACCTGTGTAAGGCTATGAAAAGCTCTGACATATTCCTTGGAATCATCCTCTATTGAGGGCTCTGTTTGCATAGTGGGGTATTTTTTTCAGTGATCTAGCTGGAAGTTTATAACTCTACTTAGCCTTCACTCCCTGCTTATGCAGATTCTTTTGATCAGCAAGAGTGAAAAATTAGGACTTTCAGAGTTCTTTTCTGGTCATGCATACAGTCCTGCACATGAATTTGGCTTTCTAGATTCCAAGGAATATGTGCTTATAATGTATAAAGATGTAATTTTTATAATAATAACACAGTCAGAGGGAAGAAATGGAGCCAAATAGGAGCAAAGATTTTGTATAATATTGAAATTAAGTTATTAATTCAATCTAGATGGTTATAAGACATTTTTTGTGATCTTTAGGCAACTCTAATAACTGAAAAAATATATAGTAAAAGAAACAAGGGAGAGAGCACACAAGAGCCTTTCTCCCTGTTAAGCAAATCATGCCCGTGTGAATGTATGATCTGTGGAGAAAACCCTATGGTTTTACCTGTTAATGCTGTCTGTCTTGTTGGAGAATAAATTTTGGATTTTTTTTCTGCCCTCCCCCCCAAAAAAAAGAAGAAACAAGGGAACTAAAATGGCACACTAAAAATGTCTATTTAAAACAAAAGAAGACAGTAATGAATTAAAAGAGGAGGAAAAGAAGCATAAACCATATAGAGAACAAATAAAAAATTGGAAGATGTAAAACTGACCTTAGTAATTACATTAAATATAAATGGACTAAACAATCCAATAGAAAGCAGATATTGGAAGAATGGATTAAAAAACATGATCCACATATATGCTGTTGACAAGAGATACACTTATATGGTCAAAGACACAAATAGGTTGAAGGGAAAAGGATGAAAATAGATAGACCTGCAATAAGGAATTGAAAAAGAACTGGAGTAGCTATACTAATTCAGACAAAATAGATTTTACACCAAAATATTACCAGAGACAAAGAAGTTATGTTATAATGATAAAAGGATTACTCCATCAAGAAAACATAACAATTATAAGCATATTAAGCACCTAACAATATGTCCCAAACACATGAGTATTTCCAGGGTTGTGTATTACACAAATGTCCAGTTTTTTTCTCTGAGATCTGCTCTCTCTAACTGAAGGGGATCAATGATGAAAATGACCAAAAATGAGCATCAGAAGAATCTTCCAATCTACCTGATGCATGATCTCTAGTTCTGAGATGCAAAAGAAATTTAAAACAATAGGGCTTATGTCTGGAGGTGTGTGTGTATGTATGTGTGTGTGTGTGTGTGTGTGTGTGTGTGTATAAAGGTGACCATGTATAACTGAGGCCTTGATGAATGAGATTGGTGAGAGGAGAGGGGAGATGTGTGTATATGAGACTATTGAGTTCTGAGCAATGATAAATAGGTTTTACTACTGACCTTTACAGCTATAAAGGCTTCTACACTTGATCTGAGCTCAGAATTGAAGGGGGATAAAAAGTAGATTTAAATAGTAAAAACTGTCATGGTTAAAAGGAGAAACAGATAATTCAACAATAATATTTGGAGACTTCAGTAGCCCATTTTCAGTAATGGATAGAACAATAAAGAATAAAAGTGAGTAATCAAAGACTTAAACAGCAGCATAACACAACAAGACCTACTAGACATCTATAGAACACTCATCAACAACAAAACACATTATTCTCAAGTACACATGGAACATTTTCCAGGAAAGACTATTTATTATATCACAAAAAAAGTCTCTGTAGATTTAAAAGGATCAAAACCATACAAAATATGTTCTACCACCACCATGGAATTAGATTAAAAATCAGTAAACAGAAAGATGTTTGGGAAATCCACAAATATGTGAAAATTAACACAGAGAAGAAATCACAAGGAAATTGCTTTGAGATGACTGAAAATAAAATCTTTAATATAAAAAAAATTATGGAGCAGTGCAAAAGCAATGCATAAAGGAAAATTTCTAGTTTTATATTGCCTAAATGAGTATATTATAAAATAAGATTTCAAATAAATAATCTAGCTTTCTACCCTAAGAAACTAGTAAACAGAAGGCAAACTAAAACCACTGCAAAAATATAGAAGTGAATAATAGACCATAATAGAAATAAATAAAAGACAGAATAGAAAATAGTCAACAAAACCAGAAGTTGTTTCTTTGAAAAGATCAACAAAATTGACAAACTTTTTTGTTTTAAGATTTTATTTATTTATTTATTTATTTATTCATGAGAGAAACACACACACAGAGAGAGAGAGAGGCAGGCTCCACGCCGGGAGTCTGGCATGTGGGTCTCCAGGATCACGCCCTGGGCGGAAGGTGACGCTAAACCGCTGAGCCACCCAGGGATCCCCAAAATTGACATACTTTTAGCAAGATAGAGACACAGAGAGAGGAAGGGAAGGAAAGGGGGGAGACTCAAATTACTAGAATTAGGAATGAAAGAGCCACATTTTACCAATCTTACAAAAATGAAAATAATTGTAAGGAAATACTATGATTATCAACAGATTAGATACCATAGATGAAATGAATAAATTTCCAGAATGATACAAACTTCCAAATCTGAATCAAGAAAAACCAAAATATCAGAATTGACTTATAAGAAGTAGAGATTGAATTGGTAATTTTAAAATGTAGCACACAGAAAAGCCCAGGCTCAGATGGCTTCACTGGTAAATTCTACCAACATTTGTGGAAGAATTAACATTGAATAATTTTCACAAACTCTTCCAATATATAGAAGAGGAGGGAAAACTTTCCAACCAATTCTATCAGGCCATTATTACCCTGATGCCACAACCAAAGTCATCACAAGAAAACCACAGACCAATATCTCTTATGAAGATAGATAAAAATCCTCAAGAAAATGCTAGCTGTATCCAGCAACATGTAAAAAGGATTATACATGGTCACCAAGTGGGATTTATCCTATGAATTAAAGATTGGTTCAGGATGCAAAAATCAATCAATATAATATACTATATTAATAGAATAATGGAAAGAAACCTAATGGTTATCTGTACAATTTGACAGGAAAGCATTTGACAGAATTCAACACCCTTTCATGATTAAAAAAAAAAACAACTTAATATACTAGTAATAGATGGAACTTCAACCTCATAAAGGGCATCTACAAGAAAACCCAAAAAAACTAAGGAACAAAACAAAAACAAAAAAAGCCTACAGCTCATAAACAGCATTCTTATTGGTAAAAGACCAAAAGCTTTCCCCCTAAGATTGGGCATAGGACATGAATGTTTGCTCTCATCCTTCCAACTCAGCATTGTACTGAAGGGTCTAACCAGGACAAACATACAATAAAATAAATAATATGCAAATAGATGGGAAAGGAAAAAGTAAAACTATCTCTTTTTTGTACAGATGATATAAGTGTATTTAGAAGATCCTAAGGATGCAATGTACCAGGAATACATATACACACACATACCCACACACTATTAGAACTAATTAAAAAGTTCAACAAGATTAAAAGATGTAAAATCAATATAAAAAAGTCAGTTGTATTTTTCTACATTAAGAATGAGCAATCCAAAATTGAAATTAAGAAAACAATCCATTTAAAGTAGCATCAAGGGGATCCCTGGGTGGCGCAGTGGTTTGGCGCCTGCCTTTGGCCCAGGACGCGATCCTGGAGACCCGGGATCGAATCCCACGTCGGGCTCCCGGTGCATGGAGCCTGCTTCTCCCTCTGCCTGTGTCTCTGCCTCTCTCTCTCTCTCTCACTGTGTGCGTATCATAAATAAAGAAAAATTTAAAAAAATATAAAAAAAAATAAAATAAAGTAGCATCAAAAGGAATAAAATATTTCTCTTCAACAAATGGTGTTGGGAAAACTGGACAGCTACATGCAAAAGAATGAAACACAACTACGTTCTTAGACTATATACAAAAATGAACTAAAAATGTATTAAAGACCTAAATGTGAGACCTGAAACCATAAAAATCCTAGAAGAGGGCACAGGTAGTAATTTCTCTGACATTGGCTATAGAAACATTTCTTAAGATATGTTTTCTGGAGCAAGGGAAACAAAAGCAAAAATAAATTGTTGGGATAATATCAAAATTCTTTCTGTACAGTGAAGGAAACAATCAACAAAAAACTAAAGGAAAATCAACTGAATGGGAGAAGATATTTTCAAAAGTATGTCTGATAAAGGATTAGTATCCAAAATATATAAAGAACTTACACAACTCAACACACGCACAAAATAAATAATCCAATTAAAAATGGGCAGAAGACATGAACACTTTTCCAAAGAAGACATACAGATGGCCAATACACACATGAAAAGATTTTCAACATCACTAGTTATTAGGGAAATACAAATCAAAACTACAATGAGTTATCACCTCACACTTGTCAGAATAGCTAAAATCAATAATATGAGAAGTAACAAGTGTTGGCAAGGATGCAGAGGAAAAGGGACACTTTATACTGTTGGTGGAAATTCAAACTGGAATAGACACTGTGGAAAGCAGTATGGAGGTTTCTCAAAAAGTTAAAAATAGAACTAGCTTATGATCCAGAACTGACTTATGATTCAGTAATGGCATTACTGAGTATTTACCCAAAGAATACAACACCCCTGACTTGGAAAGATATATGCATCTCTAAGTTTATTGCAGCATTGTTTACAATAGCCAAATTATGGAAGCAGCTCCAGTGTCCATTGATAAATGAGTGAGTAAAGAAGATATGGTATATTTACAATAGAATATTACTCAGCCATAAAAAAGAATGAAATATTGCCATCTGCAACAACATGGATGGATCTAGAGAGTATAATACTAAGTGAAATAAGTCAGTCAGAGAACAGAAAATACCATATGATTTCACCCATATGTGAAATTTAAGAGACAAATACAGAAAGGGAAAAAAAAAGAGTGACAAACCAAGAAACAGACTCCTAAACATAGAGAACAAACTGATGTTTACTAGAGGAAAGGTGAGTGGGGGATGGGTAATGCAGATTGTAAAAATGAATAAAATACCCAGAAATAAATTTAATAGGTATAAGACTTATGCACTGAAAACTACAAGATATCACTGAAAGAAATTAAAGAAGACCTAATAGGCAATATCACATATTAAGTTTATGGAAGACTTAATATTCTTAAAATGGCAGTATTCCCTACATTCTTTATCATCATCCTGGCTGCCCTTTCTGTGCAAAAATTGATAACCTGATACCGAAAATCTTACGTAAATTCGAAGTACTCCAAATAGCCCAAACAATCTTGAAAAATAACAAACTTAGATGACTCACACTTCCCAATTTCAAAACTTGCTAGAAAGCTACAGTAATTAAGACAGTGTGGTATGAGATAAAAAAGATAGGCATATCGATCAATAGAATAGAACTAAGTGTTCATTTATTATCAACCTGTCGTCAATAAATTTTTTATAAGCATGCCATGCTAATTTAATGAGGGCAAGAATAATCTTTCAACAAATGGTGAATAAAGTTGAATTTGTATCTCAAACTATACACAGAAATAGCTCAAAAGCAGAAGGACTTAATTGTAAAAGCTCTCAAACAATAAACTTCTTAAAAGAAAACATAGTGCCAATCTTCATGTCCTTGAATCTGGCAATGATTTCTTAGATGACACCAAAAGCAAAACTTTGTTGAGATGAGGAAATTTTGTGCTTTAAAAAAACACCACCCAGAAAGTGAATAGACAACCTACAGAATGGAAGATATTATTTGTAAATCATATATATGATAACATTCTAGTATTCAGAACATATAAAGAACTACTACAGCTCAACAATGAAGACTGATAACCCATTTTTTTAAATGAGCAAGTATTTGAATAGACATTTCTCCAAAGTAGTTATATAAATGACAAATAAGTACATGAAAAAATACTCAACATCATTAGCCATTAGGGAATTGCAAATTAAACTATGAGATACCACTTCCCACCCACTAAAATAACTAGAATAAAAAAGACAGAAAATAACAAGTATAGTGATGATGTGGAGAAATTGGAACACTCATACATTGCTGATAGGAAAGTATAATGGTGCAATCATTTTGGAAAACAGTTTGGTAGTTCCTCAAAAAGTTACAAATAGAGTTATCATATAACCCAGCAATTCTACTCCTAGGTAGGTATTTCAGGAAAATTAGTACACACATCCACTCAAAAATTTGTATACATATGTTGCTAGCATTGTTAATATTAGCAAGATTATGAAAATAACTTACACATGTCCATCAACTCATAAATAGACAAAATTTGATATATCTATACAATGGAATATTATGGAAAAGAATAAAGCATTCTTTATTAGGAATTTATTTATCAGTAACCAAGATACATAATATTTTATGTAGTATTGATACATACTACAACATTGGTAAATCTTGAAAATATTTCACAAAAGGCCTCATACTGCATGCTTTCATCTGTACGAAATCTAGAATATTCAAATCCATAGAGATAGCTGATCACTGGTTGCTAGGGGCAGGACTGATGCAGGGTGACTGCTCATGGCATCAGGGTTTCTTTTGGGGATGATGGAAATATTCTGAAATTAGTGATAAATCCACTGAATGTACATTTCATGTTATATGAATTACGTCTCAAAAATGAGTCTATCTGAACCAAAGTCATTATATGAAAACTAATACTTAGGGACTCTGTTAGCCACCAGAGGAATCGAAACAAATAAAAGCTCATAAAAGGGATCCCTGGGTGGCGCAGCGGTTTGGCGCCTGCCTTTGGCCCAGGGTGCGATCCTGGAGACCCGGGATCAAATCCCACGTCAGGCTCCCGGTGCATGGAACCTGCTTCTCCCTCTGCCTGTGTCTCTGCCTCTCTCTCTCTCTGACTATCATAAATAAATTTAAAAAAAAAGCTCATAAAAGCATTTATCCCATAGCTTCTAACTGTTTGAGATACTTTTTGCCCAAAACCGTGAAGGATTCCAAACATTTTTAACAGAGATGAGTGTGTTTACTTCCATTAAAATGCATTTTTATTATCTTAAATATCTGACATAAGAAGGCACAAGGCAATTACTTGGAAAAGATATTAAACTGAGTAGATAAATTATGCTGGCAAATTGAACACCAATAAAAAATAAATTTATTATTAAAAAAAGATAAATTATGATAATACAAAAGGAATTACGTCGTTTTAAAAAATATATTTTATTTATTCATGAAAGATGAGAGAGGCAGAGACATAGACAGAGGGAGAAGTAGGCTCCCTGCAGGAAGCCTGATGTGGAACTCGATCCCTGGACTGGGATCACACCCTGAGCCAAAGTGCAGACGCTTAACCACTGAGTCACTCAGGGGTCTCAGAAATTACATCCTAATTATTCAGTTTGCCTCTTTATCAGAGAGCCCCCTTCCCAAAGCTGAAGCCCTCTTTTGGTTAATGTCTTTTTCCTGGAAAAAACAGTTTGTGGCTGAGATCTATGTATAGTTTTTTTCCTCAAAATGATTTTCCAAATCCATCATATTGAACAAGACATTTTAAATATAATTTCTCTCTTTCTGTTACCCTTCCAGGTGTTACCTCCAAACACAGGCTGCCTTCACATTGATAGGGATTGTTCAGCTACATATTGTCATGAAACAAGCAGTGATATATACCACCCTTTCCAAAAACGTGAGCAGCTAAGAGCTAGCAGGTACATCATGAAGCACACATCGGAGGTTATCTGTGAGGTCCTAGATCCTGAGGGAAATACCTTTCAGGTAAAGTGCATACTTAGTATGGAGAGAGAGGCTGGGGCTTTTTTTTTTTTTTAAAGATATTTCACACTTAAAAGGTTCCATGCAGCTTTATACCTTAGCTGCCTGGGGATCAGTTATCTACTTACTGCAGATATACTTTGCATGAGCAGTAATCAATGTCAATATTTTTGCTTCTCAAGCATACTTCCAAGGGAATAGAAGGTCTAACAACTGTTGGGATGGTAGAAATGTTAAAGCCAAAATACAGAATTAGAATGGAAGGAAAGAAGCATTACTAGACATTTGTAAATAATGCCAACAAAAAGAAATATAAGATATAAGAATGGTCTGTATCCAGGTTAAAGGGAGAACCAGTTTGACTAGGAAGAAAATCTATGGTAAGAAATATAAATCAGTGAGGGTTCTAGAAGGGTTGAAGATGGGAAGGTGGGAGAGGTGCTTAGCTCTTAGATAATAGAGCTTTATCTTCTGTTTCTCTGTTCTTCAGTCCCACAACCATCCTCTTACATCCAGGCCAAAAGCTGGCAAACCATGGCCACCTGTTCATATAGGCCCATGAGCTAAAAATAGCTTTTAGATTTTTAAATGGTTGTAAAAACTCAAAAGGAGAATATTTCATGACACATAAAAGTTATAGGAAATTCAAATGTTAAAGTCATTATATAGTTTTATTGGAACACAGCCATGCTCATTTGTCTGTGGTTGCTTTTGCATATAATAGCAGACTCAAATAGTTACAACAGAGACTATATGGCCTACAAATCCTAAAATATTTACTTTCTGGTCCTTGACAAAAAAACTGGTTTGTCAACCCCTGCTCTAAGCATTTCTCCTTGTTTTCACTCCTCACCCAACAGCAGAAGTTTGTGTAGTAGGTGGTGAAGTTGTTCTTCAGATTTGGAACCATAGCACAGAGTCCCCAACTTTGGTTTGGTATGCAGACTAGGCCTGATCCTACTTGGTGGGTTTCTTGTTTGTTTGTTTGTTTGTTGGTGCTAAACAAATAAGACTCTTCCCAGCACGAGTTCAGGCTGCTAACAAATTTCAATTTATAGTGAATTGAAATTGAACCTTAAGGCCCTAAACTCCCTAGGTTTCAACACATGGGACATTTAGGCCAAGCATTCTTCTAGGCATTGATGCTCTTCTTAGACATCCCCTTCAGTGGTCTTTCAGCCTAAACCACACTCCTTTCTGGAGAGATCCATGCCATATCTAAATAGTAGTAATAGTTAAAATATTTCTTCTCATGCTGATACCACATCTCACGCTGATACTAAAGATTTAGTCTCACGAATCCTGATTCTGCACTTGCAATCACAGAATATAAACTTCTTCCACACTATCACTTCCTTAATATTTCAAGACAACTATCACATGAGTAGCCTTTCCTCAATGTTTAAATTCCCAGTTCCTTAAATTAATGCTCAGAAGGTAAGATCTGGAGTCCCTAGCTAGTCTTGTTGCTTTCCTCTGAATATATTCTGGTTTGTCTTCTGGTTTGTATTCACAATCTAGGTGTAGTTTGTAAGTAGACATGTGCTACTGGGTTTTCGCTTTTATTAATGCCAGCTGTACTTAGTGAATATTACCGTGGAAATAAATATCTCTGATTTTCTGAATATACCAAAAGACCACATGCCTTTTCAAATGGGAAATGTAAGCTTTATGACATTTCTTTTCTTTTAGTTGCTTATATATACCTTCTCCCTCAGGTTATGGCTGATGGTAGCACATCAACTATGGTACCTGAAAACAATTTAGAAAATGATTTAAATGAAAAAGCTGAAGGCTATGATACTTTATCAGCTACTCACCTTTGTAAGAACCATCTGCAAATCTATGGTGAACACGTGCCCAGGTAATATGATAAAAATAATCCCATGACTTTTATTTTTTTAAGGATTATTCACTTATTTGAGAGAAAGAGCACAAGCAGTGGGAAGGCAGAGGGAAAAGAAACAGAATCCCTGCTTAGCAAGGAGCCTGCCACGGGACTCGATTCCAGGACCCTAGGATCATGACCTGAGTTGAAGGCAGATGCTTACCCGACTGAGCCACCCAGGCACCTCTGACTTCTTTTTTAAATTCCAAGTTTAAGGAGCATTTTAATGAAATACTTTAAGTTATTTGATTTTATTGCTTCAAATAGGTTTTTTGTCATTTATGCTGATGGATCAGGAGCGGAACTTCTTCGAGACAGTGACATAGAAGAATACCTATCTTTGGCATATGGAGAATCGGCTACTGTAGTTCTGCAGGAGCCAGTACAGGAACAGCCAGGTAGGAAACCCAGAATGTCTGGAAGCCATTGTGTCCCCTCACCAGCTCCCATTCTCTTTATCTAGTCCACCCCCATGTCATCTCTACTTTTTTCCTTTTGCTCACTTTTCATCTCTACTTGCCACCTGGCCACATCAACCTGTTTATACAGTTATTTATGTTCATTCCAAGCTTTATCAGAGCATCAACCTATGTAAACTATATAGGAATCCCTCTCTTACCTATAAGCAGATTTGAATCTGTCTTTACATATGTTAGGTATGTAGCTATGATTCTATTTATGTGTTCCATTCAATTTGGTAGAGAAAAAAAGAAAAATGAGATATTGCTTGTAAGGTTTTTTTTTTGTTATTTTGAAGGTGTTGCCTTGATAAATTTAATAAGAAAATACATTTGACATGTGAGTTAGAAAGCCGTCCTGAAATATAGCATATTATATATAATTATATTCATTGTATATTTATATTATTTTCATCAGTTTCAAAGGAATCAATGTGTGGCTTAAGATTAGTGACACATAATGCATCAAGAAAGAATCATCAGAGGGGCACCTGGCTGGCTCAGTTGGTGGAGGCTGCAACTCTTGATCTTGGGATTCGGAGTTCAAGCCCCATGTTGGGGGTAGGGATTACTTAAAAAAAATTAAATCTTAAAATAAAAAGAATCATTAGTGTATGTCATATGTGTATTTAAACATAGATATAAACTTGCATGTCATCTATGTATGAAACCAATGTTTTGTGTCTAGATTCATGTATGTTCCTTTTTTATCTGTTCTCTGGTTGGTAGGATATACTTTAAATTTATTTACAAATATGCCTGAATCTCTTCACACAATATATTTTAGTGCATCAATGCACATGTGCATGATATAGGAAAACTTGCTCTTTGTGTATATAGAGAGTGAGGCACTCTGGTTGTGCAGTGCATGTGTGGAACTCTATGAGAATTCATTGCAAATGGCTTTGTTTGTTATTTAACTAGAATCTGTTTGATAACTTACCATATGCCAAACACACTGGCTAGGTATTAAGGATACAGTAGTGAGCTAACACAGCATGGATCCTGCTTTCACAGAGCTTAGAGTTAAATAAGGTCAGTATTGATTATATAGCCACACAATGACTGTAATTATATGATTATGAATTAGGACAAAATCTCTGAATATGAATCTATGGTTCCTTGAGAATCTCATATGAATATGGTTCCTTGAGAATATCTAACAGAGGAACATGTTGTAGTCTGGAAGGCTTCCCTGAAGACACTGGAGCTAAGAACTGGTGGATAAATAGCAGTTGATTAAAATAGAGGGTGAGCTTTCTTGGGAGAGACAGTACAAAGCAGAGCGCAAAAAGCCTTGGAGAACAGGAAGGAAAAGGCTTAAGTAGCCAATGCACAGAAGGAGGAATAGTGCAAATTGAAGCAGGATGAGAAAACACTGAGGACTCAGTTTTATCTTACTATCAGTGGAAGGTCAATGAAGAGTTTAAATCATGGACCAACAATCAGTCACTCTGGCTGCTAGTGGGGTTCATTCGCAGAATAGATCTAGGTATAAAAGTTGGTTGTTGCTATGACCCAGAACAGGATCTCTCAGAGTCAAATGATCCAAGGCAGTTCATCAGGTGAGCTCGAGTGAACTGATAGGACTTGGATGTGGTTTTTGAAGGATGGTAAGGTATCAATAATTCCAGGTGATCTAAATCCAGTCTCTAGGTGTTAAAGTGACTAAAAGCCTCACTTTTCTTGTTAGACCCTAAGGTTCCTAAGCATAATCACTGGGTCTCACTTATCAAAAAGTATTTGTTGAGAGGTGTCTGGTTGGCTCGGTTAAGCATCAGACTGGTGGTTTCTGCTCAGGTTATGATCTCATGGGTCATGAGATTGAGCCCACAGTGGGGCTCCATGCTCAGTAGGAAGTCTGCCTGAGATTTTCTCTGCCCCTTCCCCCACTTGCACCCTCTCTCTCACTCTCTAAAATAAATAAATAAATATTTTAAAAAATATGTTTGTTGAATTTAGTGAATACTTATTGAATTTCTCAGAAATTTTTTGATGGAGAAATGATCCTCTGATAACACTCTTTGAACCAGGTGCCCTGAGCATCACTGTCCTTCGCCCTTTTTATGAAGCATCACCATGGCTAATGAAGAAAGAATTAGATACAATTGTTCCTCCTAATCTCCAGTCAAGGTCATGGGAGACATTTCCCTCCATTGAGGTATAAACTTTTTCTTCTGGAAGGTCACTATGCTTACATATCTGTCTCAGTGGTTTGGAGTTTCAGGTCTTCTCTTATATATTCACATATTTTCATTCTTATGTAAATTGTTAATGGGCTCAGGAGTTTTATATTTGAAACTTTAACATTTGTAGATTTTAGAGAAATACACCTGACTAGCTAAATCTGTTTTATTTCTTTTAGCCTATATTGCAGACTCAAGCTTCTTCCTATGGTATGAAAATATCCACTCTGATTAACACATACCCTACCTCTCCTATTGTGGAATTACTGATATTATACAATACAGAAATCTTTCCTTCTCTTATTCCTTATTTGTTAGTTTTAACACACAATTTTAGGTCTTTCACATTCCCTTTCTCCCCTAATTTCCTAATGCACAGACTGAAGCATGTAAGAATAATGTGAAGGATTATATAAAGAATTTGCAACTACAATGTTAAAAAGTAAACACTGTAATTATGTCAGATTTGAGAAGCCCTACTTAAAGTTTTTTAAAGAATGGAAGAAAATATCTTGAGCAAGAATCATAAAGTCTTGCATCTTGCAAGATCTGACATTTCATTTTGTAAGCAATTGGTGTAATATGTCCATCATATTGTCAGATGTTAAATCATTAAATCACTGAAGACATTGATAATATGATCAGAGAAACATACTACTGTTAGGTGGGGAGGATAAGGTTTTTGATTTATAATGAATTGCTTCCCTACACAATCTGGTATTAGCAAGGGCAAGGTAATGAACACTTAAGATAACTAAGACCTTGGTGCACCTGGGTGGCTCCATTGGTTAAGACTCTACCTTCGGCTCAGGTCATGATCCCAGGGTCCCACTCAGTGAGGAGTCTGCTTCTCCCTTTCTCTCTGCCCCTCTCTGCCCATGTTCATGCTCTCTCTCTTGCTCTCACAAAAATAAATAAATAAAATATTTTTAAAAGATGACAAAGACCTCTTAGTTCTATATTTTAATTTGGTGGCTATAACCAACATGGTGAATGAAGTTGATCTGAATTCTAGTCCTGAGTTTACCAACTATTAATATGGGATTAGGGACAAGTCACACTGGACCTCTACTTCCTTATCTGAAAAATAAAAAGGCCACACCAAATGGTTCGATAAGGCTATATCCAAGTTGAAAGTAGTGTTTCATGACCAATAAAATGTCAAATCTGAGATTAATGAAGGAAGCTCATTCTCTTCCTCTGCAAATCCTATAGCTCTGACTTTCTATATGCCCAGTAGCAGTGGTCCTGCCCAGGCAAGCCCCTGAGTGATTATCACTGACCAGGCATCAGATGCTGAATAGCTGTTTACAATGAAGCAATCAGACACACTGCAGAACATAGGGCTTCAAAGTACACCACTCCTGAAAATCAATGACAAGGATGACATAAAGATGTGAGGCAGCTTTGAGGCAAACATTCATGCCCAAGAAACCCTGGAAAGGCTCTAAAGGTGTCTTAATCTACAGTGAGCTCAAAGACCACCCAAATCTATACGATAATTTCTCTCTCTCAATCTCTCTAGGTCAAAATGAACATAAAAACAGAAAGTTAAAAAGACTGCGCATTCCAAATGTCTTAGGCTACTTGTGGTAATAAGCAATAGTCCTATACATTTGGCGTAAGCTGAGCTACATTTCCATGACAACACATTGCTTACTACTCCCCTAAATGGGACATAACGTAGCAAGATTTTAAAATATCCAGATTCCTGAAAGGGACCATAAGTGAAGGGGGGAAACTGAGTGGTGAGAATTTAGAGAGGAAGACAAACCATGAGAGACTGCTAGCTCTGGGAAACAAAAGGTTACAGAAGGGGAGGCAGGTGGGGGGAATGGGTGACTGGGAACTAAGGAGGGCACTTGATGGGAAGAGCACTGAGTGTTATACTATACATATATATGTCGGCAAATTAAAATTAAATAAAAATTTAAAAAATAAATAAAATATCCAGATTCCTGATAACACATATAAAGAGGAATGCTTGCACAGTTCTGTTACCAATTTTTCTTATATTTGAGAAACTTTTGGAGCAGGGATCTTTTTTCTGTTGATACTTAACAATGGTTCCTAACATAGTGCCTACATAAATAAGGGCTCAGAAAAAAAAATTAAAGTTAAAACATTCTGATTTTTTGATGTTTGTCTGCTTTGTTTTGTTAACAGAAAAAAACTCCTGGACCTCCATTTGGCACTCAGATTTGGAAAGGTCTTGACATTGGGTCCAAACAGCTAATAAGTGCCCCAGGCCCTATACTCAAGAGCCCTAACGTTCTACAGATGCGTCAGTTCATCCAGCATGAGGTCTTGAAGGATGAGGTGAAACTAAAGTTGCAGATTTCCCTTAAGGTAATGGAAATTCAGGTAACCTGACCCACAAGGATCAGGAACAGGGCAATTATTCCTCTTGGTTTCCTGAGGAACCTGAAATTATGCAATTCTACCAGTATTTATCGAATGCAATACATGAATGCCAATTTTCCAGAGGATGGGAGATTGAGAGGTAGAAAATACCTAATGGCTCCCATCAGGCATATCAAGTATTGAGGCCCTGAGACATTGAAAAGATAAATAACTTTTACATGTGATTGCTATATAGAGTTCTCCTTGTTTCTTACTGTGTGGAAAGCTGGTTTAGTGACCTCCAGAAAAAGGTAGAGCTGTTTATTAATCTGATACCTGTCCATGGCAGAAAAGCATTGTTTGGAAGTGGTCTAAGGATTTGTAAATATATAGTCAATTGTATAAGCTATATCTGTAACTATCTCACTGTCCACTTTGCTAATTGCCTCAGAACAGGATCATAGGTGTTTTGTTTATGGTCACATACCCAGCATCTAGCATAGAGCAGCGGACCATTTATTTATGAAAATAGATACTTAGGAAAAAAGTAAAGTATATTTCTCTTGGAAGCAAAGATATAGAAGAAGCCTAAACTTACATTCATAGATAGAATCATAAAGACTATCTCTGGAGAAGACTCTAGAAACCATCTAACCCAAGTCTGTACATTTTGTTGATGAGGATCCTGGAGCATAGAGTTAGAAGCTGGGCCTTTCTGGGGTCCTCATACAGTTCTAATATCTTGTGGCTCTCCAAGCTTTGCCTTTGGACTCTTCAGGTCCTTGCTAATTAATAGAATTAAGAAAAAGGTTTTCCAGATTGCTCAATGGGTAACTGGTTTGTTGAGCATTGAGAACTTATATATTCTTACTCTTTTGTAGTATTTCCAGTTGATGTTGACCATTTTGGTGTCTCTTTCTACCTTATTTCTGTTTTTTATTGATCTGTTTTATTCTGCTGATTTAGGATTATATAAACCATATTCTAAAGAAAGAGGATAAGCTACAGGAAATGACTATTAAAGATTCCAGAACTGAGGAGGAAAGGGGTAATGCTGCAGATCTCCTCAAGCTAGTAATGGTGAGAAAGAAACGTTTCATGTACTAATGTTTTTACTGTTGTTTCAGTACCTCAAGACAAAATATTGCAACTAAAGCTGTTTCTGCCACTCCTATGGAGCATTTTCTCCCTCCTTATAATTTCTTATTTCTGGGAAAATCTGATTCCTCATGTACTGGATTTTCTAAATGCTTTTTAGATTCTTCCTTAAATCATAAGTAATTCTAAAGGCTCTTAAATAAAAGTTTATATTGTTTTCCTAGAAACTGACATTCATTGAAATGTTGAATGAATTAATGAATGAATGAAATAGGAAGGAGGAAGAAAAAAGAATTTCTCCAACTTAAAATGATTTGTGTTTAAAAAAATTTGTTGGGCAGCCTGGGTGGCTCAGCAGTTTAGTTGCCGCCTTCAGCCCAGAGCATGATGCTGGGGTCCCTGCATCAAGTCCCTCATCGGGCTTCCTGCATGGAGCCTGCTTCTCCCTCTGCCTGTGTCTCTGCCTCTCTCCTCTTTCTCTCTCTCTCTCTGTTCATGTCTCTCATGAATAAATAAATAAAATCTTTTTAAAAATTTTGTTAAGTGAAAGGAATGGCTATAAAAATATCAAATAAATTGTTATTGGCATTAAAAACATTCATTTTATAGTAGTTTCTATAAAAAATCAATTTGAGCACATGAAGAATGCTTTTAAGCAAAGTGAATTTGTATGTAGTATAATCATCCTCATTAAGGAATTCTGTCTTTATTTCAGTCATTCCCTAAAATGGAAGAAACTACAAAAAGTCATGTAACTGAAGGTAACTACATTTAATATTTTTCTGCAAAATATTTAAGAATCTTAAATACACTTCTCAGTGATTCCTTCATCTGATAGCAGAGTACCATGTATATATTTCTATTGTCATGTTGGCCATCTTGTATTGTAATGATTTATTTATATATTTTTTCTGCCTAAATTGTGATATCCTCGAAAACCATGACTACCTCCAATTTATCTCTAACTTTCATTTGCTGAATGAAAAAACAGTTGACATTTGATGTTTATGTTAACCTCAGCTTGTATTTCCAACATAGCTAAGATACGAGAGGGAAACAATCAATCAGCCAACATTCTTTCCCTGACACATACATTCACACACACACACACACACACACACACACACACACACACTGAGAGAGAACTTTTGAGCAGCTACAGTTATTACCAAAACCTTGCACTGTTTTATACTATATTTTTAAATTTTATATACATATATATGTATATGTATCTCAAGCAGTCTGAGAAAACATCCTCATTCAAAGCATATTTGCTTGAGGAATATACAGCCACAGCAAACTTAGTTATAGGATTTCATAGGTTCACATAGGTTCGTAGGTTTCATAGGTTCATGTAGGTTCACAACAAGCAAGCAGGCAAAAATTTGGTGGTATGGGATTTTCTTTTCCTTTTCTATTTTGGCCATATGACGAAGGTCAGAAACTGGCAGGAATAGGCTTCATTTACCCCACAAATGTGTTTTATGTGTCCCCCACAGTGTTGACTTGCACAGTTACTTCTGTTTATCTCAATTTTCCATCTTTTGAATGTGACATTACCACATAGTGACATTTGGCTGAAGATGATTAACAGCTGCCCTTTTAGAATGACCATAAACCAAAGAATTGATCACAACCTTCAATTGCCACTCTTTTACCTGGGCAGCCTATTATATTAGAATTGTCAATTTAAGGGATCCCTGGGTGGTGCAGCGGTTTGGTGCCTGCCTTTGGCCCAGGGCGTGATCCTGGAGACCCGGGATCAAATCCCACATCGGGCACCCGGTGCATGGATCCTGCTTCTCCCTCTGCCTATGTCTCTGCCTCTCTCTCTCTCTCTATGACTACCATAAATAAATAAAAATTTTTTAAAAAAAGAATTGTCAATTTAACAAATAAAAATAGGGAAGGCCTAGTTAAATTTGAATTCCACGTAAACAACATGTGACCTTTTAGTATAAACATATTCCATGTTAGATTTGGGACATACATATTTGGGACAAAAAAATTGTTGTTCATCTGAAGTTCAAATTTAACTGGATGCCCTATACTTTATCTGGGACCTATTCATTGTAGCATTTAAATTTGTGACATGGAACAATCACTGTAGAGGTAAATGTGCAGGTTGCCTAATAATAAAGGACAAACTAAACATATTTTTCAAACATACACACGAAACAAAGTCAAATAGGGTTTCACATACTTAGAGCTGTCCTTGAAATACTAATAGTGGTAATTTTAAGACAATGCTCCACAAAGTATTTTCCAAAACACTAGTCTATGAAATGGCTGCACCAAAAATGAATTTTATGATAAAATAAGTTTGGATAATCCTGCATATTGCCTTATTTTTTAAAGAGCCACAGTGTAAATTAACTAAGTCCTATAGTAACAAAACATACTTAACCTTTATAAGTCAGTGTTTCCCAAGCTCATATAACCGTAAAACATGGAACCTTTTAAATTGTTTTATCTTTGTTAATATCTCACTGAGGCCATGTTCAGAGGAATAGGCTCAGAATAAATGCCCAAATTAGTAAGCAGCCATTGTATTACGTTCATATCCTTAGATTCAGATCCTTAGATTTCTTTCTTTCTTTCTTTCTTTTTTTTTTTAGAAAAACAATTTCAACAAAATGGTTGACTTTTTTTTTAATGTTTTGGCTGTGAAAAAATTCAATTAGGCAAAGTACTAATTCCCCTAATGCTGTGGATAAATGAGAGGTCACTACATTTTACATTTTAACAATAAGATGTATGTTCTCTCATAGGATATTTTCTAAACATGACCTGATTTACTATTATATTACACCTTAGGCATGGAGATTCTGGTAGATACTTGGTAGACTAAATATAGGCTCATAGAAGCCCTCTGGAGTAATCAGGCACTGGCTGTATGTTATGTCTTCAAAAGTGAGGATAAATAAGTTAAATGTGTCTCTTTTTAAAGTTGCAGCCCACCTAGCCGAATTATTCAAGCAATCTTTGCCTACTGCTCCAGAACATCCACCAAAAACATCTGATAAATATTTCCTTGAAAAGAAATGGAGGTAAGCTGATCCCATAATGTGTTCCAATTAGTGTCAAGCATACAGTGATTGAGGAAATGGAGAAACACAGCATCCTAACTCTGGGTGATGACACCAGTGAAGTCTTAGCCTCTCATCTCTGAAACTCCCAACAATTTATCACGCAGTGGAGGTTTTTCTTGTATTGTTTGTAAGCTGAGAGCATTCCCTCATACTTTCCTTTCCTTTCCCCCAGGCACACAGCAAAAACAAAGCACTGGAGAGAAAAGTTGGAACAAAAGAGGTAATTCTATCTTGAAGTATAAGAAAGCATGTAAAAAGGCCCAGTTTTGTGGAGTCTTGGAAATTTAGAGTGGGATAGGTTGAAAGGTCCTACCAGCTAGGCTCTCTGCTGTTATTTGAATATCTTCTACATTTTTGCCAAGTGATTACTCAGCTTATGAGTGAGGACATCATTATCTTTAGAGGAAGCACATTTGACCATTACATAGACCATTACTCCTTTTCACAAGCAAGAAAGTCCTCAGGTACTCTCTGTGCTCTGGTAATTCTAATATACTAATAAATATTCTAGATCTTAATGCAGAGCCTAGTCATAAACATTCAAGGTTCTTATAATTCAGATAAGGAATGTGCTCTAAGCAGTAAGTGCTTTGGTTTCCTTTTATTCCTAGCTGAAGGTGTCACCCCAACAGGAGAGGAAGCCAGATATATTTACTAAGTATATGGTAGTACATATGGTACTATTGCACACATTTGCATAGCTCCTCTCCACAGTGACTGGAGGAAGGATGAAGATTCTTCTTCATAAAAATGTCTGAGTTGCCTTGTAGAATGTGTTGGAGAAGTGGTGAGGTAGGACCCTGCATCTTATGGGCCAACCCTATAGTGAAGGTCAAACTAGAAGGTGTGTATTATCTTGTAGAATATTCCTGAAAGGAGTTCTAAGAGACTGATGACAATGATTGTCTACAGGGAAGGAGATTGAGAGGTTAGAGAATCGCGGAAGATGCAGACTTCCTTCTTATTACATATTCTTTAATACTTTCTGAATTATGTGCATATGTTATTCATTCACATTTAAAAAATTTTTTAAAACATTAAAAATTTCAGATTTTAAACTACAGGAAGATAATGGAATGCAACAGAAGTTTTTGAAGAAGAAAGTGAAATTCATACTTAGATTTGTGTTATAGAAAGAGAAGTGTTGGTGGCATGGAAAATGAATCTGGGGAGGAGGGTTAACGAATGAGAAAGTTTCCAGGAAATGGAAGGTGATCACCAGTGGAAGATGATTCTGTAGAGGAATCAAAAAGGAGAATGAAAAGAGGAATTTGGATTTATTAACTGGGAGATTTCTTTTGTGAGAACAGTTCTAAGAGTATAGGCAATAGGCCACACAACTGCGATAGTCTGAGGAATGAATCAGGTGAGGCAGTAGAGAGAAGATATTTTAATAGGGAATTAAAGTTGTTTGTTTAAGATGATATTTTGATTCGGCCAGTATTTTCTGACAGGCCAGCTAGTGTAAGAGAAAGAGCACTAGTCTCAGAGCCAGTGGGCTTAAAGTCAGTTCCAGTTTGATTACTTACAGATGAATGATGCCAGCTGATGTTTTAGTTCAGTAAAATTTACCTCAAGAATTCAGTTTTGCTTATCCGTATAGTGAGGATCACTGGGCCATCTAATATCAGAAGTATCTTTCAACTCTTGAGAGATAGTTACCCAGTCATGCTGGGTGACTAGCATATGCACTTATGAAGCTCATGGGCTTGGAGGTCGGCAACCTGGGTTTTAATTCAGACTTTACATAACTCTTACTAGTTCTGTGATTTAAAGTAAGTTACTTAACTTTTCCACACTTTGACTTTTTGACCGATAGAATGGGAATAATAATAGTAACTCATAGGAGCACCTGGGTGGCTCTGTCAGCTAAGCATCTGACCTTACCTCAGCTCAGGTCATGATCCCAGGGTCCTGGGATCAAGCCCATCATTGGGCTCCCTACTCATCAAGAGGCTTGCTTCTCCCTCTCCTTCTGCCTCTGCCTTTCGCTTCTCCTGCTTGTGCTCTCTCTCTTTCTCTCTGTTAAATAAATAAAAATAAAATCTTTTTAAGAAAGTAACTCATAGAATTTGTGTAAGATCATATGTAAAAAGTATCTGGCATATAATAAGGATCTAAAAATGAGAACTATATCAGATAAGATTAGGTTTAGCTACATTTAACAGACACCCCCTGCCACATCAGTACCTTTACAAGAAAGAAGCCTACCTTTCCTGGTGTAAAAGAAGTTAGAAGTAGCAGTTCATAGTAAGCAGCACCACAACATTGTGAGGAACTCAGATTTCTTCTTTTTATCTTTAATCATGCCTAGCACATGATTTTCATCCTCAAGTTTGCCTCATAGTTGCAAAATCACAGCCACAGCTGCAGTCATTTCACCCATATTTCAGGAAGTAGGAAAAGAGATGAGATAAGGACGAAGGGGAAGCCTCCCTGCTGTGTCAGGTTATCTGGAGTCTTACACAGTGACTTCATTTTACTTGTCATTGGTCTTCCTACATATAGGAAAGGCTGGGAAGTTTTTAGCTGGTGTATCACCTCCCCAATATAGGGTTCTGATATTGGAAAAACAACTATCAGGGTTATGATTACTTTTATTTTACTGATTATTTTAAACATTGATCATGCTAGTCATAAACCAAATTCCTTAGGTTTGAGTTTTAGCTTTTGTTACCCCTGCTATAAAAAATTATAGAAATCAGTAGAATCAAGCTGGCATTTAAACCTCAGAGAATTGAAAGACAAGCCAAAAAAGGTCAATCATGTGGATTTTAGTCTTTTGGGATCAACTGTTAAATCCAAACTACCACCTGGCATCATTATTTCCATCTTAAAAGAAAGTCTAATTTCTGAAGTAGGAAACATGACTGATTCTAAGGTGCAGAAAATGGACCAATGCAAACTGACCAAAAAAAAAAAAATTGTCTGATTAGTTCATTCTTACCAGTTTTATTGTTGGTGATTTCATTTTCGGTGGGATTTAAAGCAAAAACACATGCAAATAACATTTTTAAATATTCTGTGTCTTCTTTTTATTATTATGGAAATATCAACCAGGAAGGAAATTGAAAATACGCAAAATTACCTAAAGGAAATTAGGAACAAAGTCATATCACCCTACTTCAAATCTGAATTGAGCAAGTTATATCAGTCTCAGGTAACTGAATATAATTAACAACGATTGAATATGAGTCTTTATAAAAGTTGATGCAATGCATATGTTATTCCTGATGTTTCTTTCCCACATCAGCCCAACTGACTTTACCTTTCATCAAATCCGTGTCCTCACAAGCATATGAAAAGACTAATTTCAAGTCTTGCACCTAAGAAGTTCACTGCCAATGTATTACTACCACTCTACCTCTCTGCCTTGCATTATCACTATTAATTACCCTCTCCCATCTCTTTTAAACCCGTTTTTGGGCCCAATTCTCCCTATTTTTATCCTCTTATAAATTATACTTTGAAGCTTTTATTCCATTAAAATCTCTGCATCCATCTGCAGCTGAAATAGCACTAAATCATTATGAGTTCTTGGAAACCCGTGGAGACAGAGAACCCCTCTTCTACGAATCCTTGAAACTCTCAAGCAACATGAATGTTCTCATGTGTTTAGAGCTCTCTGTATTGCTATGACTTTTCCAGATGCTGCTAGTAATCAAATGCTGCCTAAGAAGAAGTTATAGGAATGTATGACAGAATGACAAAATCTAGAATGGAGTTAAACAGTCTATTGAAAAACCTTTAGTTTGCAAACTTTCTTTTCATAGCATAAAAAAAATGTATACGCTTTCATCATGGCTCATCAACTTAACATTCTTGTGGTGATTGCCATCCAGGCTAGTGTAAGTCCAAAGAAGTGTTTTGGTTTTTCCTTTCAGTTTAATTATCTGGACACCCTTTCCAAAAACTTGCCTCCTTTTACAAAGACAGAGGAAGATGCAAACAAAACAGGTCTTCCGAATGCATCCGATGAACTTCATCCAGGTAATATGTTCAAGTAGCTCTTATTCCTGTTAATGTGCTAAATGCAGAATGCCTAATAAAGGCCTCTTAAGATATAACTAGTTCCTACCATCTTTTGTCTCAATCATAGCTAATGATGTAACCTACTGTGACTTGTATATTACAAAGAAAACCAAGATATAAATACAATTTAGTTTTCATCCTGTATGCTTAAAATTTATCTAAAAACATTCAGAAGACCTGGCTAATTTACAAATCAAGGGAGTAATGAAAGGTTGGTGGAGAATAGGTCAAAAATGCAGGCTCAAGTTATCACCTCACATGATATCACACCTAATTATAAGGAGGAAAATATGGCATTTGCCAGCTTAACCAAGTGATCAAACTTCTACCAATTGTGACAGCCTAGATCAGGTGCCTTCTCATATAATGCAATATGAAGTGCCTAGGACCTATGTAGAATTCTTGCCAAAAACCATTAACCTGAATTTAACCATGAAGAAATAATCAGACAAATTCAGAGTGTAGATATTCTATGAAATAACTGTCCTGCACTCTTCAAAAAAAGTCAATGGCATTAAAAGAAAAAAAAATGGGATGATTGTTCTATATTAAAAGAGAATAAGGGCACCTGGGTGGCTCAGTTGGTTAAGTGGCTCTTGTTTTGGCTCAGGTTATGATCTCAGGGTTGTGAGATGGAGCCCACATTGGGCTCCCTGCTGAGTGGGGAGTCTGCTTGAGGATTTCTTTCTTTCTCTTTCTGCCCCCTCCCCCAACTCGCTCACTCACTGACTCTCTCTTTCTCTGTATGCTGGATTGAGAAAATAAACACCTATAAAAGAGGGACACCTGGGTGGCTCAGTGGTTGAGCATCTGCTTTAGCTCAGAGCATGATTCCCGTCTGGGAATCGAGTTCTGCACAGGGCTCTCTGGGAGGAGCCTGCTTCTCCCTATGCCTGTGTCTCCACCTCTCTTCCTGTATCTCTCATGAATAAAGAAAATCTTTAAAAAAAAAGCTATAAAAGATATTTTGGAGCATCTACACAAGTTTGAATAGAGGACTATATGGTTGAGGACATTGTGGAATATCTTTGAGTTTTCCTGGGTGTGATGATGGTGTTACGGATGTGTAGAAAATGTCTCCATTTCAAGAGATGCATGTTGGAGAATTTAGGGGTGAAATGAAATTTAGTACTTCTTTTTAATAAACTGGGTAGCTAAATGACCTAGATAGAGGAGTTTTCTACTGTACAATACAGTATCAGGGGGCCAGCTGCCTGGAATGAGCATAGCCAGAGAAAACATCTGATTACCACAGAATTTGTAAAGCAAAGAGTAAGGCTCTAACAATGACTTAGACACAAAATGGGAGAAATCAGAGATGAAGATTGGTGGTGCTGGTGCCCATCTGCTCCCAGGCAGACAATTCTACTCAGTGAAGCTTACTGTCCCCTTGAAAGGGAGCGATGCTACAAGTTTCTCTGCAATCCTCCAGGCAACCACCACTATTCAGCCAGAGCGGCCCACATACAAGTTGAAATGTATTTGCATCCCCAGTCCTTGATATATTTATGTTTCTTAATGATTTATTTATTTATTTGAGCAAGAGAGAGAGAGAGTAAGGGGAGGGGCAAAGGGAGAGAGAGAGAATCTTGAAGCTGACTCTCCGCTGAGCCCAGTCTGCGCTAGATCCCAGGATCCTGAGATCATGACCTGAGCCAAAACCAAGAGCTGGATGTTCAACCAACTGAGCCACCTGGCACCCCTTGATAGATTTATCTTAAATTTGTTTCATGTTGTACTTCTTAGATACATTTTAATAAAGACCTACATTGTCATAATAACAAATGGATTTAAGATGGAAAATTTTTAAAAAATCACATCTCAGTTACTCTTGCTAGGTAAAAGTAGGCTAAATTACTTGGTCTCTACTTCATAACCCAACCAAGATGATGACTGTGTTACCTTGTAGAACCAGCTAACCTGCAGGGAGTGTGTTCTTGGCCAGTGCTGTCCTATTCATTAATGGCAAACATTGCATCATATAATAAAGAATCCCTGCCTCTCAGTGGCCTTTTTCCATTTGATCTTTCTAAAGACAGGGCTGGGAGAGCACATCATTCATTGTAAAGAAGAGTAGAAACATCAGTAGTCCTTGTATCATTGTCCAGAGTATTACTTTATAATATTTCTTTGGGGTTCTCTAGATTGCCAGCAAGATTCAGAACAGGAATCCGTAAGAACAACAGGTCTTCCAAAACTGAAGAATTTTGGGGACATCACGGAGTCTGCTGGCCAGAACCAAACTGAAGATTTAGCAAAACCTATCGACGGTATGGTAGTTATTTATTTATTCTTTCTCAAAACTGAAGATTGTGTCTTTTTGGACTAGGAAAGATGGCACTGGGATCTGAATGTATAGTTGTGGTTACAGAAAAAATTCTAAAGGGTCACAGATCCTGGAGCTAAAGAGCTTTGTAAGGCTTCCTAGCACATCAAAATAGCTCAAAAAATATTTTGAGAATGACTGTAAGTCCCAGATTGAAAGTAGAAAATGGTAAATATATTTTTCTAGATTGTTGTTGTAATCTATTTCTTAATTTAAATTATTTTATTTATTTTAATTAATTTATTGCATAATTTGATGTCATGCCTCATGGATCTGAGAGCTTGCCCTGTTTACTAAAGATCAGGAACCCGGTAGCTTTTTTGGAGCAGCCAGTAATTTGGTATTTGGACTCAGATTTACCTACCATTTTAGTACTTTTTTGATCTGAAGGTGCTAGAAGAGAAACATAGAATGTAGTCTCTATCTTATGCAGCACATCATCGCAGTGAGGTAGCAGAGATTAAAGTATGGAATAATACAAAGTCATTATAGTACAGGGGAATCACATTACACTGATTTCACTGAAACTAATTCCACTTTATGGTTGTCAGAAAAAATAAAAACAGTAATTTAAATCCTGTAGATGAATTTGCACTTCTTCACGCCTGTGGACATGGTCCCTATTGAAAGTGAGATGGGAGGCACCTGGGTGGCTCAGCGGTTGAGCATCTGCCTTTGGCTCAGGTGCTGATCCCAGGGTCCTGAGATCGAGTCCCACATCAGGCTCCCTGCAAGGAGCCTGCTTCTCCCTCTGCCTCTGTCTCTGCCCCCTCCCCTGTCCCTCATGAATAAATAAATAAAATCCTTAAAAAAAAGTAAAGTGAAATGGGAGTCTGCCAATAGATCTTAGTTACCTCTTACAGAGGGAGCATCTTGCTACATTTTAGGGTAACTTGAGGAATTTACCCTACACGTGACTTTTGCCTTCCTGATTTTAAAGTTATCTCTTGTATAAAGTTTATTCATTTAGTGGACAATTTATGCAATGCCTACTATGTGCCAGGCATGTTCTAGGCACAGAAATGCAGCAGTGTAAAGTCTTATAGAGCTATGCATACTATGGGCAGACCTAGATAATAAATAATTAGAATTAGATAAATTCATATTGCTTATCACAGAGTAAAACCATGTATAATGTATAGAGAGTGTCTTGGGGAGAGGGACAGCATATCATCAGGCAGTTAGGAGGCCCCTCTGGGAAAGAACATGTGAGCTTAGAAGGACTAGAAGAAGCCAGCTGTGCAAACACTGGGGGAGAGGGACAGAGCAAATATGAAGACCTTTAGGGGAGAAGCAGAAAAATGGGTATATAGCTGGAAGAAAATGAACAAAGGAAGAAGTAAAGAAAGGTGAAGTCAGAGGGAGCGGCAGAGATAAGACTGTGTGATGCTGCATTAGGAGCTTGGGATTTTAGTCTATGTGTAGTTTTGATTCAAACACCACTGGAAGGCTGTGAATAGGGTAGGTACATGACTAAGTGTATTTTTAAAAGATTACCCCAGTAGCTGGGTGAATAATAGCTTGTGACAGGGAAAGGGGGAGCAGACAAGTGGAAACAGTGAGGGGGGAGAAAGCCACTGAGGCAGGACATGTGAGCACCTGCAGAGACCTGGTCAAAGCAGTGGAGGCAGGGAAGGTAGGACGCAAATGAACTAGAAACATATGTCCTGGAGGTAGAGGCAATGGGACTCACTGGTCAACTGGATGTGGGGCAGAGGAACAAGAGAAACCCAGGGCTGTCCCCAGGGTAAGTACTGTGTGACCAGTCTCAAGGCTGAGAATGTGTAGCCATAACAAGTTTCAGGTGGTGCTGATGTTGCTGGTATAGGATCACACTTTGAGAACCATGGCCCAAAGGCAAACTCTGAGTGTGAAAATCAGGAAGAAGAGGATTCACCATGTAGGCATGATCGATCATTAACTCAATCTCCATTGCCTCTCCCCTTCCCAGAGGGTGGAGATGGGGCTGGAAGTTCCAAGCTCCTAATCATGGTTGGCTCTTTCTGGTGAATAACCCCCATTTTGAAGCCATCCAGGAGCCCACCAAGAGCAGCCTCATCAGATCAAAAGACACTGCGATCATCCAGGAAAGTCCACCGCATTTAGGAGCTCTGTGTCAAGAAGCTGGGTTAAAGATGAAATATTAGAACAAAAGATGTTCCTAGTACTCTTATCATCTAGGAAATTCCAAAGGTTTTAGGAGTTCCATGCCAGGAACCAGGAATCTATATACTGAGACCAGTATATTAATTTTCTGTTATCTCACACTAGTAGAAGGTGCATGTTCCTGGTGGAGTCTTGACTCACTTAGGCATACATTACAGCCCTGGCACTTCTTTCAGTTTCTTGGACAAGTTATTTAACTTCAGTTTCCTCATTTATAATGAGAGAGGAGAGAGAGAGAGAGAGAGAGAGAGAGAGAGAGAGAGAGAGAGAGATACTACTATTATTTAGGACTCTTTGATTTGTAACTGAGTGAACTCAAACTTAAATTCACTAAACAGAAAAGTGGCAGGTGGGGCAGGGGAGGGCCGGGGAGAGGGATATGTCTTGGTCTCAGAAGCTCAGAACCACAGAATAGCGGCTATGGTGCTAGCCCAAGGATGACTGATCCAGACACTCTCACCTTTCAGGAGTGTCCTTGTGTCTGATTGCCCCTCTCTCTGGGCATCCTCCCTGCCTCCATCTTGCCCCATCCCTACTTGTCCCCGTTTGGTTTTATCCTCTTCTGCAAAGAACAGACTATATCCCTGTGGCAAGGACCATGACAATAGAGGTCCAAGATTTTGATTTTTCCAGATTCATATCCAGGTAGTCAAGCTGAGATTATTCCTCTTCTCTTCTGTGGAAATATCCTGGTAAAGAACCTGCATTGGCTCTGCATGGGTCATGTGCCGTCCTGATGACTGGGGCCAGAGATATTGTAGCAGTGAAAGTATGTGTGGTAGGAATTTGAGGATGAGGTTGGCAATGGGGAGAGTCCCGAACATACACTAATTATAATTACCATCTCCCTCAGCTGGTAGGATTTTATGAGGATTCAGTAAGATGCTATATTTAAAAACATACCTGTGATGCTTGCCTGCAGATGGTGGACATTTGAATATTAGTTTCTTTGCCTTCCCTGTCTTGGTGGTTTGAATGAATGAAAAGATATTCAAACATGTTGATTTAAAATAATGTTCTTTTTCAACCTCCTGGATATTTGGAGAAATGTATACAGCTGCAACTCTATAAACTACCTACTTTTGCTCACTCCTTCACCAAGTTTGGCGATTTGAGGACTTAACTCCCTGGCTTAATTTATCTCTAACTACTAAGCCCCTTTTAAAAAAATTATTTATTTATTTGAGAGAGAGAGAGAGAGGGAGAGAGAGAACACAAGCTGGAGGGAAAGGCAGAGGGAGAGGGAGAAGCATATTTCCCACAGAGCTGGGAGCCTGACAACCCAAGGCTTGATCTCAGGACCCCGAGATCATGACCTGAGTTGAAGGCAGACACTTAACTGATTGAGCCACCCAAGCTCCCCACTAAGCCACTTTTTAGAAGTGTAAATGTAGTAGTTGAACTCCAAAAATTAAGATTTCTCTTCCATTGGTTTTAAAAGATCTTTCAGAGTCAGTGTTTATTGTGTTGTACCTTGTTGATTTAATGGAGAGAACCCTGGTCACTCAGCTTCTCAGAATTTGATTTTTCTCATTTACTTAAAAGAGATGATGCTAATGAGACTCTGCCCTGCCCATCTCCTAGGGGTGTTGTGAGAACTGATATTAGATAAAATCTCTTCATAGAATGTAAAGCTGTAACACTAGAATTGATAAAAAGCCTTTATTTCTTTAAATAAGTTCTTTAAAAAGGAAAGAAGAGAAGTTTCCCAAATTGGTTTATGTTCTCGTAAACTCTGGTAGGACCTCAGATGTCTTTGAATAAAATGTTCATGTGTCACAATTTAAACCTTCTAACAGACCCAGAATCCTATGAGCCCGTGAAAATTCCAACCCAGTCATTGCTGCAGGATGTCACAGGACAAGCCAGGAAAGAGAAAGTGAGGTTACCACACTACTTGTTGAGTTCCAAGCCCAAGTCTCAACCTCTCACGAAGGTAAAACAGACATGGAAACCAGTGTCCCAGAGCCAGGCAGCATTTTATGTAATCCTGACTCGTTGAAGTTGCTCATTTCCAGCTGCTGGGTACTGCTGTTCACTGTACATGCGAGATCACATCCCTGTGAAGATGTTCAGGTCACACAGAGATGAGAGCTAAGACTATGCTTTGCCGGAGTCAGCTCACCCAGGCTCAGGAGGGGAATTTTATGAGCCAGCTCTTAAACCATTGGTAGCTTGAAATCAGCCTGCTGGGGGTTTCGCACCATCAGTAGCAAATGCTACTGATCTGCGTTCTTTTCAGAGAGCCAGTTTACCAGCATACTACTGTCTAAGGGGATCATTGGCCCCCCTTCTCATGACTCTTAGGATAAAATGCAAATGACAGCATCATTACAAGCCCTGTTTGATTCTCTACCCTCATTTTACCCCATACCCACTTCAGCCTTGTGGGTTTCTCTTGGTTCTCCAGAAGTATCAAGCTCCTTTTTTCTTCAAAACCTCTAAGATTAAGATCCCCTCTCGTCTCTGCTGGGGACCCTGCCTTGAGCCTACCAATCTAGTTTAGATAGTCTTTGATACTAGCATGGCACAGTGCTCACTGCCACCACAGAATTTATTGCAATGTCCATGGCTGACTATGTGGTAGGAGCACTTCCAAACTGATGTGCATATGGATTACCTGGGGATCTGGTTAGCAGGCAGATTCTGAGTCACTGAGGCCCGAGAACCTGCAATTCCAACAAGCTCCCAGGCGAGCTCCATGTGGCTGCTCTGGGGAATATCACAGGCACAGGGCAATGTTTCTCAAAGTCTGATTTCCAGACCAGCAGCATTGGAAGTGCCTGGAAACTTGTAAATGCACATCCATGGACCACATCCCAGGTTTACTGACTGAAAAACTCTGGGGGTAGAATCAGTACATTGGGGCTTACCAAGCTTCCCCGGTGATTCTGACAGAAGCTGAAGTTTGCTAATCACTGGTGCCAAGAGCATAAAGTTTAGAACCAGGCAAACTTGACTTTGAACCTTTACTGCACCAGTTATCATTTGAGCAAATGGTGTCTTATAATTCTCTGAATTTGAGCTTCTTTATCCTTAAAACAAAGCCTACAATACTTCTTGCAGTGCTGCTCTAGGATTGCAGGAGACTTGTTGATGCTCATTTATTCCCACAGCCAAGTGGTTATTTTCCTTTGGCAGTTGAGCCTTTTTCTTATCTTGGGAATGTGACATAGAAATCGTTTCCTTTGATTTGACTACTGTTTTCTTCACACAAAGGTGCAGGATTCTGTTGGAGGAAGAGTGAAAACATCCTCTGTTGCATCTGCTGCCATTAATAATGTGAATTCATCCCCTTTTGGTTTCCACCTGATCCCACCATCGGTGAAGTTTGGCGTGCTTAAAGAGGGACACACCTACGCAACCACTGTAAAGCTCAAGAACGTGGGAGTGGACTTCTGCAGGTGAGGCTGAGGCACCAGATGCCTGTGCAGGTCACCTTCTCCTATGCGGGGACTTATCTTTGGCTTACCTCCATCCTTGAATGTTTATTGAACCAAACTTAACTCCTGAATCTTCACAGCATTCATACAATCATTTACTCATGCATTCATTCATTCTTTGCCAGTTCGGTATTTATCAGACTTCAACCATGTGGTGGGTGCTTCTTGGCCCTCCCATGAATTCTTATTCATACTTTGGGAGAAGCGACTCAAGCGCTGATCAACAGTAGCAAAAAGTAAAGGGGAGGTTGTACAAATGTTACAGTAATTAGTGCACAAAATTCAGAAAGTCTGTTTCTCAAATCTACCACCAACCATAATACCAGCTGACACGTTTGCACTTTCTGACCTAAAAGTGACTTTCATTACATTATTTCTGAATAATTGAGGCAAAAAGGAAAAAAAAAACCTGAGTTATTAGGGCCATTTTGCCTCTGAAGATCTAACTTGATCATAACTCACAACCTCTCCTCCTAGTTGAGAATACACTATATATGGCATTCAGTGACAAGAAAAATAGTCCTTTGTTTCTAGATCAATAAAATTATAGAACTTGTAGAGACAGACCTTAGAGATTTTTACAGAGGATCAAAATAACATGTTTTTAGGTCTTGTAGGCTAGAGCAAGGCTGGATCTCAGATCCCCTGTGGGCCTGTTTGTTTGTGGCCTGATGCTTTGTCAGCATGGCTGTGGGTCACTGCTTTGTGCGGGAGTTCAGTCCTTCCCACTGGGTCAGTATATTCTATGTCTATACTAGGCAGCTCCTCGTTACGAAAGTTCCCATATTCTATTTTGAATTAAACTTCAGTGTAATGTGGGTTTTTTCCCCACATAAAAAGTGCAATAAATATTTCAGTTGCAGAGTTATGATCAGTGTAAGTGGCAAGTCCTTCCAGTTTGTGATTCTGAACTCGAAAATGGACATCAGACAGAACAAAGCTACACATGCATCCAGTTTAAAAGATCAACATCCCGTTTTGGTTGAGGCAACTACCCAGCTTCAGGAATCACGTGTGTTTCCTCAGAAACAATCAGGCCACCAGATCAGACATTATTGAGGTTTTTTTTTTTTTTTTTTTTTTTTTTTTTGGTTGCTGCCCACAGAATGGGTGGGGAGAAATAGAGAATCAACTTCAAACTAGTGAAACTCATCCACGCAGATCCTATCTACTCAGTATAGAATTTTAGCTTGCAAGATTTCACTCCTCAGCTTGTTAAATTCAGCCACTATAGCATAGGTGGCGAAGTTTATAGTAGAAAGAGCAGGATTAAGGTCAAAAGTGGAGGTAGGCTTTCCCTGGCATTTTAATTTGCTCCAGGTCTTTAACCTTCAAGCAGAACCCACAAACCACAGGCAGGGAAAGAGATCAAGAGGCACCACGTGCGAGCTGGGGCTTTCAAGTTCTCCACCGTTTTCTGAGCCTTTTCTGTTTCTCTTCTCCCCAAACATGCAAGCCCCATACCACGACAGAGCAAGACTGGCTCCCATGCTCCACTGCTTTCCAAAAGAGCCTTTATTCTTCAGCTTAATGATCTGGCACTCAGCACTGGTGTTCACGCTGGCGGCCACGCTGCAGTGCACGCACCAGCCAAACATTCACGACCCTCCGCCCGGGCCCAAGCTGCTCGGCAGCATCCAATAACAGAGGGTTGAAACTGGGATTGGAGTCTGTTTGACGCTGATGAAAACTGTTGTTGGAAAAGCAGTTGTGAAATGGCCTCAGACCCCTTTCCCAAGTGACTATTGGGTTCTTCTCCTAATGGTATGGAATCCCCCCTTCCTCCTTTGTAGCAAACATTAACACCTTCCTGATTTTATAACATCCCAGTCTATTCATTGCTTTTTCATTATGGCATAAATTTATTCCCATCTTTTTGCCTGGTAGATTTAGGGTGAAGCAGCCCCCACCCAGCACAGGACTGAAAGTGACTCACAAACCCGGACCTGTAAGTCCTATGCGCTCTCTGTTGTGTGCGCCCTTGTATGTGCATGTCCGTGTGTGCATGTTTCCAGGGAAGTGGGCTAAGTCATTCTATACATTCAGGTTAAATCATGTATAAGTCTCATTTTTTTAGTATCATAAGCAAAAGATTCCTGGTATGAGTACACCATGTGGCTTGACATCGCTGACTGCAGGTAATAGCCATGAGACAAATCCTATGCATAAATAGTTAAACTTCCAGCTATGGAAACTTTTCTGAAGTTCACTCATTTGTCCCAATACTACAGCCATATACAGTTATATGGAAAAGACGCCTTTTTAAAAATTAAATATGATTTGACATGCACTAGGAGAGCTGATTACCTAAAGGTATCCTGTAATAAATTCTTCTGCTAAATGAAAAGTCCCTTGGAAAAATAAATAGTCTATCCTTTGTATCTTATATAAATTTGGCTTGTTCTTTTGCTATTTGCCAGAGAATTTTAATGACATTCTAAGAAATAGTAATATATTAAAGTCATCAGCTGCTTCATGTCTCCAAAGACCTCCGAAAACACCAATTTTAATGTCAACTTGTTCTAACTTTATTTGATACATTCCCCCCAAATGGGGTATTTAATAAAAAAAATCCCTATATTGCCACTTACTTTAAATTATAATTTCAGAAATGTAGTATCAAGTAAACAAAAGTTTATAAATATATAAATACACAAAATATATAAAATAGTATAAAAGACATAATAAAATCACACTTGTGAATCTTAACATTCATTCCTTGGTCAGTGCATCATCTTCACATTCCTTCCATTTCATTCAACAAACTCTGAATGCTACTTATAGGGACAGGATACAAGGGATGTTAAACATGAGTAGACTCTTAATGTTGCTCCCAGAGCTGGGCACATAATAGGACTCAAGGTATATAACTAAGTGATTGAATGAAGTGAAGACATCTGGTAGACACATGATTGTTCATCACAGACAGGGACACACATGAACTAATGAGAATACCAGGCAAAGGCATCCACTTCCATAACCAGCACACAGAATCCACGGAGTCCCAAGATCGTAAAACAGCCACAATTGTACATTGACACAGTAGGGGCAGTTTGATAGGGTGCAAAATCAGTTGGCTTCTTGTGACTGTGCCACCATCAGCTCTGTGAGGTTGTTGGTTAATTAACCCCCTTTACCTTGCTTTCCTCATCTGCAAAAGAAGTTGCTTGGACCTGATAATTTCTTAGTCCTTTTCCAGCCCTAAAATCTTGTGGTCTGTAATATGGTAGTTTGCAGGCTGCGATTTCAAACAGAAATATACTTTGGGGTAAGATCCACCAATTCATGAGTACCTCTCTGTCATATTTCATCATTGTACTGTGTCAAGATTCCAGAAACTTTGCAACATAATGCAAAAACAAAAATTAAAGCAAACTCTTCTTCCACTGTTCTGAGAAGTTAGCAGATTTTTTTTTTTCATTTAAAGTAGGGGTGATGCCAAAAGCCAAAATGACTGTTGGATCAACTTTTGTAGGTACTAAAAACCCAGCATGTATTCTTTGAAGCTCACTCTCTACTGTTAGTATTTTTCATTTTTTTGACAGTAAGTTTTGGCTCTGCAAAAATATAATCTATAGACTTCTCCATATGTAAATCTAACCACTGTTCAGCTTGGTTTTATGCCAACACTGAATGAATATGCCTAGAGCCTGGGTAGACCTGAGTGGTGGCGGGATGCCAGCTGCCTTGTGCAGAGTGGCGTCATCCCAGCCCTGCCCTCATTGTTGGGCTCCAGGGCGAAGGGCCCGATCCTCAGACATGGAGACTTGGATACCCTCCAGTAAGCAGACCTTCACAAGCACGTTGTTGAAAAAGTTGAAACATTTTTCAGTTCTATTATTTATAAACTATACTGAAAAAAAATATGTATTGATATCTATTTGCTTTCCATGTGGTGGTTTCTGATGTATTTTTTCCAGATAATTGTTCTCAAGTCTGCTTTTTAACCTACCTCCTGGAGAGGCAGCTTAGGAATACAAACAGCTCTTTCTTTCCTGGCCAGTGTTCTCTTTAAGGAACAAGGCAAGAGGCCCATTCCTTGCTGTGTTTCTTCTTCATTATATATCGGGTTTCTTCTTAGTTGGTCCAGACCTCTTCCACGTGGCTTTCAGATCTAAGCAGTCTGGCATTTAAGCTCATTCTGTCTCCCTCTACTGGCTTTGTCACATCACAGGTCCTCCATTAGAAACACTATAAACCATTGTATACATAAACCACATCTTCTTTATCCATTCATCTTTCGATGGACACCGTGGAGTATGAACATTTTTTAAAGTTTTTATTATTTACTAATGATTGAATAAAGGCTAATTTGATTTAAAAAAAGAAAGAAAGAAACACTATAAACCAAGAGGCAGGACAGGGGAAGTTGTGGGGTTCAGGGACTCTCTTAGTTTACATTTGTCTTTATCCACAAGGATATCCATAGAAACCCACCGCTGGGGCACCTGGGTGGCTCAGTGGTTGAGCGTCTGTCTTTAGTTCAGGTCATGATCCCAGGGTCCTGGGATGGGGTCCTGAGATCAAGTCCCATATCGGGCTCCCCGCAGGGAGCCTGCTTCTCCCTCTGCCTATGTCTCTGCCTCTCTCTTTGTGTCTCTCATGAATAAATAATAATAATAACAACAACAATAATAAAGAAATCCACTGCTAACATTCAAGAAACACCATAATTATGGGCATTGTAAAAGTGGTGGCAGTATCACCACCAGTGGTATACTGGCATTTAGTTTTCTTACACTTCTTCCTAAATAGCACCTGGTTTTCTTCTTCAACAATTTATCTTGGGTCCCATTTCCTCCATGAAATTCTACCTAACTAATCTACAAAGTAACTCCTCTAAATGTCATAACAGTGATCATTCATTAGTGCCATGTTTATATATGAGAAAATAAGATTAAAAAGTTTAGCCCAAATTCATGTTAAAACCAAGATTTGAACTCAGATATGTCTGATTCTAAAGCTACATTGTGTTCCGTAGGTGGCGGCTGGTTTGCAAACAGAACTGAAAGTTGAGTTATTTGCCATGGCTGTTGGAGAGGATGGTACCAAGGGATCAACACACATCTCACACAATATTGAGATTATGACGGAGCATGACGTCCTGTTCTTACCTGTGGAAGCAAATATCCTTTAAAGCTCAACCTAAGTAGTCACAAATAGAGCAAAAATTACATTTGAGCAAGGGGAAATGAGAAGTCAAAATGCTATTCCCTAACTTCCTTGCTCCCGTATTCCATAGCTTCATTAATTCTATTTTTAAGACCATAGAGCTAAATTTCTTAAGATGAAGACTGTGTCTTCATTCATCTTTGTATGCATCTAGCAAAATGCCTGTTACACAGTACATGTATGGTAACTGAGTTGCATAAATGCCAAGGTTAATGGCTATCTATGGGGTATCAGACCATCAGAACGGTTTTGAAAAGCAAATCTTTGTCATCAAAACAAACTTGTAATCTTGTTAGGGAACAGAAGATACCTTCTTATTATAAAGGATAAATGGATATTCCTACACATACACACCTTCATATCAGTGTGTCTTACATATGGATACCTACAGAGGTCAAGTAAACTATTATATACAAGGTAATGTGTGGAATATTTTATCATATATAAAAATGGCCGTTGGATTCTTTCTCAAAAGACTTATAATCTAGAAGCAGAAATAAAGTCTTCACACTTGATTCCTATATTATTCTGTACTCCAGTGACATGAAGCATATAGTACTTTGTGTTATGTATCAATTTGGTATCTGAGCTGGGTCTTATAAAATGCAAAAACTTTTGATGAAAGGAAACTTAAGATAGAAGGAATGAACAAATCCACAGCAAGAAGAGAGCTGTTGGGAAGGGTAGGAAGTTCAATTTGTGGAGAACTTAGGGAGTATTAGGAAACATCATGGGGGAGTTGGTTGGAATCAAGTTGTGGAAGATTTTGAATCCCTGATCAAATGTTATTATATAAGCAAGAGTGAATCATTGAAGATTTCTGATCCAGTAAATGAAATAATATATTTTTGTAAAAATGAATCCAGTGTTACTCTGCTGGATATGTTGAAGAAGAGCATCTGGATGCAAATAGAAGCAAAGAACCATTGGAAGGCCACTTCAATAAGCCAAGTGTAAGGACAGGAACTATCATGTCTCAATAGTGAAAGAGACATGGATGGAAAGGCACTTGGCAGGTGGTGGGGGTGCTGTAAAATCTGAGGTGGAACGCTTTGATAGAAGGAAGTAAGAAGACAAGAGTTCATCTCCAAGGTTTTGGGCTCAAGTAATGAATCATGCATATGTAGGACTGGGTCTCAACTGGGGAGTTAGAGTTGGAGATGTAGTAATTTTAAGCATCATCTACACAAAGGTGACAATTGGAAGTATGGGAAAGGAGCAGAGATTTTGGGTCGGCTTAGGGAGTAGGAGGAAGAAGAGGAAGCAGTGGAGACAGAGTAAGCAATTAGAAAACCAAGAAATAGCTCAGAAGCCACAGAAAGAATTTCAAGAAAAACCTGGGCATAGTTGACAAATGCATAGAGATGTCAAGAATTCAGATTTAAGTGGGATTGCTAGATTTGGCTGAAGGGAATGGATCAGAAGAGAAAGATTTAAAAATATGAATGAGAGGAAGTAATTGAAGCAGCAGTGTCCAAAGGAGAGTAAGAGGTTAGTCCAGAACAGACCTGAAGGGCAAGCAAGCGGGTGAAGATGGCTAAGGATCTAGACATTCTGGGGGTGAAGGGGAGATTTAGGAGAACTTGTGTCATATTACCTTAATTTCAGTAGAAATGGAGCTGAATTCACTTGTTCACTTATTTCAAAGGTGTCACTAATGTGCATAGAACTGTTCTAGGCACAGTGAACGAGAGACAAAAATGCCTGCCCCCAATGTAGCTTCTTCCAGTGGGAGAAGAGACAGTACAAAAAATAGGTAAAATGTGGACTACAATGGTGCTGATAAGTACAATAGTGAAAAATGAAAAGTAGGAAACACGGTACAGGGAATGTTAAGGAAGATTCTAATTTAAAATGGGGTGATCAGAAAGACCTTACTGTGGATGTGATTTTTTTTTTATTTTATATTGATGGCAGGGTTCTTCTGTTAGTAATAGAAGGAACCTAACCAAAGAACCAGTTTTTCCCTCTAGGAATTAAATCAATCTTCATATCCTCTTTACACAGGTGTTTGGATGCTGATCCAGAGCACCTGATCCCTGCTGCTGGTTACAGCAATCAAGTCATTTAGCATTTATGCCAGTACTATCTATTTCCTTACTCATAGATTAAAGGCCATCTATTAGTTAGGCACATATAGATGAGGAAGAGAGTTTTATTGAATCTTTTATCTACTGCTAATGTCAATAGTGAGAATTCATTGCCCATTTCCCAAGATCTATCCCTTCCCCACAGAAAAAAGCATGACATCTGGATGTTGATGTGATTTGGGACCTGGTTATGGTGACTGATGGCTCCTCTAGGAAGACTAACCACACAGCAGAGAAGTATACACTGGGTGGACAGGAGAAATTCCAAGAAATCAATATCCATCCTTCAGCCCCTAAGCCTGAATCTGTAGAATTCACATTTCATAGAAAAGTATGGAGCTAAAGATGCTAGAGAAGAGGTTCTGATTCTAAAATGTTATTTGAGTTTGTATACACAAATCATTTGGTCATAGTCCTTAATGAGTATTTTACCAGTTTTGACAAGCAGCAATTATGATAAGAGACCAAAAGATTTTCCTCAGGGAAAAGAAAATCCCATGGTCCAGAGGACTTCTACGATTTCTTCCTCTACACTTGGAGTCTTCATGTCCCGTAAAATTTCTCCACATTAGGTCCAGTAAGTAACAAATGGGAACTTTAATGTCAGCCATTCAGATGTGAGGCCTTAGACCTCATGTTTGTTCCCCTCTTCTTACAGCCAGAAACCAATAAGGCACTTAACCTGGTGGGATGGAAATACTTGTTTTAAATAACTATAATAGCTACTTCTTTATATACATTATCAGTATCAAATCCTCATACTACTGATTAGATATTATCTTTCCTACTTTATAAATAAAGAAACTGGGCAGCGCAGGTGGCTCAGCGGTTTAGCGCCGCCTTCAGCCCGGGGTGTGATCCTGGAGACCAGGGATCGAGTCCCATGTCGGGCTCCCGGTGCATGGAGCCTGCTTCTCCCTCTGCCTGTGTCTCTGCCTCTCTCTCTCTCTCTCTCTGTCTCTCATGAATGAATAAATAAAATCTGAAAGAAAGAAAGAAAGAAAGAAAGAAAGAGAAACAAAGAAAGAAAGAAAGAAAGAAAGAAAGAAAGAAAGAGAAAGGAAGGAAGGAAGGAAGGAAAGAAACTGAAGCTCAGAGAATCTTAAGTAGATGATGTAAAAATCTAACCTACTTCAATGTGATCCTAAAGTTTGTTCTTAGAAGCACTGTTTTCAATGTTAAGCTGACCTTTCAAAAAGCAGGAGCACCTACACCAGTATGTCCTTCTGGACTTGAAAATTTACAAATAAGCCTGTGGTTGTCAAACATTTTGGACATAATATTCTTAAAAGTTATTAAGGATCCCAAAGAGCTTTCATTCATGTGGGTCATATCTATCACATTTACCAAATTGGAATTAAAACTGGGAAAATTTTTCAATGTAAAAACCATAATAAAGCCAGTATATTAACATAGATGTTTTAAATGAAAAATATTTTTCAAAACAAAAATGTATTATTCATGGGACATTGTTTTACATTTTTTACAAATTTCTTCAATGTCTGGCTTAATAGAGCACAGTTGGATTCTCACACCTGCTGTCATGATATCAGACATCACATAGCCTCTGGAAAACTCCACTGGACACTCATAGCATCTTGTATTAGTTTCCTAGAGCTGATCTAACAAATCTCTATTGGTTTCTTAGGGCTGCCATGACAAAGTAGCACAAACCAGGTAGCTTAAAATGACAGATATGCTCTTGCAGTTCAGGAGGCCAGAGTTCTAACATCAAGGAGTTGGAGTGGGGGTATTTCTTCTGGAGACTGAGGCAGAAGTCATTCTATGCCTCTCTCCTAATGTCTGGTGGTTGCCAGAAGTTCTTGGGTGTTCCTTGGCTTATTGCTACATCACTTTAATCCCTGCCTCTGTCTCAAATAGCATCCTTCCCTGTGTATATATTTCTGTCTCTGTCCTTATAAGAAAGACACTCATTTCATTTAGGGGCTACCATAATTCTGAATGTCATCTTAAGGTCATCTTCACAGTTTCTGATAGACATGAATTTTGTGGAGACAAACCCAGTGTAATATGCTGCTGGTATAAAAATATATTCATTCCATCCCAACATTCCCAAAATTCTTCACCCATTCCAGCATTAATTCCAAATCTAAATTCTCATCAACATAGGTTTCAACTCAAAGAGTTTCACATCTCACCCATATAAATCAAGTATGGGTAAGACTCTGGTATGACCTGCCTTGGTCTCCCTTCCACTGGAAGATGCATCAAACTAGAAAATAAGCCATCAGCTTGCAACACACCATAGTGAAAAAGCATAGGGTAGATAGATACTCCCAAAGGAAGAAAGTGGAAGGAATAAAGAATCACTAGTCTAAAGCAAGGGTACAACACAGCAAGGCAAATTTCATGAAATTTCAAGACCTTAGAATAATCATTTATGGCTTGATCAACATGCCGTCTGGGCCCTACAGAGGTTTCACCAGCCCCAACCTTTAGACCTTCAGAAGCCTTGTTGGCCCCATCCTCTCGTCCTCAGCCCAGACATCATTTTACCCTCTGGGCAGCCCATCTCCTATTTATAGAATCCCAGAAGTCTGGCAGCCTTCCTTTATCTTGTCCCCTCCCTGTCCCTGTCAGGCCAAACCAGGAGTATTTCTGCTGATGTTGCATCCTCAAAAACCTGTCAGTATTCATGCATGTCATGGAGATCCAGATCATTAGACATGAGGCTTCTCCATAGATCCTTCCTGGATAACCGTACCTCTATTCCTGGCTTCTGCTGAGATGCCTGATTGTATCTGTAGTCATAAACCTAATCTCTCCAGCACACACACCCTTGGTGACTGCTCCAGAGTATACTTTAGCATTGTTTTGCAGTATGGATATAACGTCAATTTTCAAACTCATCATGTTTTGATTCCTTTTTGCTCTTTAGTTCCTTCCTCAAATGATTTCTTTCCCCTTACATTTTACTAGAAGCAGCAAGAAACCAGGCCACATCTTCCATATTTTGCTTGGAAACCTCAGCGAAACATTCAATGCGAGTGTTTACAAGTTCTACTTTAAACCCCAAAGCAGAACACAATTCAGCCAAGTTTTCTGCCACATTATAACTTTTCCTCCAGTGTCCCACGACATGTTCGAGGTCACACTAGAAGCACGTTTAATGTTCCTATTTCCATCGACATTTTGTTCATGATGAGCTAGAAGTTCTCTGAGATGACATGACAGCAGCTTTCTCTGCTGTCCCTATCACTTCCTTCTGAGCCATCCCCAAAGTGGCTTAGAAGTCCATGTTTCTACCAAGTCATCTCAAGATAACCTAGACTTTTTAATTTCTCACGTTGCTCACAATTCTCCCAGCCTTTACTCATTACCCAATTCCAAAGCCACTTCCACATTTTTGGGTATTTGCTCCAGTTAGCACCCCACTTCCTGGTATCAAAATCTACCAGTTTCCTGAGGCTTCCATAACGGATCACCACAAATTAGGGGAGGGAGGCTGAAGACAAGATATTCATTTTCTTGCAGTTCAGGAAGCCAAAGGCCTGAAAGCTAAGGTGACCGAGGGCGGAGTTCCTTCTGGAGGCTCAAGGAGAATGTGTTCCTGCCTCTGTCCTGGCTTCTGGCACTAGCCTGAGTCCTCAGGGTACCTTGGCTAATAGCTACATCAGGCAAATCCCAATTTCTGCCTCTGTGGTCACACAACCTCCTGTTTCATCACATTGCATCCTTATATAGCAACAGTCACTGTACTTAGGGCCCACTCTAACCTCGCATCACCTCATCTTAACTAATTATGTTTATAAAGACCCTATTTCTAAAGAAGGTCACGTTCATAGGTATCCGGGTAGACATCAATTTTTGGAGATCACTCTTCAAATTACTAGATTTTAGTATTGTTTTGAGAATATTTTTGATCTTGCAAACTCCTTGAAAGGGTCTTACCAACTCCCAAGGGTCTTAAAATATACTTTGGGAATCACTGATTTCATGGTTTATGTCAGTTCTATTCCATGGCTTTTGGAAGTTATTCCAAACTGAGGAGTGGTGAAGTCTCCATCACTAGCTAGACAACTCTACTACAGAGCAGCTTTCAAATAATGGTGCGTAATTCCTTTGGCACCAATCATAAGTAACTTCATGAATCTTTATGCCTCTGTTCATATTAGCACAGTTAATGTGATTGAAAGATGCCTACTATACTTATTCTTTTATTTTAAAGACAAACATGTAAAGATTCTCTATATCGCCTAGAGCTAACAGATAACATTTTAGTCTATTTCTTTCCCATGCCTTCTATGTGTGTGTGCGCGCGCACGCGGGCGCCTGTGTACGGGAATCATTCTGTAGTTTTAGATACTGTGTAGCTCACACAGTAAAAATAGTACCTTATATTGTGTTTATTTTGAGCCAGTAAGCACTTCACAATAACTCTATTAGGTAGATCTATTGGGCCTATTTTATTTTTTAATATTTTATTTATTATTTATTTTATTTTATAGCAACAGACACCTAAGATCTCATAGCTTCTATGGTTCCAGAATCCAGAGGAGCTCAGTTGGATACTCTGGCTCAACTAGGAATGAATGTGCTTTCAGCCCACTGGTAGGATGCAGTTCCTTGCCACGTGGGTCTCTCCTTAGGGAGTCTCACAGCAAGGCAGCTTGGTTTATCGGAACAAGAAGAGCCCAAGAACAGGAGCAAGGCAGAATTCAGTGTTTTATATCTCAAACTTGGAAAAGACATCCCATTACATTTGCTGCATTCTGCTCTTCAGAAGCCAGTCACTAGGTCCTGACCATACTCACGGGAGAGAGAGAGCTACACAAGGGCAACTGGCACTAGACCTAACAAGGGCTGGGGCCAGCGACTATTGGACCATGTGTGCTCCACCCTAAAATCACAGGACAGCTGCTCGGAGCCCATAACATCTCAAAAATAAAGTGACAGGACTGAGAATATAAGGTGGTGTTACTCCTAAGAATCTCAGTCTCATCTCAACACTTAGGGACTTAAATTGTGAGGAAGCGGGGGCAGACTGTGGATAGTGTATGTAGGCCAGGTGGCTTCTTCCTGAGTTTGTGGCTGGCTTGTAAAGGCTACACTGAGCAGGCTCATCTATTGTGCTGATAGGTAAGTAGAACCCTAGACACAGTTCTGTGCCCAGTGGCAGATACCACTGCCTCCTTGGTCACTGCCCCAGGTCATCTGCCAGATTTAGAGATTTCTTTGGGAGAGCTATGAATTAGGACACTTGAACTAAGAAACAATACCAAGTACGTCAAGCAGCTAACTTCCAGCTGGGGAATCTCAAAATGGTTAAGCATATCTTCTTTACATAGAGACATATATAAATATATACAAACTTTGACGTATATTCCTAATAAACCATTCACAGGGCTTTTCTTTATGGTATCACCAGCTTCTACAGGTAACATTGAATGATTTACAAAAGATATTACTCATTACCTGGTTCATGTACTAAGGATTATATCTAGCCAATGGCTGACTAAGCCAGTAAATGTTGATTTAATGACTAGAAAGTGGTTTGGCTTAAAATTTACTTTTTCTTTTTTTTAAAGGATTTTATTTATTTCAAGAGAGA